GTTTCGAGCAACTGGACAAGTGGAGGAATCCCCCCGGCTGCGGTTACAGCCCATTTACTATCATCGACCTGAGCCGTCAAAATTTCCAACATTTCAACAGCATACTCTTGGTGTTGCTCACCAGACAAACCTAGAAATGATATAAATAACTGGACTCCTTCTCTCTTTCCAACTGCCTCCCAAATTCCAACCTCTTCATGGCATAAGCGAGACAAGCAAACTATTAGCTGCTCTCGTGCATCAGCGGAAGCCATAGTTATGAGAGCGATAAGGACTCTCTTAGCTTCTGCATCATCTAGGTAACACGATAAACTACTGTTTCCGTACAAGCTCGCCATAGCTTCCAAGATCCGCTCTTGGACTAGCTTTGTGTCACGAGGCTTTAGTAGCTTTACCAAAATGCTCTCTATCACTCTTGGATCAAATATTTTCTCTGAACTCTCTGGTTGTTTGAAAATCATTAGAGCATAGGCAAGGGCTCCAATTACATCACCAATTGGTTCCGTTAGACGAGGGGATTGCGATACTTCTCCAAGATATATAATCAAATGGCGCATCCCACCAAACACATTTGCCAAAGCCCCAGTTGCATGTTCTTGTAGAGATTGTCCATGTTTTCCCTGCATGCACTCTTTCGATGGAGCAACAATAGCTCCAATGAGAGCATGAACACCTCCTGCGTCTCTAACACATTTCTTAGCTTCATCTGATCTTGATGAAAGAGCTTCCAACGCATCTGCTGCACTAGCACGAACATTTATATCATTTTTCTGTTCCAAAAGCTGTATGAGGGACTTGACAACTCCAGAATTTAATATTTTTTGGATGCTATCACAAAAGGACAGTACAAGACGAGCCAGTAGAGAAGCAGCATTTGCTTGAGTATTCTGATTATCTGATGACAAAAGAGACACAACTATGTCTACACCATTTCCCTCTAGTGTAACTCTCCAATAACCATCATCAACGCCACAAAGATTCCTCAAAGCTCCAGTAACGTACCCTTCAACCACATTATCCTGCTTTCCTTTCAGACTAAGTTGATCCCACAAAGTTGGCACTACACCTTCTGTGATAAATATTTTCATGCCAATGTGATCGTTGGAGATTCCAGCAGAAGAAACCTCATATATAGCTTCTGCTGCTGCTTTCCTAGTTTCGATGGTTCCAGACTTCAAAACCGAGAGTAACGGCGGGATGCATCCTCCTAGAAGCACTTTTAGTCGCAAGTCCTTGTCTTTGCATAAAACACAAAGGATTGAAGCGACATGTACTTTGGCCAAACTCGTCCCATTTCTAAGCATGGAAATGAATAAAGGCATTGCTTGGGCGTACGAACCAATCAGCCTTCTTGCCTCCTTTCTGCCTTTTGCAATACCTAGTAGACGAGCTGTTGTGAGTTCTTTGTCTTGCGGCGAAGATGTTTTCGTGTGAAGTTGCTCTATGAGCTGAGCAACTGTAGCCATTGCCTTCTCTTGGTCGTCCATTTCCACTTTTGCATCGACTTCCCTGCACATATTCATTAAAAACACAATGACGATAAAAGAAAGGAAGGAGGACAAGAAACTGAAACTTAAGATGGCCAATTAATCATGAATTCCAGTAAAACCTTAACCAAATAAATTTTGAACAATATCAAAAAAACTTTTACAGTAGTTTCAAAAACAAAGTAAAGAAACGTTTCTCTAAACATTTTTCGGATAAAGAAAGTTCCTAACCTGGACTGCGAGGAAGATAATGTTTCCTCCTGCGTTCCAGGAAGGAAGGCCTTCAGCATCTGCATAGCTACTCGCCTTCAGCTTCAGCCTTTGGTTTCCTAGAAGTAGAAGAAACCTTGGGTAAGTTTAAAACCGCAAGCACAGCGATTGACTGAGTTTACCAAACATTCAGACTGTATTTTCCCCTACACTAGACCAAGTGAAACTAGAACTTGAAATGGCATAAAGAAAATGGAAGAGTCTATACCAAGAATCTTCACAATTGTTTTGCTAAAAAAAGCTCAGAGATTTCATCCCTCACATTCAACTATTTTTGTTTCTAACTATGCCAATCAACCTTTTAACTCAAATATACTGCTTCAATCCAAGAACAAGTAGTAGAATTCGAAAACCCAACAGATTTAAAGTAAGTAAGAAAATTACAAACCTCGTGAATGGTGCAGCTGCCTACGAAAACCCTCCGCCTCGCTTCTAACCCAAAATCCGCCTTCCGGAACCGGAAAATCATCACCGGAGAATCTCGAAACGCCGCCGGGAAACCAGTGCAGAATCAGAATCAGAATCCATCTCTACTTCAGAGTAACACCAGAAACCAATGTCAAACTCACTTTCAAAGCTCCGGTTCTGGAAATTCAAAGAAACAGCAGAGCAATCCTGAATCAGCGACGAGGAGAAAGAAGAAACGAAAAGAGATTGGATCACAGAATCCTAGGGCAGAAAACCGAAATCGAAAAAAAAAAAAAAAAAAAAATGGGTTCCTAGTTTCGTTACTTGGATCAATTGGCGAATAACAAAAATATATTAACAAATGGAAATGGAACGAGCATTACGAATTCAAAAGACGACGAAGCTCCCAGGAAAAAATCACTTTTCCTCTTTGTCGTTGTCGAAATCAAAAATGCCGAATTACCTCGAATGAGGAAGAAGAACGTACGAGCAGAGAGAGAGAGAGAGAACAGTCCTCTTTATTGTATTTATCTTTTTTCACTTTCCTTAATTATCAATTTCTTTCCCCATCCTTTTAGTTATCCACACTCTCTTTTTTCTTACCTTGCCCTTAATTATCCGTTGTCCTTTTGTTAATCATCAAAATGATCCAGTTACGTTGTATAAAATGAAATTAATAAGTATACTTAGCTCACTTCACTCAGCCATGATAATGGAATGAGTCTCTCAATTAGGGTAAAATTCTGAATTACACCAACAGTGATGTTGCACACAATCTAAACAATATGTCAATGGTTAGGTTTCTATAATCCATCTTATGATCATGATGTTGCCTAATCTACACAAACAAACAAAAGTGATCACCAGTGTAGACAGTAATAAACAAATGTTATCAATTTCATGATCTATTTATTTTTAACCTATGCAGAAAAAAAGATTCTCCTCACAGTTTTAATTTAACCAAAAGGCGTGATCCTCGGATCTGCCCCTCAATTTTGTTATATTATGATATGTTTGTTGAAGATTGAACTGTTCTATATGTATTTTTGTATAACTTTTTTTTGTGTGTGTAATGTCATTAGTAATATAAGTATTCACCAACAACTATAAATTTAATCGGTCAAAAAGAGATTGTTAATTTAGTTGTGACAAAAGTAGCTATGCATGTGGATAACAGATTTAAACTATTTAATAAATCACATGTATGATGCTATCATATATGAAGAAGAAGAAGAAAAGAAGCTATACATGGTTTTAAATTGTTATGTTGTTATTGAAGACAAGAATAATAAATTAGTATTATAAAGTGTAAAGAGAAAGTGAAGGTTGTAAATTGAAAGTGAAGGTTGTAAGAGCAACAACAAACACACCTAACATGGACTTAAAGCCCCACTTCCCTCAGTGAGACTGACTGTCTCCAGTTCGCAACAAATTTTTTTGGGCCCCTAATGTCCCCATACTTTACTACTTCCTCTGTTTCATAATAAGTGTTATTTGAAGAAAATATATCTGCAATGTATCTAGATGTATCTAGATGTGTTTTAAGTTTAATACATCCAGTTACAATACAGATACATTTTTTCCAAACGGAGGGAGTATTCTTTAAGTCTATATTAATATGTGACATTCAAGCTTCTTCTTCTTCCTCTTCTTAATTCATTTCACTTTTTGAAGGTAAAAAAATAATATAGAATATTAGATTAGACCCCCCATAGATTCACACGTTAGTTTGTTGATTTATTCGTAACCAAACTAGTGGGTGATGATCTAAGTGGCATTTTAAGATAAATCTGCATCATAATCCTCATGCCGTCGTGTCATTGTGAATATTACCAGAGATGATTCGAATGTTTATGAGCAAATATACAATAGGGGAAGGTTCTGACTTAATATGATGTCTAAGCTATTTCGAGTAAATTTCAGTATGCTCACCAAATCCGTAAAGTCCTAAACTGATATAAAAAATAAGATTAACCATAGAGATTTATAAGTGCGGTTCACGTTTCAAATTTAAGATCGGATTCGAGTTAAGAATCGGTTCGTGGGTTTGATGGGACGTGATCAAAACCATGGACTCAAAACCTTCAAGTAGTTCTCATTTGCATCAGGATTGCCCACAATTACATTTAATGCAGCATGACTTTTGTTCGACGCATCATAAATGCTTTCTTCAATGTTATCAGCAAGAATAATTACCCTATAACTTTTCTAATCAAGCATTAATTATATACTTCTAATTACTCGTTCCTTTTTTTTATGTAGACGCTACCTCAAAACGAGAGTCAACCTTTTTTTCTTGTCGGTTTGGTGTCTATAGTTATAAACTTTTTGTCTTCAAATATAGGGTTGTATATTAGTTTTCCTGTAGCAACAACATAGTAAGCTCTATTTATAAGGTGTTTCAGATTAAGTTATCTCTTTCACACAATTTCAGTCTTATATTTGAATCGAAACCCAATTCAACACGGGTAACTAATCGTACTTTGGTTTTTATTTAGAAAGATAAACTCGTGCCAAATTCTAATAAATATACTAAAGACAAAAAAAACAAAATTAAATAACGTAATTAAAGAGAAGAAGGAGATTTGTTTGTCCAAGTTGCAACGATAAGACTGTTATCTGATCTGACAAAGGGCCTACCTTTACCGACAGTTTCCAAAACGACGGATTCACTAACTAAAATCGGATCTCGAGCTTTCCCCTCGCTAACACTATCACTATCTTACGGTATTTTGTTTGTTTGTTTGAATTAATTTTTAGTATTTTTTTTTTCTCTGATACAATTTACTATTTCCAACTTCTATAACAAAGAACCAAGCTCCATTGTTTCTGGTTTGTTGACTTATTAATTTCAGCTAAGGGGATTTTATCCATTCCATAATTGTATTATGAAGAAAAAAATATATATCAGATTTTAAAATCAATTTATTCCCGATCAAATAAACGTAGTGCTATGTTGTTGGATCATTACACGTAGTGTAGCTCGTATTAAGCGAGGCGAAAAGCTAAGGGCCCAATTGTTGGCAAAAGCCCATTTCGTTCCTTTCTAGCTAGCAAGTTCAAACCGGTTAGCCGACACGTGCGACGACAGTGATATAGAATAGTACTTTCTACAGTTCCACTAACTCGCACGTGACAACTCAGAAACTTCTCTGACGAACCACAAGTGGGTCAAGCGTCGACCACATCTGATTCGCGCCCAATAGCCGCGATACAATCTCGCTATCGGCGATGGCATCTACGTAATTAAACGGAAAATCAATGGCGTTACTCGACCGACCGTTGCTCCATCTACCCGGCTCGCTCTCACCCTCGCACGTGAACTCGGGTGAGACCACTGGGTGGTCCGAGCAGCTCGAGCCAGCGATCATTTCCGCTCTGTCGAAGTTTATCGTCACCGGAGGCGCTACTGGACACGTGTCGATCATAGGCTTCACGTCCTTCTCCATCTCGCTCCGTCGCTTCTCGATGACACCTTTCTTGTTGTATATACGACACAATACCCAATCGTCCAGCTGTTCAGAATGAACACGTCCGGTTAACAACACCCGGTTTTAAACTAATATATGTTGAAAATCCGGTTTGAATCGATAAATCGCTCACTCACCCTTAAACTGTTTTTCTTGCGAACCGACCGGTCCACGTCAGCGAGTCGGTATTCGTGCATAATCCAATTGGTTTTCTCTCCTCTAGGAGGTTTTCCAGAGTAAAACACTAGAGCTTTCTTAATACCAACCGGTTTAGGACGACCGATTGGTTTATCAGCACCTGTGGCTTTCCAATATCCAGTACCAGCTGCCCGGTTCGGTCTTGAGCCGTTTGGGTACTTTCGGTCTCTTGGTGAGAAAAAATACCACTCCTTTTCTCCGTACAAAGCCATGTCTGTAAATTGAAAAAATCAGTTACTGACTCTTGGACCGGTTTATGAAAACCGATAATTCATCCTACAGTGATTTAAGGAAAATAAAAGAAAACGCACCGGGAAGGTCCCAAGGATCATATCTGTACAAATCGAGTTCGGTGATGATCGGCGCAGGGATCGGCTGCGATGCGCATTTACGGCAGAGATACATGAGGACGAGCTCCTCATCCGTCGGATGAAATCTAAATCCTGGTGGAAATTGCAAATCAGCCCCAGCTTTCAACATAATTCACCGTACGTTCCCCCCTTGTTTATAGAAGAAATAACCAGAAATTAAGATGTTTGAAACTTCTGAAGCAAAGAAGAGAGATGAATATATAAGACGAAGAGAGTCAGTGTGGACACGTGGCGCATAGACAGGGGCTTTGTGTTGGTGGAAGGAATCTCAATACAAACAAAACTAGAAGTTTTTTTTTTATAAAAAAGGGGAGCGACGAGGGTAAGGTTAAATTGTAGTGGAGGATTCATTGACATAGATGTGGAGGAACACGTGGAGGATTGTAATGTAGGAAACTTTTGTCATTGCTTACGTCAGACTATTTGGACTGTAGCGGTCCGAAGCATGTCGATTTGGGAAAGAGCCATAAGTTTCGACACGTTCGATCTCATGCGTGTACTTTCCAGATGAGACCGATCGTTGACCGTATCAAAATTCTCTCTCATTGATCTCGTGAGATTTCAAGACTCGTTCTTGTCGATCTTAGTATATAACTTACACATTTGGAATCATTGTTATATATAAGAAGGTCACTTTAATTAGTATAAACATATACATTATTTACGTAATAAAAAAAATAATGGTCTTTTTTTCAGTGGAGATATTCTTATCGATTCATTTGTAGACGTTTTTTTTTTTTTGTAGACGTTTCTTTCATATTATTTGGTGTACCATTTGCGAGTAACTTATAAAAATTAAGGGTAAGTGGGTACTACTAGTATAGTCTACAACAACCCTATTACGAAAACTATTATTTTACTTTCCAAACATGAATCATCGTTTTCAAACTCACAAATTCGAGAAACTTTAAATATTTCCATTTTGTATAATCTATAAAACTACACACAGGTCTATGATTAACAAATAGATTAAATTACTTCAGAGTTATCAACTTATGTCAATGCCACTTTATCTCCGTCATTTCCTCTAATGGAGTCTAGGAAACAACATCATCTCATTCTCACCTAATAGATAGACGCTTGGATCTTTGCCACGTGGGGGCGGTGATGTAAGTTCGGCCGCCTTTTCATTTTGGTGGGTTGAATTTGTTAAAAAGCTCAAAAGTGAGAAAAGATCTCTAGACACGTGACGGGATGCGGATGGTTCATCACTTTATTAAAAAAATGATTAGATGCATGAAATTTACGAGCATCGCTAATGATTGACGAAGTACAACATATATGAATATCCACCGAGAGAGATATAAGGTCGGCAGGATATGATTTACATTCGTGGAACGACCAGAACTATTGCACATGCCACGTGCTTTTATTAGAAACCATCAAACGCATATATTTTACGCGTTTTGCGAGCGGATTTGAAGCAACTTTTGCTCAATCTAACGCCACGAACCGAACCAGCATATATAGTACGCAAAGAGCAGGACACGCAAATCATTCACGATGTGACATATCATTACTCATCATGATCATCATCATCATCGTTAACGACAAATATAAAGACAATTATTCGGTACGAAATTAAACCAGAAACATAAGGGTGCATCATTTGATACGGTTGGAGTATTGGAACAAGACAACAACAAGTGCTTTTCTTCATTTTCTGTGAAAATAGAGGAACTTAACAATATCCAGTCTGAGAGAAGGAACAGTTACTATGGGATCGAGAGGGTTCTGCTACTTAAACTGGATTAAACGGGTCAATCGAACTTGCACGTAAGCAGATATGTGATTTTTCAGATCAATCCATCCTTCCCTTGAGGATTCTCTCCTTGACTTCATTTGGTGTTCTGGAAAACATCACCACAGAAGCATGTCACTGATACTTGTTTAGAAGACAAGTGCAGAAGACGCACATTCTAGTAAAGAAGAAGAAGAAGGAGACGATAAGGAGAAGAAGAATAAAGCTTACACAACGTAGACATGTCCTCCCCATCCACTCAGACAATCGCGGTCAACTGACGAGAGAAGTGCTTGTGAAATTGTCTCAAACAGTTCCTCAGCTTCCTGAAAATCAGATATGTTGAGCCGAGTTATATATAATATACTTCTGCATTTCACCAAGTCTCTTACAAATTACAATGATGCCCTTGAATATCAAACTTCATTTGCACAAAAGAATAGCAGGGAACGCAGTATAACAAACAAGCGTGAACTTGGAAACACCTCAATTCAAGGTCAAATGGAGATATCCAGAGAAAACTATTTGAATTCCTTCATCAACGAGAAGCATTTTACACACAATTATTCCCACCAAACCTAGATTCTACAATAGAATTCTTATATACAAAGTAATTTAAATTTATTAATGAAGCGTGAACTTTGAAACACCTCATTCCTAAGCCTAAGGAAGATATTCCATCGTCTATGAACAGCATCATTATGCACACAACTTTTCCCACTTCCCAGCAAATCTAGATTTACAATAGAATTCCTACACATGAAGGATATTACTAATTTTTTCGGTGATCATAGCAACAAGAATTTGGGTTGTCAGTGATCTGGTAATAAAAAGAAGTTTTCTAAAGGAACGTACCATATCTGGTTTGTACATGGCTTCACATGCACCATATAGTGATTCTGAAGCAGTTCCAGAGACAACAAAGTCTTTAGCCAATTCCCTACGTTTATAGAGAACAAGTGTCAAGGTACGCCCACCATTGCAGCAATATATTTTTAGTAAAACCCCAACTCTATTAAGAACTCGAATTCGAAACATCAAACACACGTAAAATAAGACAAAACACTAAACCCATGAGTAAAGTCCATTCGTATGACATACTCTCCATTCGATTACAAACGGCCAGAATAATATTTCAACTAAAACCAAATTACTGATCCACTAGCCTTTTGTTTCACCTTGCAAGATTCAGGACTACACTCACTAATTAGCAACACTAAATGGCATTACATGTAAACAATGAGAGATAATTAGCGTTTTGAATAATAGCCTAATAGGGGAATCAGCAAAGAAAGGATGTGAGCATACTTGGCTCCAATCGAATCCATTGTGCAAATGAAAGGTTTGTTATCTTCTCCCAATCCAGCAATTACAGGTTGGCACAAGTATGGACCAAATCTGAAATTGAAGAAGTCAGTTTAACTGAACCAGAATCAAAATTCAACTGAGCTGCGACATTGCAGCATAAATTAAACAAAAGCAGCTTGATCAAGGTAAGTTACAAATTGATGAAGAAGACAATTTTTAGATACCTTTTCTCATAAAGTATGGCAGATACAAGACTAGCGAAAGTTTCTGGTTTCATGTCTCTCTCTTCCCGAAGCTGATATAACTTATGACGAAATACGAGTCGCTGATAACTTTCAGTCCCAAAGAAAAAAAAACAAAAAACGAGTCCCTAAATTTTGTCATTCAACTAAAATTCTGGGAGGAGAGGAGTGAACATATGATAACAATGGAAGAGCCTCGAGAATTTACAGTGTCTGGACGTCGGTGGCGAGACCAGAAAGACCGATGAAGAGATGATCGTGGATCTTGGAGATTCTCTGAAAATCTGTAGCGATGGTCTGTAGCTGCACACCAAGCCTCCGATCACTTGCTATAGCGAAGCAGTTCTTCCCCACCATAGCCACGACGGCACTTCCATTGTACTCGAAGATCTGCATTCACCACGATGTCCATCAATCAATATCCACCGTTGAATCACCATCAATAGTTGCCCAAAACAAACAAAAAATAGAGAAATCGCGAGGGAACACTTACCGACATCGGAAAATTAGGGTTCACAGAGTGAAAAAACTTGGGAGATTTCCTAACGGAGAAGAAATCTGAGCAAGAGACAGAGCAAATAGTAAAGTCGACGACGGTGGCTTACTGGCTTGGACGAAAATCTAGACAGTCTGCTTTATGAATGGGCCTCGTTACTATTGGGCTTTTAGATAACTTTTATTACTATCTTCAATCATTTATCTTACTCTCCATTGGGCCTTGTTTATTATTGGGCCTTTTATATCTTAGCTTCCTTTTATTTATGCATTGTGTTGTGTGAATGAAACCAGAATGTTTTGCTGATTAGAATGTTGTGTATTTCACTGCAAGCAAGGGACAGGGTTGTGTATTCATTGTAAGCCATGGATTTTTTTGTTTGTCTTACTTATGTAATTGATCGCAGAGGCTCAGAGAGTTTTCAGAAGACAATAATAATAAATATAGATTTTTGGAGATTATACTCTCACTTTACTTGGGAGCGGCTCGTGCATCGAGCCAAGCAACTATGTCGTTGATTACAGTGAAAATGTTTTCGTCTGTGTCACCTTCTAGAATGCAATGGTAGCCACCTGGGTACAGTTTTAGGGTTTTGTCTTGGCTGATTGCTTGCTCGTGAAGGAATTTGCTCACGGTTGGATCTGTGACTCTATCTGCGGCTCCATGTAATATCAACAATGGCAACGAGACCTTCAAAATTAAAGAAGAGAACGGAAGTTATTAGAGACGCGCATGTCTATGATAAAGAAGTTTCCTTTATTTACTACTAACCTTATCAACTTGCATCTCAATGTCTCTTGTCGCATTTAGAAGCTCAACAGCGGTTTTCAGACGCGTTTGGTCATCGTAGCATATCACATCATAGTCGCACTTGATCAACGAGAAAACAAAAAACATTGAAAAGGAAGTCAGAAAAATGCTTCAGGAAGTGGTCTGTTGACAAAAAAACTGAAGAGAGAGTACCAGTTTTCTTTTACTCGGGTCTCTGAAGAAAAGCTCGCTCAAGTCTTTCTTTGGAAACAGCTTTGCTTTTGGAAACAGCGTTGACATCAAGATTAACGCATTCAAGACTAGCTTAGGAGGTTTTACATCTTCTGAAATCTTGAGGCAACTCTCAAGGTCAGGTATTTCAAACATGAGCTAAAATGTGAGTAAAAGGTACTTCCAAGCAGAGATTGGCTTACCTTACACATTGGAGCCACAAGGATGAGACCATCCCAAGCACGAGGCTCTTTCAGATGAATTTTCAATGCAATAGCTCCTCCCATCGACTGTCCGAATAGGAACCGGGGCACATTTCTCAATTCAGGTCTCCCTAAGAACCACACCACTTAAGAAAAATCCCAAAAGAAGATTCAATACAAAAGCAGAAACAAGTCAAATTTGAGTACCTTTCATTTTGGTGAACTGTTCAATAGCATTATCAGCCAAGTCATCAAAACTTGGGATGTGACCATGTAAACCATCTGAGAGGCCAAAACCAGGATGGTCTATCGCATAAACACCATAACCATAGCCTGCTATTTGCTTTGCTATGCCTGTTAAAAACAGACCCATAATTTTTCCACCATATTAGAAGAAGAAGAAGAAACTGTTCTAAAGTGGAACGAACCATCGAAGAAGAAAGTGCAAGTGCTGCCATAGCCATGACAGAAACACACTGCAGCTTTAATTTCAACTCCGGCTTCCGGCAACCAACTTTTGCAGAAGATTTCGTCCCCTTTCGAATTCCTCTCATACCACTATCAAATTTGGAACGAAAAAGATTTAAGAACTACTTTGACTTTGAATCTCTTTCTCATGATTGTTTTCAGAAGTAAGAGACAAGTCACTGCTTACCTCCTCTGATCTGATCCCAATCGGAGCTTTCTGTCGCCAGATTCACATGATTTTTAGAGAGGAGATTATGTTATAGATTTTGCTTCAAACATAGAAATTATAAAATAGGTTGTCAAACAAACTTGAAAATGCACCTTGAACAAGCAGTGATCAATTTGCTGCTGCAATTCAACGAAAGCGGAACGGGCTCGTCTTCGTGCGGGAGCTTGATCCAACTCCTGAGAGGCGATCAGATTCAGCTCATCGCTCACTCCATCGACTGGGGATCGTTTCGCGGAAACAATCGCCGGCGCGAATCGTCGTCGAGTGATGGTGGCCAGAGAACTCCTACGGCGGTTTTCGAAAGTAGACGGGATTTCAAAACGGGAAGTTAAAGCACGATCCATGGATGCCTGAGATTCAATTCAACAATCCGAGATCGAAAAATCAGATGGGGGAACAAGACAAAAGAGTGTATATTTTTTGTGCGGGAAATTTTGCACGTGCAACACGTGCTTTCCTACTGTGCGTTGGCCGTTGACGATGACTCTTTCTTCAGTCATCACTCTTCCACTCTTCAGAACGAAGATCGGCGTCTTCCTCATTCAATCCGGTTCGACCGCGACCCGCCTCCATTATAATTTTTAGGGCCGATTTATGGGCCTATACAATATTGGGCTTTTTTAAAAGCCCCTTTATTCTTTATTCGATTTATTATGATGATTTAATTATTTTATTAATTGCAATTTTCCAGTGCATCGTCTAAAACCGTATTTCGTTTGATATACACAGTACAGTGCACAGTTTCGCTCAAACTATATAAAGCAACCTAGAATCATCATAATCTCAGTGAAGAAAGATAGTAGACTACAGTTTAGAAGAGAAATGGAGTCGTTTCGTTATTCGTTGGCTATGTTCATTCTCATGGCGGTTATCGGAGCTGGTGACGCCGCAAACGTAACCTACGACGGGAGATCGCTGATCATCGACGGCCAACATAAGATCCTTTTCTCCGGCTCAATCCATTATCCTCGCAGCACTCCTCAGGTATTCTCTATCCGTCTCCAACTTCCTCTTCTTCATACTCTCTCCGTTAGTGGAAGTTTCGTAGCGTCATCGGACTTTAATTTCGGCAATCTCCCGGCGAAATCGCGCCGATCAGTCACGTGAAATAGCATACTGGAGTCGGCGGCAGGTTGCGAAGAAGAAATACGTGAGCCGTTAGCGAGAGAGAGAGAGAGAGAGGATAAAATCGTCTTTTCCAAGATCTCAACTGAATTTGTTTTTAGCTTTGTTGAATTTGCGAGACTAAGTGCTCTCATTTTTTATTTATTCTTACTTTTACCCCGAATGTTCTGATTTAGTATAGAAAAACCTCCAATGAAAGCTTCTATGGCTTTATGATTTGGCGGGATCTCTCTTCTTCTTCTTCTGCAAATACTAATGGAGGTCGAACTCGCAGATGTGGCGGTCTCTGATAGCGAAGGCAAAATCTGGAGGAATAGATGTAATAGACACATATGTGTTCTGGAACATTCACGAGCCGCAACAAGGCCAGGTCAGTCCCTTCGTCTCTATATCCTACTATGTTCCGACGAATATAGGTATTATGCGATTGCTGAAAATTTTGGATCTGCAGTTCGATTTCAGTGGACGGCATGATATCGTGAGGTTCATCAAGGAAATACAATCGCAAGGCTTATATGTCTGCCTCCGGATTGGGCCATTTATCCAGGGTGAATGGTCATATGGGTAAAGCTTTTCACCCCATTTACTATTTTCCGATATGGTAAAACCCAATTCGTGTAATTTGGAGGTGTTTCAATTCACATTGCAGGGGTTTGCCTTTCTGGTTGCATAATGTCCAAGGGATTGTCTTTAGAACAGATAATGAGCCATTCAAGGTAATAGATTAAGCTGAACTCAAATGCCTTCCATACATGTACGGTTTAAAGAAGATACTTTTTTATTTGCAGTATCACATGAAGAGATATGCGCAGATGATTGTTAAGCTGATGAAGTCGGAAAACTTGTATGCTTCCCAAGGAGGACCGATCATACTCTCACAGGTTTACAATTTTTGTTTTGTCATGTATGTCTCCTTGAAAGTGATTTTTTACTGATCTCATAAGTTATGAGGGGGGGGGGAAAACAGATTGAGAACGAATATGGAATGGTAGCTAGAGCTTTTAGACAAGAAGGGAAATCATACATCAAATGGGCAGCAAAATTGGCTGTGGAGCTCGAAACAGGAGTGCCATGGGTCATGTGCAAGCAAGATGATGCCCCTGATCCTTTGGTTGGTTTATATGTTTTTTTTTTTTTTTTTTTTCCTGCAGTGTGGTTTTATCTGCCATTTTTTGCCTCTTAAGTTTGTTATTTTTCTTCAATGATACACCAGATTAATGCTTGCAATGGGAGGCAATGTGGTGAAACATTTAGAGGACCCAATTCTCCAACCAAACCTGCAATATGGACTGAGAACTGGACGAGTTTGTATGGTCTCCGTTCATTTTCACTACAATGTTGTTTAGTTCTTAGTTCCTAGATAAAAAGTAACTTTCTGCTGCTCCTTTGTATAGCTATCAAACATATGGTGAAGAACCGTTGGCAAGGTCAGCTGAGGATATAGCATTTCAGGTTGCTCTTTTCATCGCTAAGAATGGAAGTTTTGTAAACTACTACATGGTACTCTTTCCAGTCCCACTCTCTGTTTTTATCTTTAATATACAAGATATGTGGAAATGAATGGTAGATTGACACAGTATCTTATCCTAGTTTCATGGAGGAACAAACTTCGGAAGAAATGCTTCGCAGTTTGTAGCCACCAGCTACTATGATCAGGCTCCACTTGATGAATATGGTAATATTTCAAACCATTCACGCCCAAAGTCAGACTTTGATTTGAAGATATAACATAAATGGTTGGTGCTACAGGATTACTTAGGCAACCAAAATGGGGACACCTTAAGGAGTTGCATGCTGCAGTAAAGTTGTGTGAAAGGCCTCTACTTTCTGGATTGCGAACTACAATATCTCTTGGGAAGTTACAAACTGTAAGAAAAATCCGTCAGTATCTTCTCCTGTTTGATATGGATGAAGAATGTTGTAACATTGATCTTTTTTGTCTTTTTTAATAGGCTTTTGTGTTTGGGAAGAATGCCGACCAATGCGCTGCCTTACTCGTGAACCAAGACAAAAACGATTCTACTGTGAAGTTTCTTAATTCTTCATACCTTTTATCTCCAAAATCTATAAGCGTGCTGCCAGACTGCAAGAATGTAGCCTTCAACACTGCCAAGGTAAGCAAGCTCATACATTAAGACTATCATTCATGCATCTTCTGATTGTATTCATTTATATTTTGTGGTGCGGATACTTGATAGGTCAATGCGCAATACAACACGAGAACCAGGGAACCAAGACAAAACTTGTCTTCTCCTCACATGTGGGAGGTGTTTACAGAAACTGTCCCGAGTTTCAGTGAAACGTCAATAAGATCAGAATCCTTGCTTGAGCACATGAACACAACACAGGATACTTCGGACTATATGTGGCAAATATTTAGGTAAAGCCAATTTCATCCCGGAAGATATACATCACTATTTAGGATAAGTAGTATATGCTAGGCTGGTTGGAGATTCCATAAGTTATTATGTTTCTTCTGCAAAACAGGTTTCAACAACTCGAACCAGCTTCATCAATTCTTAAAGTCAACCACATTGGACATGTTCTACACGCATTTCTAAATGGGATATTCATAGGTATGCTTTTGTTACCCAAGGTTAAAGGCTATTCTGTAGCAATCATCATTTTTATTTAAATGCTTCTATTTTGAGTTCCCTTTAGGTTCTATGCACGGAGCTTTCAAAGCGCAGAGATTTTCGCTAGAGAAAAATGTGTCATTGATAAATGGTACAAATAGCATCGCATTACTCAGCGTAATGGTAGGGTTACCGGTGAGCCTCAATCTTTTCTTCTGGACTTGTATAATATTTGCTCCAAACAGAGGTACTTCTACAGGTGTATCCGTAGCGAGTATCAAATCACCGTCTCAAGGTGTTTCTCTTTGGATCACAGAATTCAGGAGCACATCTAGAAAGGAGAGTTGGGGGATCACGGAGCGTAAAGATTTGGAATGGAAAACATGCACTGTACTTCAACAAATATACCTGGGGGTATCAGGTAAAACTTCTGAGTTTTATTCTCCAACAAAACTTGTCTCCTTCGTGTTAACTGATACTGGCTCAAAATCCTTCCGTAGGTTGGGCTGCATGGGGAGCAAGTACATGTTTACACAGATCCTGGGGCGGCCAAAGTACAGTGGAAGCAGTACAGAGACTACAAAACTCAGCCTCTAACTTGGTACAAGGTAGTAGAACAATAAAATAGTAAAGATAGTACCAGTTTAGTAGTATATTACTCGAAAGTCTCACAACTTCAATCTCTGAATTATTCTTATATCTATAGGCTTCATTTGACACACCAGAGGGGAAATATCCTGTGGCCTTGAACTTAGGATCAATGGGAAAAGGAGAAGCTTGGGTGAATGGCCAGAGTATCGGTCGGTACTGGGTCTCATTCCATACTTCCAAGGGGAACCCTTCTCAGAGATGGTAGTGATGTTGTTCACAGTCCAATACGAATAATCTTGGTATGTTTCAATTGTTGAAGCTCTGTTCTCCGTCTTTCAGGTACCATATACCGAGATCTTTTCTGAAACCCAAGAGAAACTTATTAGTCATTATGGAAGAAGAAAGAGCAGTGAATCCACTTGGCATAACTATAGACACAGTGTCAGCCACCGAAGTCTGTGGTCATGTCTCCAGTTCACATCCGCCTCCTGTGGTTTCTTGGAAAAGAAAAAGACACAGCCGAAATGAACGCAGACATGTAAAACACCAGTATGATAGGAGGCCTAAGGTTCAACTCCAGTGTTCTCATGGCAAGAAAATTTCGAAAGTTTTGTTTGCAAGCTTTGGTACTCCAAATGGAAATTGTTGGAGCTATTCTCTTGGAAAATGTCACTCACCCAAATCTTTAGCTGTTGTACAGAAGGTAAAGCTGCTATTGTCCCTGTAAACTCTACCTGGTTACTGAAATCGTAAAAGCCCAAACAAATGTTCCTTTGTGAATCTGTGCAGGCTTGTCTGAGCAAGAGTAGGTGTTCTGTTCCAGTATGGAGCAAGACATTTGGTGGTGATTCATGCCCACACACTGTTAAATCCCTGCTTGTTCATGCTCAGTGCTCATGAATAGATTTCTCTTTCTGTTGTTTGTTTCTTACGTATTACAAAGTAAATCAATTCAAATATTACAAAAGTAGAATACAAAGTTTGAATTCCAGAGGAAACATGAATAAATAAATAATAATCTTCTTCATTCATGTTAAGTTATTTTAACATATATAACCCATCAAATCAGATGAACTGGATGTTGCACTTTGATGAAACTCTTGGGAGAATCAGCAGTTCCGCTCTCAAGACCTCACTATTGTGGTTGTCTGCGTCAAACCCCACTTTCACAGTTTCAAAACATTTCAAATTACCCAAGAAATGTCTCATCTGCTTCCGCTCTTGTGAAGAAGAGCTGTAATCTGATATCTCTAGCACCTTCACTTGACATGTCCTTAAACAACATACTTCCTCCTCCACTTGACATGTCCTTACACAACATACTTCCTCCTCCTCTTGACATTTCCGACATCTCATTAAACAACAACCTTTCTTCTTCTTCTTCTTCTTCTTCTTCTTCTTCTTCTTCTTCTTCTTCTTCTTCTTCTGCTTTTCAGGGAAAGCTTTCTTCTTCTGCTAGTCTTTTCCTGCGTCTAACTTGCCTAGTATTTTCCTGCGTCTCGCCGGTTGCTTGAGCTGCACTGAATTTGGAACATAAGGGCACGCGAGTTTGACAGGGACGCGAGTGTGACAGCGTCGACATTGGCAGGTTTTTTTTGAGATCATCCTCGAGAGCCGGTTCCCGCGTTAATGGTGGCTTCGCGGTGTTGATCCTTTTGCCGGTTCCCGCAAATCGCTGCTCCAACATGGTTTGGTAAACTAACCCGTCTAGTCTTTTCCTGCGTCTCGCCGGTTGCTTGAGCTGCACTGAACTCGGAACATAAGGGCACGCGAGTGTGACAGGGCACGTGAGAGCGTCGACGTTGACAGGTTTTCCGAGATCCAATACTCTAACGGATCCAGAGTATCCAATGATGGTAACTGTGGCACGACCTAACCTTGTATGAAAAATCAGGGCGACTTTCTTCGCCTCGTCAATGAAGAAACTCTCATAAATAGGCACATTCGGAACCACAGTCAAGAGCTTGCTCCACGATATCTCCTTGCCGGCCTCAATCTTGGCCGTAATCCATATCTCAATCTCCGAGGGCTGGTCACTAGTGTGGTAACACAAAGCTGCGAGCTTCTCTTCTAACACAAGACAGAGTCACACGCCCAAAATATGCACACACAGGTCTAGACGGCAGAGGCAGAGGCGGTCCAAATCTCTCCCTCGTAAAATCAAAACAGATTATGTGATCGAGGCGTTCATAGAAACACCTCGCGGTCCTTCTTGAAGCAACCCAGTATGTGTTTCCCTTGAGAGAGACGCCAAAGCTACCAGTCATTATACGCCAGCGTGGAGGGACATCAAGAGTTTTCCACAAATCAGAGTCAAAATCATATATTTCGTAAACTGACTCCACATTATCATCTATAAACCTCAGTAGTTTGTGGCGACGACCAGATTTAACCTTCTCGTATCCGAGAGCGTAACTGTACAGTCCGTAAGAAAATTGTGGGAGGACCAACCTGGGTTCGTACAATCTGGCTTGGTCCCAGCTGGATGAGTCGGACCTGGTTTGCGATCTGGGTTGGATCCACCTGGTTTGCCCCCAATACGGATTCCAAACCACAACCCTAGTGTCGTCTTTCAAGATGCATAACAACAAGCCCTCGCAGTGACTGACTTGAGAGAACCTGATTGCCTCACCTGAATCGTTGAGGCAAGCAAGTTCGCCATCAAGCTCTGTAGATGGAGGATCGTCGTCATCGTCAACGACGACACTCATTGAATAAAGTTTGTGATCCATCATCACGACCACCCGAGACTCCCCTTCCCGTGCTTCTCCTAATTTACCAATGTGCAACTCCGTAAAGATCCGGCTTTTGGATAAAGCTTCCAACTTTTTACAAGTTAGCCGCACTGCTCCCATATCCTTCAACGGAATTCGAGACATAATCCCCTCCATCAAATCCCTTGGAAGACTGGAGATCGTCGCCGTCATCTTCTCAAGCTGTGAATCCCTTCTTCTTCTTCTTCTTTTCTTTTCCTAGATATCAAACGAAACCCTCAAAACTGATATCAAAACAACCCACGCAGCTGGAATCTGTGTATGATGGATTTGTATGTGGAGAAGGTTTAAAAGAAAAAAAAACGGTTTATATGGAAAAAAAAGGAAATATCTTGGGTAGTCTCAGCATCCAATGCAAAATTGAGCAGGAATTATTATTCATCACTGCCTTAATCAACGTCATTCTCATGAACATCCGATTTTGGGAACCTCTTTTCGAGCCATGACCGGTTTAATCTTCATGACTCTTCTACATCTCTCTTCTATTCCCTCTCTCATTCTCTTATGCAGCTCTTCACCAAGTGTATTCGCCATTCCTTCTGAGCTCAGAGCATCCAACACCAACTTACATGTATACTCTCTCGGAACTAACCCGACCTCCACCATCTCCACCATCAAATCCCGAGCCTCACCCGCTCTCCTGGCCTCAACAAGCGCGTGTATAAGCGGCGTGTACGTGCTTGAACCAGGTACACCGTGACCCATCTTCTTCATCGTCCTCATCATTTCAACCGCACGTTCTATCTCATTGGTAACACTGTAATACCTTATGAAAGAATTATAAGTCACCTGGTTCGGGACACACTCCCTCTGCTTCATATCTTCAAACAGCTCCAGAGCCCGACCAATCCGATTCGTTTTGCAACATCCATCGATCAAGCAATTGTAAGTCACCACATCGGGTACGAACCCTCTGAACAGCATCTCCCTAAACATTCGATTCGCTTCCCACATTCTCCTCCTTATCGCCTTTCTACATCCGGTTTGCATCCCATATCTACAGTACGAGCTTATCAAGATAGTGTAGGTATAGGTGTCGGGTGGGTATCGAAAACCCGGTAATTGCATCTGATCCAACAAAAATCGAGCCTTTTTGAAATTCCCAACTCGGCAAAGAGCGTTGATTACTGTGTTGTAGGCGTAAACATCGGGTTTGCAATGATACTCCTTCATCCTATAAAAGGTAGCTAATGCCTCTTTCACGAAGCCTTCTTCTCCTAGGCATTTCATCAAACAGGTTATAGACGCTGTGGTAACCACATTTCGTCCGTTCTCTCTTCTCGATACTTGCCGGAGAAATTCCCAGAGACCTTTAAAGTCGCTGCCTTTGGCCAACAGACAAGCCATATCTCTGCAGGTGATCTCGTTATGATCGAAACCGAAATGGGTCTCGACCCAAAAGAAGAACTCCATTGCTTTCTGCAACCCGAGAGATACTTTCTTAGGATCCATATACGCGCCGGGACCCAGAACAAGGACTTCAGAACGGCGTCGTTGTGACTCGTCACGGAGGTTCCTCTGTTTCAACGGAGACCGGTGACGAAACCCCTTTTGCCGACCGATGGATCGTGGGGAGGTGAAGAAGAATCTGGGAATCGATCGGAGGACATCGGAGACGAGCTGCTGACTCCACGGACTAGAGACAGTCGCAGAGGCGAGTACCGCATCGAATGGGCGGTTCTGGATCATGGCGGCGATGAGCTGATCGATGATGCGGTTGCTCAGCTGTGACTGTCTCATGGTGTTTCTGAAACTTTCTAAACTTTAAATTTCGTTGCAAGTACATATACAAAGCTAAAATAACACGATTTCTCTTAACCTACGGGTGATAATTCTCTTTACATCATTTCTTTTTTTACGGATTCTGGATCGGTTAAATTTTGTTGTTATCTCTTGTGTTTCTGAGGCTTCTCGGTTGTTTTTAGTTTAGCTTAAGACGTCGGATCCGAAAAAGTGCAGTTTGGATCCTCCAACTGGCGTTGTTATTCCAGGGACCTACGCTGCAGTTCGTGGTCCGTTTCTCTCGAGCTTGGATTGTATAATTTCTTTTTGGTCATTTTCAATTGCTAAACCTGTTGATATGATTAGGAATTTGACAAATCCTTGTTTGGTATTTGTCTAGTGACCATGCAAGCTCCTTCCACAAGGGACCATGTTCTTATTCAACAAACTGTAATTGATAATCCTGGTGTCACGGCCGAGGAAGTTACTAGGGAGATGGTACTGGATTTAACTTAGTTATCACAGTTTGCTTTTTGTTCCTAAAATCAATCATCTGTTTCTTTTCCTAATGAATATTTGCAGTTTAGCAAAGAGACTGCACAAGAGACTAAAATGAGAGTTACTTATTTTGCTCCACCTAAACCATCATCATTGGTCTATGAAGCTGAAGGATCTCTTGTAGTGTGCGTCATAGACACAGATAATGAAGTTGAGGAAGGTAATGAAGTTGAGGAAGATAATGAAGTTGACGAAATGGCGCATGTAAGAGTGCTGCTGCGTGATCATGTGAAGAACATCAAAGAATCATGGGCCATCACGGGTTGCAGCATCCTGATGGATTCATGGGTTGACCAGAAAGGTCGTGAGCTGGTTGCATTGGTTGCATTCGCTGTAGACTCTCCAGCGGGTGAAGTGCCTCTGGATTCCTTTGACGTCTCAGCTGTTAAACATGACTTCACTGCCTTGAAGTCTCTAGTAGAAGGGGTAATTGATGAGGTTGGAGTGGAGAACGTGATTCAGATTATTGCGAGTTCAAGCTCTGGTTGGGTTGGTGATTTAGGCAAGTTTTTTGCTACTATTAATAAAGACATCTTCTGGTTTGTGAGCGTATCACACTGCTTTAAGATTATGCTCGCAAAGATTTCGGAAATACACTCCCTTGGACCCATAGATGACAAAATTAGGCAGATCAAAAAGTATATGGAAAATAATCATTTAAAGAGACTGATTTTGACTTTGTCGTGCCCTATATCATTTTAGAGAGGATCTTCCAGGCCAAGAATCAGTTTGAAGATCTGTTTAAAGACCACTTTGGTTTTGAGGCATCCGAATGGGATGTTGTTGATAGTTCCTCAAGTTCACGTCTCCAATACTTGGAGCTTTTCTCAAGTTTTTTAGCGACTATCATTCCAAAATGGATTATCTTTATAACATAGTTGATTCAATAAAAGAGACCATCGCAGAGAATTTTGAGGGAGACGTAACTTCTTACAAGCCTATGTAAGACTCTATGGATTATGTATGGGACGGTATTCTCTCTTCACGCCTTGGCATATTTCTTCAATCCGAATTATTTCTTCTGATAGACTGTATTATTGCTCAAAAATACTATAATTGACATGTTGTATTATTGATCACTAAGTATAAATTTCAAATATTGATTCCATATGTAAACTCATGTAACATTTTTGATCTAACTTTGTACAATTAAAAGTTTTTGTTCTTTTTTCAAATTGAAATTTTAAACTTTAAATTTTGATAATGAAGATATAACTTTTTTGCATTTTTATAAAAAAAAAATCCATAGGAGGAGATAACTCTTTAGTGATCAATGCATTATTTAGCGGATGTTGTTGGGGACCAACCAATATAAGTTGAAGAGCAAATTGAAGAAGTACAAAATTAAGAGGTGCATGCTTAGGTGATGTGTGATTCCTACTCCAAATGGTGCAGAATCCACTCATCTCTCGTTGTTTCTCTTTTAGCTGAAAAATGACATTGAATAGACAGTTTCAAATCATAACGGCGAAGAGTGGTCGATAATGTAGTTGCAACAGTTTCATGGTGTTATGAAACAATGGCAAAGATCATAAACTTCAAATTTAGTTGCAATTACAAATACAAAGCTTTAATAGCACAAGCTGCTTTTAGTTTTACTTTTTTGGAATCTCCAAAGTTTTTTATATAATACAATTAAGTCATATACTTTTGAATCGACTCCTCGTCCTTTTTGAAAATTCACTTTCACACCTTAACCCCCCCCCAACCCACACTCAAAAACTTCTAAATTTTCATTCCCATGGTGATTGAATATTACAAAAGTTTTGAAAACTCTATTGACATTAGATGATATAGCCATTTAGGACCCTACACTTTAGAATATTCCATAATTAGCCCAAGCTTTGCTTTAATTTCATTTGAGCGATTCAAGCTTTCCTTGGTTCGGATGGCTAAAGAACCGATCTCGAGCCGTTAACTGAAAGTGTGCTCAAAAGAGCCCATACCCGACCCATTCAGCTTCGTTGGCGATTCGTGGCGAGAATCGGAGCGACGAGAACGACGACTTCGGCGAGTCCCATCTCGGAGAAATCGATCTCCGGCTAGAAACAGTCCACGGCGACATCGTCTCCATATCGGAGCAGTAATCACGCTCCGATCTCGACCCGGTTTTCCTCCGACCACCGCTCTTATTCTTCCTCAACCTAAACTTAGGCGTCGGGAAACAACCAAGTCTGGCAACAACAAAATCGGGTTCGGGTTCGGGTTCGGATCCGTGTTTTTCGCGGTGAATTTGCCACCGTTCCGAGAAAGCTCGCGGGGATGATCTGAAAGAAGGTCCCGGAGAGTAGTAGAATCCAGATTGCGACGGCGGCGGTGGTTTGAGCTTGGATGGAGTAGAAAAGGAAGGAGTGAGAGGAGATAAAGGACGGCTTTTGGAATTGGAGATGAAAGAAGACGACGGCGGAGATAACGTCGGGAGGTAGAGTGGCTGAGAGTGAGACAAAGGTTTTAAACGGAGAGGAGAGAGTTTCTTGGGAGGCTGGAGAAGAGGAGTAGTGCTTCCGGGTTGAGAAATTCGGGTCTTGGGTACACCGGGTCGGACCTCCCAGCTAAAAGGTACTGTTCCTGGTCTCTTGAAAGAATCATCAACGACAACAATGGCCATTGCTTTTGTTTTTGCTCACAAGAAGAGAGATGAAACCAAAAACAGAGAGATGGAGAGAGTTATTGAATTTAGAGTTGAATTAAAGATTCTTAGTTTAATGTCTTTATATGAGGACAAAACACGAGGCAGGAGAGTGAAAGAGAGAGATGAGAGGCGAGATTAGAGGAAGATAGAGGTGGGTGGCGGGAGAGATTAGAGAAGTTTATCTGTGTATTTGACTTGTTTCTTTCTGTCCCCACCATTAACATAACTTTTCAATTATGCAAATGGTCACCACAAGCATTCAAATTTCCAAACTCTAATTGAGATTACAATACCCACACATAAATATTCATCTTTTAATTTAGGCCATGAGACCTGTAAGGCTACTTTGAAGAATCTACACAAAGTATTGAACTTTTAGCGTTTTAGGTAACACTTCTCAAAGCTGCTTATTTTTTTCAGGTTTGGTATACAAAACAGAGACTTTTATAATAGGTCGACAGAATTAAAAGGCTAAAAAAGATTTCAAATATCAAAGTATTCAAGTGCTATAAAACAGTTACAGCACGCGGTCTTTCATGATTTAGACGTGAAAGGGGGGAATGAAACGAAACCAAAAAAGAAATTGTCAAGGGTAAAAATTCAAACTTTGAAATGATCAATGACCTCTTTCCTCCCTAAACATGAAACGCAAAAGAGATAACCCACTCACCTTTGTCTTGTCTGCAAAAGATTCCAACTTTGTCTTAAAAACTGTAGAAATGCATGATGATGATGATATTTTGTCACATAAAGGTCAAACCAAACTTCAAACGACCACCATGGTAGAATCAAGAAGTGGAGCTTCAAATTGGACAAATCGTATTGCTTGCCACGTCTAGTAGCTGTAGCTACTAATCAGCGCCGTATACAAGACACTTAACGCATTAAAAAATTGTAGATTATAACATCTTTTAAAACATCGGAAACGAACAGAAACTGATAAACAGAGTCTTATGATCATAACAGATGACTTTATACTTAATCAGAAAACAACACATCACTTAAAATCAGAGTCTCAGCATACTGCATCACCCTCAAATTATTCCAATTAGTGGTACCCAAGTCTCCCACAGATTAGTCAACAACAAACAAATCAATCAAATATACACATCCACAACAAACTAAGAAGATGAGAAAAAATTATTAGTATTAGTTCTCAGCCAATGACTGAGAACTCTGAAGAAATGTTGTCATTTCTCTTCTCTCCTGAAAGTTCAAAAATTTATTTCCTTTTGACTTGGTCCATGGAGTAGTAACAGAGTTTTTTTCCGGCTCTTGTTTAGAACCCTCTTTGGCATACAGCAGGTTTCACTATGCTTTAGAGTTTCGCGCTCAACAATAGTGGGACCCATTGACTATCAATCTCGCAAGTCGTAACGGTTTTTGACTTCAAGCGACGGCCAAGATTGATCGATTATTCTTTTAATAAAGTAGAAATAGAAACCCCCGAGTATTTTCTTTTCCGTTGTTCCTCCTCTTCTCGCTCAAGATCTCTCTCTCTCTCTTCTCTCTCTCTTACTGAAGAGAAACCCTAAAACTGACCGGAGAACGACGACGCCGAATCGGAGATCTTCCATTTCCTCGTCAACAATGTCTTCCTTGGCTAAACGGACTTCTTCCTCGTCGTCAACGGGGAATCCATCCCAGGAGAATCCGGTTTCTCGGCCGAACGGAGCGAAGACTCGAGTCCCACTCGGCGATGTTAGAAACCGCCGTAATCCCCTCGGCGACATCACTAATCAGAAGAATGGATCTAGAATTTCTGCTTCTTCGTCTACTCTGGTAAGTTTACTTGGATTCTCTCTTCTTCTTCTTCTCTTCCTTTTTCAATTCCGGTGTTTTGTTCGACGAGAAAATCAGTTTTAGGGTTTATCCTGTAATCGCACTCTATTAATCTTGCAATTGGTTCATCTGTGAAGGTGCATTGCTCAAATAAGATCGGTCAATCAAAGAAGGCGTCAAAACCTGCTTTATCTCGTAATTGGAATTTGGGGATTCTCGAAGACAAACGATTACCTCCCAAGCCAAATGCGAAATCAAACACAATCGTTCCTCACGAAGACGACATCGGATTGCCTCAAGTCAATGATAATCTTCTAGCTTCATCACAAGGATCATCCGTGGATGCCTCTCCCAATCAATCAGACCTGTCAATATCCACGCGTGACTCCTTCAAGAGCACCGAAGTTGAGTATATGGTCGAAAGCAGTATTGCTCTCCCGGAAAATGCAGAGTCATCATACACAGATTTGGGAAAAGATGATAAGATTGTGAACATCGATGATAACTTGATGGATCCACAGCTTTGTGGTGCCTTTTCTCATGATATCTATGAGCACTTGCGTGAATCCGAGGTGAGATTGCTGTCAAATTTTCCCTGGAACACTTCTCATACGAAATTGCTCTGTTTCTGAGTTCGCTCATTACTCTCTGCAGGTTAAGAAAAGGCCGGCTCTAGATTACATGGAGAGGATTCAGTTAAACATTAATGCTAGCATGCGTTCCATACTGATTGACTGGCTCGTGGAGGTACGTTTTCGATGAATCCTGGTTCATGAAAGCAATGCAATTAGTTTAGTTTTATGAGGCAAGACGTTTTAGTTATAGATAAAGCGTTGCTGTATAGATTTTCCACTGGTATATGTGCTGTTCTCTGAATTTTCATAAAACTACAGGTCGCTGAAGAGTATAGGCTTTTGTCAGACACGTTGTATTTGGCAGTGAACTATGTAGACCGGTATCTTTCAGGCAATGTAATCACCAAGCAAAACCTGCAGTTACTTGGTGTTTCATGCATGATGATAGCAGCGTGAGAATTCTAAAAAAATTACTCTAAGGTTTCATACTTTGGCTTCTTCAGAAGTATGTAGTTCCTAACTAGTTTACATACTGAACTTGCAGAAAATATGAAGAAGTGTGTGTGCCCCAAGTGGAGGATTTCTGTTACATCACTGATAACACGTATTTGAGAAACGAGGTTTGTGCTTTGGTCTTTCGTGGACAAACTCTGCTTCTTGTGTTTAGATATGGCAGTAATACATCGTTAACCTTACATGTTTGTAACAGATTTTGGAGATGGAGTCTTCTGTTCTGAATTACTTGAAGTTCGAATTAACAACTCCAACAGCAAAATGTTTCTTGAGGTAGCTTCTGATTATATTGATGTTACTCTGATCATCATTTTTGTGTGTGTGGTTCCTTGCTGATCTGGACTTGTAAAAATGGTGGTTAGGCGCTTCGTTCGTGCTGCTCAAGGGGAAAAGGAGGTATAGTGACAACTGAAGATGAGCTCTCTACGCTAATAGATGATGGTTATTACTTTTCTAACTGTTGACTGCTTTGTATTAGGTACCATCACTGATGTTTGAGTGTCTAGCCAGCTATATCACCGAATTATCTCTCTTGGATTATGCAATGCTTCGATACGCTCCATCACTTGTCGCAGCCTCTGCAGTTTTCTTGGCACAATACATACTACACCCTTCAAGAGAACCATGGGTACGTATATGACAGGAAAACACTAATCCTATTTTAACACGTACTCTGCTAATTCAACTCAGTGTTGTAACAAAAGCTATCAATTTGGGGGGGGTTTTGCAGAACGCTACGTTAGAGCATTACACATCGTACAGGGCTAAACATTTGGAAGCATGCGTTAAGAGTCTGTTTCAGCTGTGCCACGAGAGTCCCTCAGGTGATGTAGTTGCAGTGAGGAAGAAGTACAGTCAACACAATGTAAGTAACAAAGCCTTCCACTTGTTTTTATTATAACAGCTTCATATAAGATCGATGCTTGAAATGTTTACTCGGTTCTTTTGTGTTTCTTCTGGCAGTACAAGTTTGCAGCAAAGAAGTTTTGCCCCGCCTCACTACCACACGAACTCTTCCTCTGCTAGGGTGCTTCTTTTTTGTCGTGTAGATATTGTTGATAAAAAAAAAAAAACCCATTCGGTCAACCAAATGTGGTTCAGTTCAAATAGATGTGTTAGATGAATATACTAGTTATCAATATTAAGGGTCGTTTCGTTATAGGCATGTGAACAGAGTTCTGAGCTACGGATATGGTGGTTTGGGGGTGGTTGCAATGTCTTTGTGTGTGCCATTTGTGCTAAAGGCTGTTCATATTTGCTTCAAAATGATAAGAATTGGGATCCAAAGTTATCAAACAAATTATGTTTATGGACAAAGAAGAAACCACACCCAAAATCGCCTAAGAATGATAGGAATTGACAATCAAAGCTATTTACTTTTTAACGATCATGTTTGTCGACTGTATATATATATATTTAGTGTAATAAACGTAAAAAGTAGAGGAGCTAAAGCTTTGCACACAAAAAAAAAGTAGAGGAAGTAAAGCATACATTTAAAATGTATTTCTCATATAGAAATGTAATATGGAATTATTTGAGAATGTAATCAAATATTATCTTCAAGTGATCCAGTCAAAGATATACTAATCATTTTTACTTGCGAGTTGCCAACATTTTAAAGTACTATAAAACCAAGTATTGTTACAACTGATAAAATACGATCCATAGTGGACCAAATTTTGTTGTTAACTATCGAGAAAACCAATAAACCATGCGGAAGAAATGTTGATGATTAAGTATAAACTTTCTCTTTCGGTATTTGTAGTCACGGAGTGGGCTGGTGATCAGGTAATGACGGAAAGCTACAAGTTTACAACTAAAAGATTCTTATGGTGGTAGTTACGATTCTTGTTTACTTTCATTAAGAATAGTTGTTTAACTTATCAGAAAAAAAATACTTGTTTAAGTGATAGTGTTGTCTAAGTTAATTAGTTCCTAAACGCTTACATATGTCTAATAATCAACACGCTTTTGCGTCATCTTGATCTAGCAAGCAAATACAGTTTTTGCTTGAACCAACAAATATATACATAACATGAGAAGATATTAATTATTATTTGTTTTTGTTAAAAACAAATTATAATATTTTTATTTGATCACATATATCCAATAAACGGATCTATCAATTAAAACAACTCATGACAACAAAAAGTCATATTTTAACTCGGAAACTTTACTTTATTATTGTCATTATTTTCATGATTAGAGAATTTTAACATCGTTTCATATATGTCAGATATTTTGTCAGTAGTGGAGTTCAAATTTTAAACTTACAAGACAGATTCGTTTTGCTAAATTCTTTTCGAGTACCAAACCTGATATTTTTATAATATCAAAAATATTTTATTTAAATACTAATTATATTACAATATCTGAATCGAAACCTAACCGGGAATAGTAAGCAATCGAATCCGATGCTCTTCTATCTCAAAAATCGAATGAGATAAATCGCGACGGCTGGAAAATAAAAAAGAATAATCAAAAGTGTCGATCATGATGATGATAAACTCATGGCGATATATATACGCTTAGTATATATATTGAGGATATTATTTTACGGGAACAAGTTGAAGAAAGTGGCTTGATGATGAAAGGCGTTTTTGATTCACTCTTTTTAATTAAATTCATTTAGTTGAGGATGCATGGTTGTGTGTCTGCTTATATCAAGTGGATATGTTCTACACCAACGAACCCTATTCTCTTTCTTGATCTCCTCAATCTTTCTTATTAGTGTATTTATAATTATCTCTTCAGTATACACATGGAAAGTAAAGATCTACCATTAAGATGGATCAATACTTTTAAAAGGAAGAAGATGGATTGGCACAGTTTGTATGCGTTCTTGCGGTTAAACGCAAACTTGGAGTTTAAAATATTCTATTCTATTTGACTATTTTCTTATGACTTTTAGTGTAATTACTTATGGTCTGACGACAATTTTGATATAAATTCTTTATGGAAGATTTGCTTTCACACGAATCAAACTTATGGTAGTAATGAAAAGACAAAAGTTTGTGTCGTAAAAAGAGGAAAAAAACAGCCTTAAATTTTCACGACCTCAATGCAATAATTTAATAGTTGTTTTTATAGGTTTTAATAAAAAAATAGATTTTTATTTTATTTTAAAATAAACCAACATCAAATTACGTAGCTTGTGAAATCATGAGACAGGTTCTTCTCCAACATAATCCAATATATTTTTCCGTTTGGTGTAACATTCGTGTTTTCTTAATGAGTTTGGTTGGCAAAGTAACAATATATTTCATTTTGAGAGGATAATATAGCTTACACGCCTCAGAAGTTACCTGCAGAAGCTTCTCTATATTGTGGACTGGCGATATGATTATTCTCTCAAATTCTAGGTCAGATTAGGACATATACTATGTTACTGTTTATCCACTTTTAGTTATCATTTTTGAAATCTCCACAAGATTTTGTGTAATCATCATTAAAAGTAGGCACTGAACTGAAGCACCATACATTTTGAGGCGTTAATAGTTTTACATAAATGAAAATGTGAATTAGCTAAATTAAGCACTATATAGCGTGCTGTCACATAAAAATAATATAACGAAATTGTGTGTTAATTATTTATTTTCTAAGCGTTGTTCCGAAAAGAGAAAAAGCGAAAAATAAGAATAAAGCTTCAACACACGTACAGAAAAAAGTTAGCCAAAGTTGAACAATGGCATTTAGTCCAATTGAAACGATGGCAGCATCTTGGACTCACATTTCTTCCTATGCCCATATTTTCTTTCTTCTTTGTTTTATACGGTACTATTTTTGTTTTAAAAAATTGTTCATATATATCATGAAGTCAAAAAAACTTCAAAAGAACATATGAGTGTGGTCCTACCAACTTTTTACCAATTTCTTTTTTTTACCAATTTATGTGTATATAAATCTGCATTCCAATTTCAGTTTCTCTTCATCCACCTTCTCTTCTTCTTCTTCTTATTTGAATTAGAAACTCCAAGAACCAGACAGTTAAAGAAAAACAGAGGTCTTCAAAAAGAGTTCATAATTTCCGATTATATATATGCGTATTAGATTCTTCGGAAAAATGCATTAAACATTACCCAAACAATTTCCTTTAGCTTCTGTCTTTATATTAAAGGCCAATACATATATACTCTACATTGAAGTGCCGATACATTGAACACAAACAAAAAAACAAGGCAGACATAAAATGATTCAAAACCAGCAAGCAGCTTTCGCCGTCGATATGCCACAACCCGGTGGCTCCAAGTGCTTCGACGACGACGGCCGAATCAAACGAACTGGTAATAATGTTTCCTTTTCTTTCTCTTTCTCTTTCTTGTTGAAAAAAAAAATCAGTAATTTAAACATTTTTGGGGTATTAGGGAGTGTTTGGACGGCGAGTGCGCACATTATAACGGCGGTGATAGGTTCGGGAGTTTTGTCACTAGCGTGGGCAACGGCGCAGCTAGGTTGGCTCGCCGGACCGGTGGTGATGTTGCTCTTCTCCGTCGTCACTTATTTCACGTCTACTCTCCTCGCCGCCTGTTACCGCTCCGGCGATCCAATCACCGGCAAGAGGAACTACACTTATATGGACGCCGTCCGATCAAATCTTGGTATAAAATAGAACAAAACTTTAAATTAGAGAATCATAAAAACTGGACGGTGGAGATTAGAAGTTAGAACATTTAACATGTTCTCATTGGTTGGGCAGGTGGCGTGAAGGTCAAGCTATGTGGAATTGTTCAGTATCTTAATCTATTTGGCGTTGCTATCGGTTACACAATTGCCTCAGCCATAAGCATGATGTAATAATATTCTCACTAATTAATTTAACAGTAAAAGCTACCAAAAGAAAAACAAATTAGTTTTAATATAATAATTTTTTGTTTAAAATGGAAAAAAAAAACACAGGGCAATAAAGAGATCCAACTGTTTCCACAAGAGTGGAGGGAAAGATCCATGTCACATGAACAGTAATCCTTACATGATAGCTTTTGGATTAGTCCAGATTATATTCTCTCAGATTCCAGATTTTGATCAACTTTGGTGGCTCTCTATCCTCGCCGCCGTCATGTCCTTCACTTATTCCTCCGCCGGTCTCGCTCTCGGCATCGCTCAAGTCGTAGGTCCGTTAAAAACAAAGAATAAAACTTCTATGGATTATTTCATAAGTTATGGATGCTAAACGTGAAAAGAACAATGTTTTTGGTTTCATCAGCAAACGGGAAGGTGAAGGGAAGTCTCACAGGGATTAGCATAGGAGCAGTGACAGAGACACAAAAGATATGGAGAAGCTTTCAAGCTCTCGGAGACATTGCTTTTGCTTACTCTTACTCCATCATTCTCATCGAGATTCAGGTACTCTATCTTCTTTACAAGTCTTGATGATTAATTATTAAAGCCATTCTTGGTCTCACATCCTCAACCTTTTCTAACAGGACACAGTGAAGTCACCACCATCAGAAGAGAAAACGATGAAGAAAGCGACGCTTGTTAGCGTCGGTGTAACAACTATGTTCTACATGTTGTGCGGTTGCATGGGATACGCAGCCTTTGGAGACATGTCTCCCGGAAATCTCCTAACCGGTTTCGGGTTTTACAACCCTTATTGGCTTCTTGACATTGCAAATGCAGCCATTGTGGTTCACCTCGTTGGTGCGTACCAAGTCTATTGCCAACCTTTATTTGCCTTCATCGAGAAGCAAGCTTCGGTTCGGTTCCCTGATAGCGAGTTCATAGCGAAAGACATCAAAATCCCCATTCCGGGTTTCAAGCCTTTCCGTTTGAATTTCTTCAGGTACAAACAGTTCAAAGTAATGTGATCTCTCGGACATGATAATCATCAGTTTTATGTAATAATCAAAAGATGTTTGTATGGTGTGTGGAATGGCTTACTCAGGTTGATATGGAGGACAGTGTTTGTGATCGTAACGACACTTATCTCAATGCTTCTACCGTTTTTCAACGACGTTGTGGGTCTGCTCGGTGCACTAGGGTTTTGGCCATTGACGGTGTATTTTCCGGTGGAAATGTACATTGAGCAGAAGAAGATACGTCGATGGAGCACACAATGGGTCTGCCTTCAAGTCTTCAGCTCAGCTTGTTTGGTAGTTAGCATTGCTGCAGCTGCTGGGTCCATTGCTGGAGTTATTCTCGATCTCAAGTCCTACAAGCCATTTCGAAGCAGTTACTGATAAACTTTTCTCAGCCGTTTTTAAACACAATCAAAGGAATCTAATCAAGAACGTCAAGAGAATGAAGAACCCTGTGATTTGGGAGAAATGTTGATAGATAAAAGCAATAATGCTTTGGTGTTTCTTCTCTGTAATCTTTTTACCTTTCAGCTAAAGTAATCCTCCGAAGCATAATGGCAAGAGTTTGTAGTCTAATAAGAAAATCTCCGGTTTAGCAACATAATATTGGAAGATAACTTACCCAAGTCATCAAACCAACCAGAATTCTCCCAGTCAAAATTTAGATAGTTGGGCCATATATTCAACTATTGGGCCTTCTTTTCCTTTCCTAATGGGCTTCTACATGTGGCCCATTTATCTCAATTTTGATACGGTGCGTATCATTACCTGGTCTTCAGTCTTCAGTCTTCCGTCTTTGAACGGCGACGTTATCTTCAGTCCCCGGTGAGCAAAACCACTGTTCCTGAAAACAAATCCCACTTAATCGATGTATATGGTCGAAACTACGTTTTCCTAATACATTATACATAATTGGATATATCTGTGTTATGTGTATTGGCTTTTGTCTTTTTAGTTATGTTCATTAAGTGTTCGACGAAATGACTCAGTGACGCGTCTATATCACTTCATTGTCTATATGTCCTTCCCTCACATTTTTTTTTTTTTTTTTGTGGCGATGGGAATGTAGCTCTGCTTCTGTGGTTTGGGTTCGTAACAACATGACGATCAGAATTCTGAACCGGCAATCCAGATTATGTAGTAAAAGTATTATGTCTGCGAAGCTGTATAGTTCAGGTGGACAAGCCATTGATGTTGCGGAAGTGGCAAATAACATATCTAAAGTAATGATGTCTTCCCCGCAACCGGTGCTTGACGCTGCATTGGATCAAAGCGGCTTAAGGGTTTCACCGGAAGTAGCAGAAGATGTTCTAAACCGATTCAGGAATGCCGGTTTGTTGGCATACCGGTTCTTCCAGTGGTCTGAGAAGCAGCGGCATTACGAGCACAGTGTCCGTGCTTACCACATGATGATCGAGTCTACGGCAAAGATAAGGCAGTACAAGCTCATGTGGGATCTCATCAACTCAATGAGGAAGAAGAAGATGCTAAATGTCGAGACATTTTGTATCGTGATGAGGAAGTACGCGAGGGCGCAGAAAGTGGACGAGGCCATTTACGCTTTCAATGTGATGGAGAAGTATGATTTGCCGCCGAACCTTGTGGCGTTCAACGGCTTGTTGAGTGCTTTGTGTAAATCCAAGAATGTGAGGAAAGCGCAGGAGATATTCGAGAAGATGAGAGATCGGTTTACTCCTGACTCCAAAACCTATAGCATATTGCTTGAAGGATGGGGGAAAGAACCAAACTTGCCAAAGGCGAGAGAGGTGTTCCGGGAAATGCTCGATGCGGGTTGTGATCCGGATATAGTGACGTATAGTATAATGGTTGATATACTCTGTAAAGCTGGAAGAGTCGATGAAGCGCTTGGCATTGTGAGGAGCATGGATCCAAACATTTGCAAGCCGACAACTTTCATCTACAGTGTGCTTGTGCATACTTGTGGAACCGAGAACCGGCTTGAAGAGGCGGTTGATACGTTCCTAGAGATGGAAAGAAGTGGAATCAAAGCAGATGTAGCGGTTTTCAATTCGTTGATCAGCGCATTTTGCAAAGCAGGTAGGATGAAGAATGTTTACAGAGTTTTGAAAGAAATGAAGACTAAGGGTGTGACGCCTAACTCCAAGTCATGCAACATCATTCTACGCCACCTAATAGAGTGTGGCGAGAGAGATGAAGCTTTCGATGTGTTTAGGAAGATGATCAGAGTGTGTGAACCGGATGCAGACACATACACGATGATGATAAAGATGTTTTGTGAGAAGAAAGAGATGGAGACTGCTGATAAAGTGTGGAAGTACATGAGGAAGCAAGGGGTTTTCCCAAGTATGCACACATTCGCGGTTCTTATTAACGGGTTGTGTGAGGAGCGTACTACTCAGAAAGCTTGTGTTTTGTTAGAGGAGATGATCGAGATGGGGATTCGACCATCGGGTGTAACGTTTGGGAGAATAAGACAGTTGCTTCTCAAGGAAGGTAGAGAAGATGTGCTCAAGTTTCTTAACGAGAAGATGAATCTTTTGGTCAATGAGCCTTTGTGTGATTGATTGACCACACTTATAGCTATTAGAGAGGTATTATGAAATAGTTAAACAGGTTGTGTGATATAATCCCGATGCATCATTCATATAAGTCGATTATATAAAAAGAAAACACCATATTTATGTCTCTTTCTTCTTGTGCTACCAATAATTATGTCTGAATAATCTCATCGTCATCTAACGTACAGAGGTCTAATGACAAAAGATCAATTTCCAAGGGGGGTAACCTTAATTAACCCCTATTGTAAGAATTTGTTCTAGTGACGATGTTGGACTCTCGCTTATCTTTTTAATCTCAAATTACAACAACAAAAAAAAACAATATCACTTCTTAAGAGTATCATTTCTGAAGAATTAAAAATTTTGGTTTCATCAATAATTTGTTTATTCTTCAATAAACTATTTTGGATTTTTACATACTCTCTAATATTTCTAACAGATTCACAAAACAAAAATAATTTTTAATAAACATAGCACTGTTATAAACAATGATTTAAATACTCATGATAAAAACTCATTTTCTGAAAACGTTTAGAACATTTAAACTTTACTAATTTTTTTGATGTATTCCTATAAATATATATACATTTTATTATTCATAAAATAACACAACAATATTTTCTCTATCTCTTATTTTTTCAACACAAATACATAATTTTAAATTTAGATTTTCTGAAGCAATATTTGTTAAATTTAAGAAACCCTCAATATTTTTTCTATGACATCTGGATGTGATATTATAACCGAAGTAAGATACAAAATTGGAATACATACGCCGCTATAAATCATAAGATATTCAAAAGTTTGGGCATAAGTTGTTCAAAAGAAAAAATTGGAACACATACAAATTGGACATAAAGCATAAGCTGAACCATTGGAATACAAATTGAAATTTTCAACATAAGCTATACGTCTATCGTTTCAATCCTCAGCATAAGCTACACGTGTATCGTTTCAGTAATCTCCAATAGGCTACCTATAAACTTGGTTTCACTGGTCGTTGGCCCTAACCACTCGAGAACCGATGCTTGATAGTTGGTCCCAGCTCTAATCCTAGCTGGAGGAGGAAGCGGACATTTTGCTGAGGATAATGAACCTTATGACCTTGATGACCAAGTTTATAACCTTGATGAACAAGCTTATAACTTTTTCGAACAAGCTTATAACAAGCTTATAACATTGTTCAAGTAGCTCATGGCTTTGAACAAGTTCATAACCCTGAGGAGGTAGATAATAATGCTGTGGTAGTAGATCCTACAAAGGACAAGATCTTACCTTCCTTGTTGGTGATTCTCAGAGCGGCCAAGGTGCTTTGCAGGTTACTTTTTTTTCAATTTGTCTCTCCCAATCATTGTCTTCTGCTAATAGCTTACAACACATCACTTACTTTCAGTTGAAAGCTCAACTTTTGGGTTAGTTTACGAACCAAAGAGTTGTAAATTTTAACATATAATAGATGAGTAAAGAATTAAGTCAACCTCTCACTAAGCTTTCATGAGTACTACTACCACCTTTCTACAAAGACATTAACAATAATATAAGAAGAGTATGACAAATGTTTCAGTTCCAATAATGTCTCATCTTTCCATAGTTGAGAAACAAAAATCTGAATCATTCAGGATACATACAATACACATTATAACGAAACTGAATTATGCGAACCAAATTGAACCGGATATTGGTTTTAGTCAAACCGGTTTAGAGATTTAAAATTTAACATGGACGACGCGTTACAAAACGAAAAGTGATTAAGGTTTAATTATAAAACATAAGCACTCCAAAGTTTGTTGAAACGTGAAGATGGGTAAAAAAGAAAATGATTTAAAAGATAGTTTTGACTTTTGATGATCATGCAGATAATTAGTTTGCATGCAATAAATTGCATTTGAAGTTAGCTCCTCCGCGTCGATGGAAAGCCAAAAATCGAAGACCGTGCGTGACGTGGAATATTTTCTATGTACATTGATTCTGTGCCAATACATAGTTTCATTTGCATACATTCTACGCTTCATACCTATAATAATTTATCAGGCAAACAGAAAAATCTATAATAATTTATGTTATTGTTAACCATAACTACTAGATGGTAGACATGTATTAAACCATAACAGAATTTCATAGCATGGTCTTCATTGATATAAACCCTTTATTAAAAAAAAAACAGAATTTCATAGCATCATTGTATTTGTAACTAATACTGTAATATTTTTGGAAATACAACACCACATTCATCTGAATTTGATTCAAAATTGACACTTTCAAACTAATTATTTACACTTAGATACAATAGTATTGAACAAAGCCCGACAAAATTAATCTCCGAGCCAATGGATCAAGATCTAACTGTGTTTATATTACAGTTTTACCAGGGTGAATTAATGTTATATTTGTGTGTTACACTTACACCAAAAAAATACGTGTTTTTCAATAGTTGGAGATTTGGAGTAAATGAAGAGAAGATCCCCAAAAAATGTCGGTAACAGTTAAAGAAGAGAAAGATTAAAGACGTAATAATAATAAGTTAACATGGTCAATTAGTTGCTCCAAATTATATGGAAACGAACCGACCACGTCTCATTGTTTACTTTGCGGAGTAAGCACATTTAGTGAATGTGTCTTCATTTTCTCCGGAAGTAAATACAATGATGAAAGATATGAATTAACACCACAGAGCCAAGAGGCAAACCAAGAAGATAATGTTTTTTTATATACCATATAGTACTAGTTTATGTAAGCAGTACATATCCACTAGATTTGAGGATTTATAGAACTGTCGACATTAGTTCTTACAAGCTTAAATTAGCCTTTTCTCCCGTCAAATTACGCTGATATATATAATATCGAGGAAGATGTTCATACATTGAACTAAGCTTGTTATTTAGAGTGGTCTTTATATTATGAAATTATTCCGTATAAAGACTTTTTATAAAGAAAATAACATTTTTCAATACGATTAAAACATACGAAGACAAAATTAGCCACTTAAAATAGTATTAACATAATGTACAAGAACATAATATAACAGTTTTTTAACTTTGTGGTATACATTAAACGACTGGATCATTTAGGTTAAAAGAAACATCAAAAACGGATATTTAATTATAGTGATAGAAACTATATCTGATTAATCAGATACATCTTTTAAAAATATATTATGATTTTCTTGTGGTAATTATGTTTTCGGTGGATAATTTCTTTCAACGAATGAGTACTTTATCTACCTTATAACTATTTATGTAACTGATTTTCAAATAATTACCTTATATCGATCAAAATATATTATAATTAAGCTGAGCTTTTTAGTCCATAGATTCGATTGCTGCAACATAAAAGAGACAGAGATCACTCAGCACCATGTGATTCACTCAATTGTGCTTCAAGACTAGTCCATTATTTCTCTAATTTGTTAAAATTTTCGGTTATATATCAATTTGTTTTTTGAAAACAAATTAGTAGTTATATTGTAGTTTGTCAGTATCATTATTCTAGTTGATCTTACTAAAACAGTGACACGGGGGAATGCATTTGGATAAATAAATGATTTACCTCTTTTTTTTTTCACAAATCAGCGAACGATCATTAATAAACAATTTATTAATACAAACAGCACTTCCGAGTGTAGTCCCATGTGAGCATGGACGGCTAGCTTTTTCTCGATTAGAAAACCTAAAAATATTATAAATTGCTTTTTTCTCAATTAGAAAACTCCTTGGGATATAGTTTATTCTTGCTTTAATTGTTTGGTATATTTATTATATACGTATATAGTTCATTACTATTTTAGGTATATAGTGGCGCAATGGCTGTCTGCATGTGAAACAGTGGGAGCAAATAGATTATCATTATAATTTATCATATATCAAATAATCTATAATCATGAATATGAAATGTATTAATAAAAATGCCAATAATAATAGCAAAACATAGTAACATAAACCCATGTAACAAACCACTATCATAACTACTAGCAAAATCAAATAATTGAAGACATAATTATATATATCTCTATGACAAGCTATGATGATTTACGTTGTATATCATACAGAACATACATATATAGTAAAGAAAAGAAAAAAAAGCATTCATATATATACAACACACGCACACATGCACCGACATATGGGAGATGCATTTCCATAATTTAAAAATTCGTGGCCTTTTAGTCTAAAGAAAACTAAGTACTTTATTTTCATATTATTAACTTCCATAGAGTCGAATATTTTTGTTATTAACATTATACAGATACTAATCGTAGAACATTTTGAACCATGTTTCTTCAACCCACTCTACAGTGTCGTCAACTATTCTATACTAATACTGCAAACACTTTAGCACAAAAATAAAAATAAGAATACAGTGGAAAACGAAACGGAATAAACAAATTTATATTTGCTATAATTAAAGTACAACTCCTGAAGTACGTCAGTGCATTAAGAAACAAATATAACGATAATTAATGTGTTTAACAGTCAACCGCTTCAACTTTTCTGACATGAACCATTTTCTACCGACTTGATCGAAACATATAATTTGCGCAGAATCAATTAGATGATTAGATCATAGTTTTTTGTGATATTGATCTCAACATTTGTTAAGTATATAGTACGACAATATTTTTTTTTTAAATGTATGTAATTTTGTTGCTGTTCTCGTATCCAGGCAAAGGCATTGAGACTCGGGATGAGGACAAAAAAAGGCATCACCTGCTCATGTGTACAGCAGAGATGGCTGTGCTGTACTGACAATTATTTCCACTATATATACTTTTCTCATAATTTTATCGGGTTTATAAGTATTTTTTAATTATCTTCTACTGTGACGACAAAAATATAAAAATTATCTTCTACTATTATATTTGGTAGCTTTACAAAAATTGTATATGTTCTTTTTTCCACCATTGATATAATGATATCCTCCATGTTCCCCTATTTTGTCCACGTACCATGAAAACAAAGTCTATTAAATTATTTTGGATATAATTCGCTAACCTATTATTACTTTCCACGTTCATAACTCATAATATAAGTCAATCATATATATATATATTTATTTATTTATATATATATATAAACAAAATACCATATCTATGTCTCTTTCTTCTTATGATATCAATAATTATGTCTGAATAATCTCATCGTAATCTAACGTGAAGAAATATAAGGTTAAAGATCAATTTCAAAGAGGAGTAATTTATCTCTTGATCTCAAATTCCAAAATACAAAACTGGCTAATTTATGGTCTTGACCTGATCACTTCTGAAGAATTATTTTTTTACGTTAATCAATAATTTATTTATTCTTAATAAAATATTTTGGATTTTTGACATACATACTTTTTAAATTTTTATAGAGTTAGTGCCAAAAGGGATTTTATGAAACTATTCTTTAGTCAGAATCTCGATTCTTTTATGTGTTCTCGCTATATTTGATTCTTTTGTTGATCAACAAATGATTTATAATATCTCTAACGGATTAACAAAACATAAATAATTTTTTTAATAAACATAGCACTGTTATGAACAATGGTGTAAATATTCGTTCATTGTCTACAAACATTTAGACTTACATTTAAACTGTATTTCCCAAAACTAAACTTTTCCTGTATTTCTATATATATACTTTTTTATCACTCATAAATAGTAATACATATTCCCTCTATTTTAAAATAAATGTTATTTTAGAGTTTTTTTTTTCCAAAAAGTGTCATTTTGTATTTTTAATATAATTTTTTAAACAAAAATCATGTTTTAACATTGTTATATTAATGTATTAATTAAAAAGAAAATGTTATTTTATGTATGAACAAATGATAAAACAGAATTTTTAATATTTTTTTAATTTATGTGAAAAATGTCAAAATGACACTTATTTTGAAACAGAAGAATTAACATTATTACATTTCTTTGAGACAGTGCTATGTTTATTAAAATTTTAGATTTAACAGCATTTAAACACAATATCTTAAACCAGTTGAATTAACCCCCTTCACTTGAAACTCTTTATGAAAAAGTCTATCCAATAAATGTTTTTAATAACGTGGTAATTATTTCGAAGATTTTTTATTTTCTAAAGGATAAGATTTAAACAAAATAAACAAACACGTAAAAATCATTATTTCATGCACTAAACTGAAATTAACGGCGAAACCGGTTGCACGGAAAAAGAGAACTTGCGGTCAAAGCCTGACGAGATCATTAATGCCCAAGGATTACGCAAAATGTAACTTTTTAATATTATTATTTTAGACCATTACAAATTTTAAAGTCAAGAAGATGGATTAAACTGTAACTGCATCAGAATAATCAAATCTCCTAAACAGTAAACACATCGTTTTTTGTAATATGAATCTAAGATTCAACGGTATTGTTATATATGTTTGACAAATACTAATATATACAACATGGCGTAAAGATGAACAGTTGACATTTTAATCTAATTTGCTTGGAGTAAAAAGAAAACTAAAAAGGGGAAAATCTGGGAGTAGTATAAATAAGGGACTAAGCTTTACATAATCTTCACAACTAAATCTAATTACAAAACAGAGTCCTCTTTGACTTACCAAAAACAGAGCCTTTCTCTTTGCGGATCTGAAATGGCGATTCCTGTGATCGATTTCTCTAAGATCAATGGTGAAGAAAGGGAGAAGACACTTTCTGAAATCGCTAGAGCTTGTGAAGAATGGGGATTTTTTCAGGTTCGAATCTTAAAAAAAAAAGTCAGAACTTTGACTCTCACTCTGTTTTTACGTGCTTATCTCTGTGTGTATGTGTGTAGTTGGTGAACCATGGGATTCCATTGGAGCTTCTGAATAAGGTGAAGAAGCTAAGCTCAGATTGCTACAAAACAGAGAGAGAAGAAGCATTCAAGACCTCAGCTCCAGTGAAGTTGCTCGACGAATTGGTTGAGAAAAACTCCGGCGAGAAACTCGAAAACGTTGACTGGGAAGATGTCTTCACTCTCTTTGACCAAAATCAAAACGAATGGCCATCCATCCTCAAGTAAGCAACTTTTTCTCATACTCCAAACCTCAAATCACTCAAACCCATTTTCAAAAACTGCAACTTTTTTAAATTTTGATGTTTTCTCAAAACAGAGAGACGATGGGAGAATACAGAGAGGAAGTGAGGAAGCTAGCGAGCAAGATGATGGAAGTGATGGACGAGAATTTGGGTTTGCCTAAAGGTTACATAAAGAAAGCATTTAACGAAGGAATGGAAGATGGAGAAGAGACAGCTTTCTTCGGGACCAAAGTCAGCCATTACCCACCATGTCCTCATCCAGAGCTCGTCAATGGCCTTCGAGCTCACACTGACGCAGGAGGAGTCGTTTTGCTGTTCCAAGACGATGAATACGATGGCCTTCAAGTCTTGAAAGACGGAGAGTGGATCGATGTTCAGCCGCTGCCTAACGCCATTGTTATCAACACTGGTGATCAGATCGAAGTTCTCAGCAATGGAAGGTAACATCTTAGCTTGATCTGGAAGATGATGGTTATTATTTAGGGTTGTTGAATCCAAGTTTTTTTGTCAGGTACAAGAGCGCATGGCACAGGGTGTTGGCGAGGGAGGAGGGAAACCGGAGGTCCATAGCTTCCTTCTACAATCCGTCGTACAAGGCGGCCATTGGCCCAGCGGAGGTGGCGGAAGCGGCAGAGGAAGGCAGTGAGAAGAAGTATCCAAAGTTTGTGTTTGGAGACTATATGGATGTCTATGCAAACCAGAAGTTTATGCCTAAGGAGCCTCGTTTCCTAGCTGTAAAGTCTCTGTAACTGTAATTGTTTTTTCTACAATATATTATCACTGTTTTACCTACGTCATGATGTATTTTCTCTCAAGTTATAAATGCCAAATTAAATAATTGATAGTTTGTCATTTGATCTTCTTGATTTTAAGTATTTTGTATTCCTTTTTTATTTTATTTTTCATGTGATGTTTGAATCTTTGTTTTTACTTATTTTTGAAACGTTTCAACAAAATTGGCATATACTTATGTTAGACCATCTCCTCTAGTTCAACAAAATCTTATTCATTCATGCTAAGTTATTTTTAAGCATAAGGAAAGAAAAATTATATGAATTGGATGTTGCATTTTGATGAAACTCTTGGGAGAATCAGCAGTTGAGCTCTCAAGACCTCACTATTGTGGTTGTCTGCGTCAAACCCCACTTTCACAGTTTCAAGACATTTCAAATTTCCCAAGAAATGTCTCATCTGCTTCCGCTCTTGTGAAGAAGAGCTGTAATCTGATATTTCTAGCACCTTCACTTGACATGTCCTTAAACAACATACTTCCTCCTCCACTTGCCTTTCAGGGAAAACTTTCTTCTTCTCCTCTTCTATGCAAGGGCATGCATCTCCACACCTATTTGTTACTCTGTGCACAAGACCCTGAAACCAGAGACCATTTTTTAACATGTATAAAGGGCAACAACAACAGAAAAGAATCATAGTAAGAATTTTTTGATAATATACCTCGATAGCTAAAGTGTGTAGATTTGGACAACTCTTGAGCAGACGTGGCATTACTTACCAACCTTTTGCCTTATTACTCTTAATAGATAAATTGAGGAGGTTGTGGAACACCGGCATGGATTCACAGCAGAAGTGAAACGTCTCAAGGGATTCAGGAGACAAGTGAAGGGTCGTGATGTTGGTTATACCCTCAACTAGCTTTGTAATATTATCAAAATAATAATCGTAATCATCAACATAATCATAATCGGTAGTTGGCTTCCATAACGCCAGATCAAGCCTGGCTTCGACAAGCAAACCCAAATCAACAGTTTCATAGCTTGTGGTGCCCTTACAAGAGTAGTCAAGGTACACAAGGCTTGGTGCCTTGAAAATCACCCACGGTTCGGTATTATCAGCATCGGTTATGTACAAGTCTTCCAGGACAGGGCAGCCATCGAGGAGCTGACAATATTGGCTATAACCAAGCGGCCAAACTGATAAGAGAGAAAGTGACTTGAGCACTGGGAAAAACACACGCTCGACGCCAAGATAAAGTGAGCTTAACCAGTGTGTTGCTCGTTAACAACTCTCCCATTATATCAACGCAAGTGTGCATTGGGGAGGCGTCCAAGTGTAGTTCCAATAAACCACGTTCCATTGCAGTATAAACCCAACGGTACACGCGAGAGTTGTTATACTCATTGCGAGGACTATGAAGGTGACACAGAGAGACTTTCTTGATGGGAGAATTGCTTAACAGAGCAAATGTTTTTTCCACGAAATCACAGAAGACATATGAACGACTCCTTGCTTCTGATTCGGTGTAATAAGATTCGGGGTTATAAGGAGCCATCGACTCATCAAAGCTAAGGTTGTCTACAAGACCCAGTACATTCCTCCACCTCTTGGACAGAACCGACGTGGAAGCAGCCGTTTCTGTCGGAAGTAAAGACAGGATTATGCCAAGAATCTCATCCGGCAAACTGCTTATCCGATCTCTACCCATAAATTAGGGCTTCAACTAAAATTTGGTTAGGGTTCCGCGTTCCGGGGAGGATGAAAAAAAAAAAAAAAACAGAATCAAAGATGATCCTTTGAATCGAAGGAGAGGGTCACTCAGGAATTTAGGAAAAGTTCTGGACTAAGCAAAAGGAAAACTTACGACGCAAAGGAGACGAGGAAGATCAAAAGGCTTCCAGGTTTTATAACACAAAAATAATTCTTTTTTTTTCTTTGTGTTTTAATGTTTCTGATAAATTTAGTTTCCTTTTTAATTATTTTTTAATAAAATAAAAGAATACTATAGTTCAGTTAGAAAAGGAAAATACCAAAATATAAATAAAATTAATTTCAATTTTGATAACTATAAAAGCTAAACAACAAATCGTAAATATTAGACATGTTGACCAAAAAATGGTTTTGGGCCTAACAGAGCCCAATTAATAAAAGTCGGTTTTAACGATCATAAATTGATAAAAAAGAAAGCCCGCCGAAGTCGATCACGGTCGTGTGTATAAGCAAGCTCTGGAGCAGCAGTTAGACGTGTGCTTATGCACAGAGTTCTACTTTTCTAAAAAAGGATCTTTAACACTTTATGGTCCTAAATTTCTCAAAATTATGCAAAAAAAAAAATATGGACTAACCTCGTATAGATCAAACTAAAAAAATATGGACTAATCTTGTTTGTTTACCTTTTGATTAATCTTTTTACCTATCATTGTTTTTTCATGTTTTTTTTTTCATTAATTGCATTTAGCTAGCCAATTCTGGAAAAAAAAAAAATCCAATATCTTCATTAAATTAGCCACTTGGTTTAGCCTTTTTTGCACATTTGGTGCTTGATTTTCTAAGTTTTTGAAATTTGATCCCTAGACCATATGTATTCTTCTACTTTTCTTGGCCAATTTTGGAATATGAATGGCTATAATCATATCATAGAAAGAAAATAATCATTTGCTTTTACTAGACGTCGCTCCATAGTATTTGCCTATTTGGTGTATCACTTTTGAATGAATATATATTAGTCTACTTTTGAAATACAAGGGTAAAACAAACTACTAAACAAACAACCCTATTACGAAATCGATATTTTTACTTGTTAACCACAAAAGCTCCCAAATGTCAAAATCGTTCACCATGCCAAATATTCCCATCTTTGTAGACAATTCCTTTCTTCATGTTAAGCTGCTTCGTGTTCTAACTCTGTCTATAAGCATCTGCCTTCCTGAAAGATCTTCCTCGTAACCAACAACCTGCAAATTTGTGTGTGTGTGTTTTTAGCGTAACCATCACAAACTTTAGGCTGTAAAACTCAGACAATAGATGCAACGCCGCAGAGAGATTATAAGAACATGTTTAAACTAGTAATATCAGGATTGACATAGAATATTGCACATTGAGAGTTCCCAAAGCAAGCAAGGACTAAGAGTTAACCGTTTCGAATCAAGTGTATGGAGGGAAAAAACAAAGAGTTTAGATGCAGTTTTCGTTTTTAATTCGGAACTGGGAATTAGAAGCCTGACTATTATCCAGACTTAAAAGGCTGCTTTAATTATAATATCTCCAATGTATTTCCAGAGTAAGAGTTAAAACCTGCGATTCTGTCTGCGTCTCACTAAAGTTTCCGTAAGTGCCCGTAGTAACATCTCCTGGAGGATTGCATGCGTCGTCATTCTTCAGGACCCTGAAAAACACATCGGAGTTTAATAGGTGAACATGATAATCTTACACGTGCAGCGTTAGATTTGAGACAGGTCTAGTCCCAGATCAATGCGCACACCATTAGTTTGCTTACGCTCCCTCCATACAGAATAAGGAAATAACCAAGCATACTTCTCTCCCCAATTCTTGATAATTAATGGCATATGAGGTTGGTACCAGATGTATCAGCAATATGCGGATTTACCTGTTTATCCAGTGTCTAGACAGGCCAGTGACGGAATGATTCCCGCTGTTGTATGGTTCACTAGTTGAAAAAAGCTGTTTTATCATCAAGGAGTCAAACTATTCCAAGTATTAATAACAGAGTGTGAAAAAATTGAATGAGCAAATAAGCTATAAGGATACAGTTTTTTCTGAAATCCTTCCAGGAGAATTCTTTTCTTGAATCTAAACACAAAACCAGAGAGGTGAGGACTGAGAAAATCTGACTTGGATTAATTAATTGGAGAAAGAAGCAAATCGTACTCACTTTACTTGACTGCTTCAACAAATCCTCAATAGTATCAGCCACATCTGGAACTTCACGACCACTTGCCACGGCACTCCCTGACACAATGCTATCTATAGGCTTCAAAGGGCGAGCACAATGGCTTGGATGTTCTCCCACAGGAAACACATCACTTTCTTGACCATCTCCCAAAAGTTTTGCCTTCTTAGACGGAAAACTCTGTTCCCGTCCAATATCTTCAAGTCTGTTGTTTACCTCACCTTTACCGCAGCCGTATTTGCCAGCAAAACTTTGAGTTTTTTCCCTGTCTTCGGAGTGGCTACCAAGCAGAGACCCATTGTCCCTTGAGGCCATTGACGCAAATTGTGTATGAAACTGACTTGCCAAGCCAAGCCCTGCATCTTGGTCTTGAGTCGTCAATTCCTTTGGATGAAAGTTATCAGGACAAACAACTCGATTCTACACATGATAAAAAACAAAAAGGATCCCTTGTTAAATTTCATGATCCCATGTCAAAGAAACTATTTGAAAAACATAGGCCCACCTGTCTAACACACTCATAAATCCAGTCAGATGTCACGGAAACTATTCCCCACCTGGAAGCTGCCTCATACTTATCTCCGGTAGCAAAGATACATAGCAAGTGGGTCATTTTCCTGCTTAGGTTTTTCCCAAATTTTGCTCCAAGAACAAAGCACAGATTTCTCAGGAGTACTTTTTCCTTCTCTTCATATTGGGAAGCACAAAAGCGAAGGCTTTCGAATCCAGGCAAAGGAGTCTGGCAGGGAAGAGGCGAATAGAGGATATGACTACTAACGTCAAGTAAACAACCATCCTACATCACCAAGATAACAGCTTAGAAATTAAGCCAGAAAAATAAAGCATAATAAGGACAGAGAAAATAGATACAAGTCAATGTAGATATAAAATTTTTAAATGAATGATGGTATAGCAGTTGGAGACAGAGTACTCCAGCATAAATTATTTAACCAGTAGATAACAGACGAACGCTGAGAAGAATAATACCTCTAAACAAGATCGAACCCAGTGACTCGAAACATAGATAGTTTGAGAAGTCCCAGTACTCCGGAACACACCATGGCATTCAATAGTAAAATGTGTGTTATGTATAAAAGGATCATTGACCACCTCTCCTTCTCCTTGATTCACCCATTCCACGATCTCAGGTCGCTGCACAATGTGGTAACACATCAACCAATTGACCTCAGAGATGCATTTTCAGACAAGAAACCACTGCAAGAAAGGGAAGCCTAATCCTCGAATAACCACATACCCTATCTTCAGGAAAAGAATGTGAGAAACAAAATGTCTTCCCCTTAAATACCGATGACTTTCTTTCTTGCTTGTTCTGACCATTGAATTCACATTGAATTTTCTGTTGTTTTTTGCAGTTATTAGTTACAAGGGAATTCATTGTTTCTTTTTGCTTGAGTGACTCTATTTTTCTTTCCACGTGAATCTCATCTTTCCTGCTTAATTTCAGCATTGCTTCTTTATTCTTTCCCAGCAAAGTTGCGGCCTCATTTGGGACATTGACACTCCTCGAAGAGGAATCATACGTCATGGTCTGAGGGATAGTATTTTTACCCTGTTCCATCCCTGCAAGAGATCCCTTGGTCAAGCATGCAGCATCTGTGCCCAAAACAGGTCAGTTAGAGAAGTGTACAATGCATTGATATGTCTTGATGCAACTTGCATAGATGGAATGTGTGCGAGATAATAGAAAAATGGTGAAATGAGAAAACTGCAGACCTCTCGGAAGAATCAGGTTGTGAGCAGTGTATACTTTATGAATGGGAATTTCTTTTTTCTGACGATCACAATCTTCAAGCCACCTGGGTGTAACTACTTGAACGACACCAGAAGCTGCAACAGCCCTCGCCTCCCTTTTCTCACTGTAAATGAATATTATATGTAGAGATCGTATTGTTACAGAGACTATACTTAGAGAGACCCACCTAAGAGAAAAGAGGAAAAAAAAACTAAAAGAGCAAAATAATTCCCTCTGGCAGTGCAAAGAATGAGTTTACCTCTCTGAAGGAGTTCCAACAACAATATGTGTCATTCTTTCGCTAAGCGTCATATACCGTGATCCACCACCTCCACGGACCAACTTAACAAGTCTACGCATTTCAGAAGCTTCAAAACCAAGCAGGAATATTCTACAATCTGATAAATACAGGTCATTGTCTTCAGATTCTGAATCCCTGGCAGTACAGTCATCAATATTTTGCTCTTGCGGCTCTGTAGTTGGGCCTTTACTTGGTTTTTTGACATCGATACTGGGATTCATCGATGTGGAAAAAAGTTTTTGTGAGGCAGAAGCTTCTATATCTGAGTCTCTAGACTGAGGATAAGAAGCATATGAGTCTGCCGCAGCAGTAGCAGCCGAAGACGACAGTGATATTGGACATCCAGGAAACTTTTCTTGACCATAATTGCTCCCCAAATTTCTCACCCCTCTACTCAAAGGTATGGAATCCTGAACAGGATATGCCTCTTCACTGAGACAAACTGCACATAACAGGTTGACATATCAGTATTGAACGAATCTGTTAACTTATAGAGAACCAATATACTGATCAGTACGAGAATGCAAAGGATGCAGAAGCTCCAAACGTCACCTTTTCTAGCAATGGACTGCTGAAACCATTTCCGTGTAACAATTTGAATGTGACCCCATTTACGAGCAACTTTGTATTTGTCACCTTCAGCAGCGTATGCAATGTCAAGGACCCAATTTTTCACTCAAGTGCAAACGATAAGATCTCAATTTTTTGTGCACAAGAATTTAAGGAGTTTTTAAGCCACATATCTTCTAACTTCGTACAGCCCGAGTATCTGACTTTGATGCTAATTTTCCAGCACAACTAAGTGCACCCGAATAATCAACATATGACCTACGACTAGCAAATTTTCAAATTTAAATCAAAGGATATATCAGCAATCAGATGTGTACACCTCTTTGTTAGCTCCGCAGAGTACCTCCCTCCATATTCTGAAATACGCTTCTCCATTTCCTTACGCTCGTCTAATAATAAGTTACCGATTAACTATCAACAAAGAACCTGATACGCACATGTTGAGCAAAACGGTGTTCTAACCTGCTGGAATTTTTGTGACACAGATTGTCAATCCGGAAAAAGGAGGAATTTTATAGGGTTCCTGGGGGACCACACGGTGCTCAATCCAGCACTGTTGTAACCAATTCAGTGCAACAACCGGCTTCTTATGGGTATCCAGGGCCCACTGCAAGTATAACATAATAAAACATATTTTAGCTGTCACAACGAATCAGGCATGACTAGTTTTGAACAGCTTCCTCAGGAAACTCATCAGTTCACTCTACTTCAGGATAATGATAAGTCATCAGAGGCACAATGCTGATCCAAATAATTTCTAAAAAAAGTGCGAGTTGTTTCACTTTGGGAACTAAACTTGCACTGCAGCTAAGTGTCATTTACATTATGCGGCTACTATCTGACAATGAATTAAGCAAAACCCATCAATAGGGAGTGTGATAACAACTTATAACTTGAGGCCTTCATTACAGGAGTATGTTAAATCTTTCCTTATGCTTGAAGACCTCTCTTCTTCAAATGAAGGCAGTATATAATGCTGGAAAAATGGAATACTCAAATGCACCAAGTGAAAGATCAACAGCCACTTCTATCTAAATATCCAAGTGTTTATTAGAGTGAAGTTAAATGAAGTGACATATACTTTTCGTTTACCCAACATAATTCGGATAATCTTCTGAGACGCATGAAGAGAAGCATAAGTATATTGATATGTTAACTAAGCAAAGAAGAAATCGATATGATATCTAAATATATGAAACCTTTAGAAGGTAAAAGAATATTGATCGCAAAAGACCTTGTACTTGGAAGCCAAGACATTCTTCACAATGACGAAGTTGACATCTGAAGAACCCCTGGAAACAAAAACTCCCCCCATGGAAGTAACCAACTCCTCGATCTTGACCTTCAAAATAATTGCAATCAACCAGTTAAGAGGGATGAGTTCTTCAGAGTAACTGAAAATCTAATTGTGCACTGGGAAACAAAGAGACACAAGCATTCAGTATGATCTCATATGCACACTATTGATCTAAAAGAAAAAAAAAAAAGATAGCTGAACCAACATAGAGTCCCAACCACTCACATGAATAATGGATCCCTGATTAAACTATAAACTATAAATCTATGCCCCTGACGGAAAGAAGTACCTTCTCATCAATCTTAAAACCAGAAGCAAGAACTTTAAGACCATCCATCGCTAGGCAACAATTGAATCCCCCTTGAGGCAGCGGTCTGCCCTCTTTTGCACAGGAGAGCACACATTGTGGACCTGCCGTGCAGTAAACACAACTCTTGTTGAGGAAAATCACGAACACCAGATTCAATTTGGTTTTTAATTGAGAAGATAAATAAACTCAGAGAGAGATATCTCTCACCTATCAAGTTACATCCCTTGGCTTTAAGATCCTCGAATTTCTCCTGCAATGGCGTAATACGAGGAGACTAAGAGCAGATTCTTACAGAAAAATAATGCAATTGAAGTTAAAATCTACAAAAAAAAAATGAACGAAAATCCGCACGTGGTCGGGAGAAGCGATGACGTGAAAATCGCAGGGACCGCTCCGGGAGGGGTCGCAGCAGAGGAAGATTTCGGCACCGTTAAGCGTGCAGGCATCTAGAAGAGTGTCGAAGACTTCAGGGGGCACCAGACTCCGAGACATGAACACGTTTGCCCCTTTGAACAGTTGCGTCGTCTTCATCGCCGCCGGAAACCTAAACGCGCACTTTTCTCCCTGCCTCTCGGATTCTGTAAGAGATTCACGGGGTTCTCGGGAAAAAACTAGAATCCTGGAATCGGCGGGTACTCGAACCTTGAAGCATTAGCATAGAGTCGTCTACACCTGGATTCGAGGTGAACCGTCGTGGTAAGCGGTGACTGGTGAGAGAGAGAGGGAGAGAGACGCGGGAATGGTCACTGGTAAGTGAGCTTCATTTCGCTTTTTAATTTTTCTTTGGGCTTTTAGTTGTCCATCAATAACCCAAAATTGGGCCGACCACAAATTTTGAATTTACCGATTGTCCTTAGAAAATTCTCATCATCTCTAGTTTTCGTATATAACTCGCACACATACTCTTCCAACACGATACTAGTTTTGGGAGTCATTTATGTATGATTCCCAAAAACACGATAGTGTAGGCAGTTTAAAGCTTCTTTTTTTACGTTCTATAAAATTTGCCAGTAGTTTATCTTTACTTCTAAACTGGTTTTTGAAATTTAACTGCAATGAGAACCGAACTCTTCTTTGAAATCTTTAATTTGTACAGAGGAGAGAGGACTTCGTTTTCTAAAGCATACTAGAAAAATTATAACTAGAGCAAAATTAGAAGCGACGGTAAAGCTACAAAGTCAAGGCTAGAGAGCCTGACTTTGACTACAAAAACCTTAATAGATAATAAGCCGGAGTACTTAACTTGACCTACTTAACTTGGCAGGTTCAGGTCCGGAGGAGCCTGCGTCTGCTGCCTCAGAGCCAGGACAAGACCTTTCTCTGTGGAAAGGTGAGATTCTTCTACACCCGGTTCTGTCTTTCTTCTGACTGTCTTTGCTTCTGCTGAAGAGTTGCTAGCGCTTGTGGTCCCCTTTAGTTTCTCATGTTGTTGCTTTGACCTGTCCGCGCTAGGTTGACCTTGGCCTAAGGACGTGGTGGTTGAGCTTGGGACAACATTCGTTTTATCTCCAACAGCTGAAGCCTTGTCGGGGTAAGCAGCCGCCTCAACTTTTGGTACCAATTGTGTCTGTTTCCTCTTCGTCATCTTTCCTTGATCCTTGAATAACAAAAGAAGTGGGGAATGATAACACTGAGAGAGATTTGCGAGATCATGGAAACAAACAAAATGCTATGAAGTAAAAGTTGATCATTTCTCAATTACCATCTCCTTCCCAAGGTTTCCATACAATGCTCTCCGCCTTTCCTTTGCCCGACAAATGGCACGTTTGATCTCATGATTGTCCATTAGCCTATTTGGCCAGAGTTCAGCTAGCTGGAGCATGAATAATTACAAAAGAAAATCATTTACGAAGATTTGATAAACACATCTTGAATTTCAGGCAAGGTCTAGTCTAGTTCTTTTGAATTGGAAAGGAAATAGACCACGAATGCCAAGAGACAAGGAACTTACATTTGCATAAAGCTTTCTGATCTGTGGACCCGAATCTTCATCCAATCCCTGTTGTTACCAATAACAGAGCACAAATTAGGTTCACACTTCAATTCTGAATCTAATAAGTTGAAAATAATTGTTATGGAAAATCTTAATTACATCGACAAAGATGTCATATAGATCACACAATTTGTCCTCCAGCGCCGCATCCATGACAAACTTCTTCTTCATAGGTGGCTTTTCAACAGAGCCAACATCCTGAAAATCGTCTGATGTTCCAGCTTCTTGATTGGTTGCCTGTGAAACCATTTATGTCAGCGCGTGGAATATCTCATGATTCAATAAGATGGATATACGTTACAATGAACAGATAGACCCTACAACAGAGACCCAAAAACATAAGAATAAAGTGCTTAGCCTATGGCCAACCATTATTAGAGAGAACTCTGAGTATTGTGCGTGCATTGACAATGGATGTCTAAGTCCAAAAATAAAGACAAGAACAAAGGTATCTAGAAAAATACCGGATAAGAAATCCATTTGAAAATCATATCAGTGAATCTAGTTGAGTAGAAGAGAGAGAACCTGAGATTCCATCAACGGAACTTGTGTTTTTAACATCTCAATGACTTCATTCTTGATCCGTTGAAATCTAGTATCTTTTTCTCGATTTGCAGTGTCGCCGGAATCAATCATGATTTTCAAGTTCCTCTGTAACAATAAGCATTACTAAACCGTCAGAGCTTTACCTCTTTCTTTTATATCTTCTGAAATGGAAGATCTAACTTGAAAACATTCAAACTACTCCTATGCCTCAGCAAGAATCACAACTCCATTCCAATAACAAGTCTCGGTATACAGGAGATAGAGGTGATTACCTTCAGCGATCTGACCTGTATGAGATGGCCGACAATGCTCATGAGACGATTGATTAACTCTCCCGATACATTCCCTTGGCTCGCCTGCTTCAAGAATAGAAAACATCTCTTTTTAATACAATCGGGAGATTGTTTAAAAAAACAAAAGCAAAAAAGTAACAAACAGAAGAGTTTGATTACCGCAATCCTAGCAACTTTAGCAAGCTTCAATTTTACATCTCTTGGCAATCTCCTCTTCACTGCTTGGGATGAGGTATCGGCATCTTGATTCTCAGTGGCAGCAGGAGGCCTCGCTGCAATAAATTGGACATTATAGTTTGCTAAATGGTATTTGTATTTAGGTTGCCATGCATGTAGAGAACAAGTGCTCGAACAGTTCAAACTCACATTCAGCGACCACCTTCTCCAATTCCCTGATGGCTTTCTCAAGTGTCGAGGTTTTAGGCCTGACACTAGAACCACTTTTTTTCTGTATAGAAAAAGGTTATAGCAGAATTAAAAAAAGAAACGATGTAATATATGCACGAGAAAAAAAAAGCATGGAAGCGAGTATTAGCCAGGAATCAACCCAGAGTCGAGATGAAAACTAGAGCAACAGAACTACAAAACAATGCGAAATGGGTGCTAGCTACACAGCATGACACATACAAACCATCCAACAATATCTGAACTCTCCTGATTAAGATAGCTGGAAAGTACTTACAGTTATTTGAATAGATTGTCTGCTTACTGTTGCATTGTCCAGCTCATGCATGCCATTGGTTTCTTTTTGACGGACTACTGTTGATTTTGCCAAAACATTTGGCCGAGATTTTACAGGCAGGGAATTAGATTGCTGATGAGCACTTTTTTTGCTGCACTTCAGAAGAAGGGCGCCAGAAGATCCAGCTGCCTTTGACTTCGGACTTGAGGCATTCCTTGGCTGATGATTCGCTCTATCAGTATGCTTCACATTTTCCAATAATAAGCAGTCATTGCCACTTTGCGGTTTCAAAGGAGAAACCGAATCCTGCTCTGCCTTTGAATCATTCGACTTTTTCTTCGAAGAGGGCCCCGAAGCAGCTAATTGATCCTAGACTTTCACATTCATATAATCAATCGTCTGAACTGAAACTTTAAAATGGTTTCAAAAAGTTATTTGCAAGCAATGGTGCTACCTTTCCCCCAGCCGTCTTAGCCATCTTGGCTTGTTTTCTGGACACATCAACAACATCGCCGCAAGGTTTTGCTGACTCTTTCCTTTGCCTTTTCTTTGGTTGCTGGTTCGATGTTGTTGTTGTTGTCGGTTCACTGTTGTAGAAAGGAATCATTATTTAGATAAACTGATAAATGTAAGATAGCCAAATTAAAGGGCAACTGGAAAACCTGAATCCTATCAATAATCAGAGCCCACATCGTTACAGAACGGTATTTGTTGGGTAAGTACAAACTAATCATTGCATTTTGACAATAACCTATAGATGTTAGCCGCAAAAATAGCAAGATTGACCCAAAAACAATTGTATCAAATATTTCTTCCCTAAGGAAACACTGCATAAAACCCAATTACGAGTAAAAAAACAGGTGATAATCAAGTGTGTTTTCAAATACTTATGCTTTCTATTGCCTATTCTCCACAATATGTCACCAAATGGAAAATGACAAGCCTGCCATGTAGTAATGTGACAACATGGAACAATGAGAGGATAAGAAACTTACATCCGTTCTAACTTTCCTCTATTGACAAAAAATCCATCATGTTTAATTGCCGAATCATCAACTTCAAAATACTCATCCTACAATGCAAAACAAAAATAGGATGTCTCAGCTACCAAAATACACTTTGATCACATAAGAAATCAAATAGAAACCGCATGAAGGGTATGTATACTAACCAATTCAACGTCATCGATAAATGAATCTTCGGTGTCATACTGGTCATCGTCGGGGGGGGCACCATCTAACTCTTCCCCATCACTACTATCTTTCCCCTGAATTTTATTTTATGAAGTCAGTATTAAATATTCAGATATTTGTGGAAGAAGCAGTGCTAATGCATGGCATGAAAAATGTTCTGAGTAAGAAATCAAACATTCATCTAACTTGTACGGATGATCAATAGAAAACGAAAATAGGGAAATGTACCATGTAGAGCCTCTCAATCTTCTCTATAACAGCGTTAAAACGGTTAGAATGAGGTTGGTCAACCTTTTCACCTTCTGCTGGTGGCCCCTGCATTAGATATAAAATCAATAAAGCTTTCTAAATTGATCTGATCCAAATTCGTATGCATATGAAAATATAACTTGCAAGAAAGCCACAAACATCTCCTGTTTCCTTAAAATCAAAATCCATCATCACTATGCGCTTAAGAGCTTTTGTTGTTCTCTAATGTGAGTTGAAACTTAATGTATATCATAATCTTCACTCATGCATCTTATTTGAACCAAAGTCCTTTCTAGGTCAAACATAATTGATTGCATATTCACGTTAGTAACAATGAGGTTGCAACAATGTAATCAAGCAATGCAAGCGAATCACATATCTAACTGACCAAGCCTAGACAACCAAATCACTACCAAATTTTAGTTTTTCTTAGTTTAGAGAGTTTGCTTAATTGAAACCCTAGAAGCAAATCCAATGTCAAAGGAGCAATGACAACACAATTTCTCCTAGACTCATATCCACTTCACCAAAACTTCCAGAAATCTCCCGGAACCAGAAAAAAAAAAAAAACAAAAAAATTCCGATAATCAGTCAAAACAGTGAGGCTCTCCCTGGATAAACCAGACTCTCCTGAGAGCAAATTCAGCTACCAGGAGGATACAATCATACAAGTGAAGGACTGGTCCAATAGAGACAACGAAATTCCGAGCGCAGACTAAATGCAAATATCTGATTTGATGCATGTAACGGCTAAAAAACTCACCGGTGCAATGCGAGACTCGAGATTAGGGTTAGCGTTAGGAGGTGGGTCGGGCGCCGAAACCGACAGACCATTGCCTTTGCTAGCCTCCTTCATAAGCTTCTTCCACGAAACGTACGTCGTCTCCCCTTGCTGCAGTTCAACCTTAAGTAATTTCCGATCACCGGCAGTCAAGAGCTTCGACGAGGTCCTCGACGATTCGCCGGAAGTTGAACCACCGTCGGTTGTGACCTTTGGTTCCCCCATTAGTGATTGGGTCGGGTCAGAGTTAGACTCTGTAGAGACCCGGATTTGGAGACGAAGCGAACAATCAAGAGCGAGAATTGGGGGAATTTGATGTGGAGACTCGAGAGATTGGAAACTGAGAAGAGGAATTTTGTTAGAACGTTGCGCGGGATAGCCAGCAATGACGCTTGCTTTATTTTCCTGGTTCTTTTTATTTTTTATTTTTTATTTTTATTTTTATATCTCCTCGTTATCAGGTTTTTTTATTTACTTATTTTTCGTTTTTTCCTGTTCTTGAAAATTGATTTTTATACTTAAAAAGTTGTGTTGCCAAGGACATTGTAGTCAAGTGGCTCTGCTTTGTGACTTGTGAGTCTCTCTCGTGCAGTGATGGGGTTCGAGTCGTCCTTCATCCAAATGTGGGGATAACAAATGTGGACCATATGCCTTCGCAAAAAAGAAAATTAGTTAGTTTATATTAAATAGAATTACATCAATTATATAAATCATAGATAAAGTATTCAAATTAGTTTTGGCAAAGCAAGAAAACTAAATTTACAAACAGGGTTAATTCAAACAAAAAGTAATTATAAAAATTACAAGAAAAAAGTCAATTATTAAAAATTTAATAGTTACGAAAATTCTAAGATGTCGCTTTCCATCAAACAACAAACCAAAAAAAATGAAAAACATCATAAAAGAAAGATCATAACAATGGCCTTAGATTCACCCATGATCATCTAAACCCTGTTATTATATAATTCAACTGTTTTGCAATGTATCACACTTATAGTAATTGCGTATTAGAAGATATAGAGAAGCTTGTTGTCTTTGTTTTGCTAGGGTGAACCATTGAGAGAGTGTTGAGATAACCTCTTAAACCAAAGTTAATATTACAATATTTCAATTGGTTGCCTTTTGATTTGCACGCCAATTATGCATGATTTCGCTTTGATGTATTCATCCGCTCTACATCCCCATCTTCTCATAATTGTTTTCTTACTGATAATATTGGTTTGTTGCTAGTAAGTTATATAACGGATCGCTCACAAACTATACAGTAAACATTTAGTTTGTTATGCTAGTTTTCATCATGTTTACACATCTTGTAAATGAATAGAAAATGTTTATACATCTTGCAAATCATGCAGTATCGAGAAAAATAGTTCAAATGATCCAGAATACGTACTGTTATCTGACTCCATGACAGTCAATTACCATCACCATAGCCAAAGTTCTGGTACTGTACACGGAGACATGATCATAAACAAGTATACAACGACGAGACGAGCGGACACAGACTCTGGTCCGGGTAAAACCTGATTGGCTCATCACAACTATGAGAACACAAATCAATCGACCATTTTTATCTGAGTCATCAGTCGTGTGATGTGAGAGCCTGGGACTGTGAGCTTCTTCTTCCTTCTCTCTTGGTGGAGAAAAAAAGTCTACTCATCTGCCTTCTCCAGTTTTGTATAATTTTTAAAGAAAGTAGACTTGTATATAAAGATTCCGAGTTATGATTGCCAATGGGTGGGTCTTGATTATTATATAATAGCTACAGGTTTGGTAGACTCGAATTATTTGGGATTTCTACGTAATAATAATTCACCATTTATCTAAACTCTGGTAAATACACTTTCTGTAAGTTTACAATGGTGAATTATATTATTAGATAGTTTATATATTTCAATGTTTTATGGAAAAAGACTGATGAAATTACAGTTTTTTGGGTCTTTATGGACGGACCACCTTTGGGACCGTGACCATCGAACACGGACGCATCCATAGATCTGAATATCTTAAAATTAAATTGCCCAAATGCCTTAAAAAGTTTTTTTTTTTACTGATGTTTGGGTAAAGATTAAAAAAGGTAAAAACCTAGGACTTTACCAAAAATTAAGAATCGAACATATTTATTTTCTTTATTGTCAACAAAATCGTTTAATTTCATTGGAAAATTTGGAATCATTAATATATAATCACCACAAAAATTAAGAAAGCCCCAACAACGAAAAAGACCTGAGTCCAAAGCAAATTAACAAAACCAAAAAAGAAAGGGAATAGCAGCGCATCGTTTGGGGATTTTACATAAGAAAAAGAGAAAAAGGAAAAAAAATAAATCGGTATCTCAAAAACTGACCGCCTCGCGTTGTCTCTTCCCTACTTCCGATTCCTCTCTCTCTCTCTCTCTGACATCGCAATTGTCTCCGCCTATCTCTAGGGTTTTCTCCGTTCGTTCGTGTTCCCCATCTTATGTTCGTCGGCATTCGCTCTAATCGCTTCTGATTCATGAGGTTAGGGTTTCGATTTTTGTTTGTTTGTTTGTTTTCAGGGTGCCAAATTTTATCTATTTTATTATCACTGCGGCTTGTGTTTGATTAAGAGTAGAATCCGAGGGTTTGTTTGTTGTTGTCATCAATGTTGATGATTGTGGCATCTTTTTTCTTGGGTTAGGCTTTTGGTTGACCTTCTCAAGTTTTTACATTTTTTTCCCCCCCGGAAGTATCTATCTAATCAATTTTTCTGGATCAACGTGATGGGTTCTATCTAGAATCTGCATAATGTTCGTGAACAGTATTCTTCGATGGATTTCTCATAAAACCCTCTTTTTTTACTGATAAATGCTATATTTTTGTTTTTGTTGCTCTAAAGCAGGCGGCATTTCCATGGATTGCAAGGAAAACGGTGTTAGTGATCCTGAGAAAGCGAGTTCGCCTTGCCACAATATAGATTTAGTCAGTAGTTTGGCGACTCCCCAGGTTGCATCAGTTATAAACCCTACGATGGAGTCCCAGGGGAATTGCTTTATAGAGATTGAGCAAATAGGAGACGGAAACAGTATCATTGAAGAACGTGGTGAAAACTCTGATGGCGGTTTAGCTGTTTGCTGCAATGCTAATGACAGTCAGAATCAGGGAGTGGTTTCAGATGGAGTTGAGCAAACTCAAGGATCGATATCTGATGATGTTTTAGTGGTAGATTGCAACAAGCAGGATGATGGAAAGGAAAGTCAGGACACGAACTTTTCCCGCATACCCGCTGTGTCTGGTGACACAATATTGCCTCTAGGAGTCAGTGAAACAGATATTGAGTCGACTTTTATTAATGATGCACCTGAACAATTTGAGTTTTTGGAAACTGCTAAGGACATTAACAATGTTGGAGTTGGAAGTGCTGGTATTATCTCCAACTTTGATGGTGGAGGCAAGGAAGGAGGAAATGAACCATCAAGCGATCAAGAAGATGGTTTATCTTTCATTCGGAGTTGTCCGTATCCAGATCCAATATTGGATTCTGGAGTTTTTAGCTGCAGTGCCACAGAGAATTATATGAAGTCTTCAAGTGAAATTGAAGGCGTTATGCCTCTCGTGGAATCCCCTTCATTAGCTATCACCGAAATGTTAAGTAATGATGACGGGGGGCTATGTTCATATGATCTTGACGACATCGCAGACACAGAGACGATGAATCCAGTTTTGAAGTTGGTTCATCAGGATGAGCTTCATACTGATCTTTCTGAGAGGAGTGGAAAACTGCTAAAGAACCATGTTGGGGATACATCAAGTGAAAGCACTGTGGTCGCGCTGAGTATGAATAATGATATGGCTGCTGAACTGAGAGATGAAGATTTCAGTCATATATCACCCATTGATGAAAACACCTTAGGTATGGAAGCCAAATCCCCTATTACTGACTCTTCTTTGATATGGGGTTTACCATTGAAGTTTGGTAATGGAGGGATCGAAGCTCGTAATCCTGACAATGCAGTTGAGCCACTCAGTATAGTCGATGGAAATGGCAGAATAGGCGGTGAAGTTGCTTCTGCATCCGGGACTAATATTTCTGGGACTGCCCAGTCTTCATCGCGAAGGAGGGCCCGAAATGGTAAACAGAGTAATATGGCACAGGCCAAAAGGAGTGCTCCTAATCAGAGAAAAACCTCTAAAAATAAACAATCAGAAAGAAAACTAGAATCAATTTTCAAGTGCTCAAAGCAGAAGAGGACCTCTGTTTCCAAACCAGGCCGTTCATCTCAGTGGGGATTACCAAGTAGGACCGCTGAAATCTTCTTACAGAGCAATAATATTCCTTATGATGGACAGCCACATCACGACCCACAGCAATGTCAAAGCAATCCTAAAAATGGAGAGCATAGTATATCTCAGAACGGATATGTAGAAGGATCTAACAGAAACATCCAAGCATCAAGTGGCTCTTGCCTTCGTTTGAAAGTTAAATTTGGTAAATCAGGTGGCCAAAATCCTCTGAACATTACAGTCTCCAAGGTCAGTGGTAACTCTTTGCCTGCTAATGGTATTGTTAAAGCGGGAACAGGTTTAGAGTTTCCAGAGCCAGCAGATGTTGTCGAGGATAAACTCCGAACTGTGGAAACTAGAGAGCATTTAGAAGAGGAAAGCCATCCTGTGGAGAAACTTTCATATCGGCTATCATCTGATTCTATTAGGGATGACAAAGATAACCAAGACGCTGGGGGGTTGTGTAGGAAGCTGGGTGGTGATGTTTTAGATGAGGACCCACACCTTTCCTCTAGAATTATTGTTGAAGAGTGCGAGAGGGCCACTGGAATCCAATCCCTGGACGCTGAAACTTCACCAGATTCAGAAGTTATTAACTCTGTGCCTGATTCCATTGTCAGTATTGGACTTAAAGAGGGTTTGCATCATGGTTTTTTCAGCACTCTAGAAGATGTGGCCAACAACAAGAACAGAGAATTAGAAAAAGAAGATGAGTTGCTTGCTTCAAGATCTCCTTTGGAAAATGGTTCACAACTAATTCCCAGCGCAAAAAAAGGTAAACATCCCAAGTCAAAAGGTAATGGAACAAAGAAAGGGAAATCCAAGTTTTCCGAATCTGCCAAAGACAGGAGAAAAAATGAATCTCACGAGGGTTTAGAGCAACGCAAATCCATTAATAGGAGTATTGGAAGGGATGGTAGTGATTATCATGAAGGAGGGAGAATAGAGTCTCACGAAACAACAGGTACGACGCTTTTGATTAGCTTTGTCCATTGACTAATTTGAGGACACTATTTTATGTTTACTTGAATAGTATCCCAATGTTTTCCGTTTATTTGTGGAGCTTTCACTCTTTTGGATACACAAATTATTAAGCCGCATTATGTGAATTCATGTAATAGGTGCTCTTCTAGACGTTGATATTGGAAAAACCAGTGCTATTAACGGTGCCATATCATCAGATGGGATCCATGGGGAAGCGGTCATGGATGTCACTATTGAGGATACAGAGAGTGCCTGGGTTCGATGTGATGATTGCTTCAAATGGCGACGAATACCTGCTTCTGTTGTAGGATCAATCGACGAGAGCTCGAGATGGTATGTATCATCCCAAAGCGCATATGAACTTGTTTTTATGAAATTTTAGATGAATTGAGATTTTCTTTTTTATATTTTCTTTTACTTTATCACGTGGTCATAACTCTGGATGAATGTGATCAGATTTTAGTGAACATGCATTTGTGTTTGATCCATAAAGTTCATGGTGTTCCATGAGATTTTCTTGTTTAGCCTTGAACTTAGTGACTCCTCAACTCCCTTTTTAACGTGCATAATGCTGTCCCAGTAGTGTTACTCACCGTTCTAGCGAATTTTGCCATTGTGTCCCGCAGGGTGATAGCTCTTCATTCTTCTAGAATATTATTTTCGTTACATGTTGTGTGGATGTTTTTATCAACATGTATCAGTGTGTTGCATATGATAGTTAATTCTGTTGCGCTTTACAAATTTGTGTAAACTTGTGTGCTTATCGTGTTTGTATCAAATTTAAGCTAGTTTATCAAAATTTTCAATTTTCTGTTGTGCTTAATAGGTTTCTTATATGATCTGCTTAATATTGTTTGCAATTTTTTGCAGCAGATTCATCTGCTATTCTTGAATTCAGTCAAATATTTATAATCAGATTGAGTGTCAAATGTATTTTCCTCCTATTGTAATCTGTTGTAGCCTTTCTCTTCTCTGTATCTAATATGGATTTTGTGTAGGATCTGCATGAACAACTCGGATAAAGAGTTTGCTCATTGCTCCATAGCCCAAGAGATGTCAAATGAAGATATTAATGAAGAATTGGGCATAGGACAGGATGAAGCAGATGCATATGACTGTGAGGCGGCTAAAAAGGGGAAAGCCAAGGAACAGAAGAGCAAACGTTTGCCAGGTACTTAATGTTCAATACTGGTGAACAATTCATAAGATTTTTTTCCGTTTGTTGAATCCTTGATTGTGTTTTACTTGCCCGTTATTTTGCAGGTAACCAAAAGGCGTGCTTTAAGGCTATAAAAACAAACCAGTTTCTTCATCGTAACCGCAAATCTCAAACAATTGACGAGGTTAGTTTTTTTGTTGTTTCTGGTAATGCTTTAGTAGAAAATGTGTTTGTACTGTTAATATTTTGTCCTTTTCTAGAGTTACTCCTTAGTTACCATGTTTCCTTGTATTTTTTGGACAGATAATGGTTTGCCACTGCAAACCATCACCTGATGGTAGGCTGGGTTGTGGAGAAGAATGTCTCAATAGAATGCTTAACATTGAATGTCTTCATGGTACCTGCCCGGCTGGCGATCTGTGCTCAAATCAGCAGGTATGATGTCTTGTTTGCAAGCAACAGCGTTACATTCACAGTCAGTTATATCTTTCATAATCTTTTGGCTCATATGTCTGCAGTTTCAAAAACGGAAGTATGTTAAGTTTGAGAGATTCCAATCTGGCAAGAAGGGTTATGGCCTGAGATTGCTCGAAGATGTACGGGAGGGGCAATTCCTTATTGAATATGTTGGAGAGGTGTGCTTGCGATGATCTGTGTGTTTTATTCTTTCATGTCATCATTTGTATACTGTGCGTTAGCCAGTAGATGGAACTATCATATTGATCATCTCCTTTCATAACAGGTGCTTGATATGCAATCCTATGAGGCTCGTCAGAAGGATTATGCTTCCATGGGTCAGAAACATTTCTATTTCATGACACTCAATGGGAATGAGGTAAACATACTTCTTTCTAATGAGTCAGCTGCTTCGTTTACTCCATCTTTGATTGAAATGGTTTGTGATTTTGCTGTTTAGTGCTCTGTGGAGTTACTGAATTTAAAATGTGTGATTGATAGTAAACCTTTCTGGTTTTAGATTAGCATATTTAGAGAAGTCGAGTTCCATCTTTTTAAACCTTTTCTGTTAAAGCAATATGCTTGCAGCTTTGGTTAGTTACTTTTATGTCTCTTATTTGATACACTTACGCCAAACCAAAAAAATGTTCTTTGCGTGAGTAAGATGTCGAGACTATCCTCTGCTTTTTGTATCTTCTGTCCTTTGACACTCGTCTGTATCTTTATCAGTATCACCATCTTACTTAAGGTCTAAAGGTAAAAGATTAAACTGGCTCAACTATTCTATTGCAAAAGCTCTCAAGGGTTTTGCACAAGCTTTTGCACATTTATTAACTGGACCATGCACAGAGAACTTATTTCTTTTGGTTGTGCTTGTAATAATTGCATTCACCTGCACTGCACTGGCCTGAAAGTCCTATCTCATTTTCCGCTTTTTACGTTTTCCTTTTGAAAGCTATGCCTCTATATTGCACCTTGCAATAACTTTGTAACTTTTTTGTTAATGCAGGTAATAGATGCTGGTGCAAAGGGAAATTTAGGGCGTTTCATTAATCACAGCTGTGAACCAAACTGTCGTACTGAAAAGGTAATTGTTAAGCGTTCTTTGCGGTATCATGCCTCATGGCCTGATTATATAATTTAGTGATAAAATCTTGAGTTGGTAACGTTTTTCGATAAAGTTATTCCACTCTTTACTTTTTTATGTGAATGTTTTTCATTTGTTACTTCTTAAATGTCGTTGCAGTGGATGGTGAATGGTGAAATCTGCGTGGGAATTTTCTCCATGCAAGACCTTAAAAAGGTAAGCTCTCTCGCACTTATGATTGTGGAAATGACTATTCTGTGATATATAGTTTCAGTAGAACTCTCTTCTCTTTCTGCCTCTGTACAGCCGTAAACGCCAAAATTAGCTGATTAATTCCTGAAATCCACCATTCATATATAACGTAGTATATTATGTTGTATGTCAACTAAATGTTTGTGAATGTATCTAACTATGGGCCACTTTTTCAAATGCTTGCTACTAAAATGCTATGTACATTTGAAAATTGAAACACTCCATAGTTTACTTTTCTCATCAAACATTCTTTGGAAATTGTAAAGTCAAACGCCTAACAGTTTTTGAAAGGATGTTTGATGAAAACATTAAGATGGTGTGCTCTTTTTAAGGCTGTTAACATGGATCCAAACGCAAAAGCCAAAAGCAATTAAGGTCTAATAATAATAACAATATGTTGCGATTTTCTTTTCACTAGTTTTTAATCTGTCTGGTGCGTTGTCAGGGCCAGGAGTTGACATTTGACTACAACTATGTGAGGGTTTTTGGTGCTGCTGCCAAAAAGTGCTATTGTGGATCATCACATTGCCGAGGTTATATTGGGGGAGATCCTCTGAACGGTGATGTAATTGTTCAAAGTGATTCAGATGAAGAGTATCCTGAACTTGTGATCCTTGAAGAGGATGAAAGTGGGGAAGTAATCGTAGATGCAACGCCCAGGATTTTCATTGATGGTACTGACATGCAAATGCAACAGAACTCAACAAAGGTTAATGATTCCAAGGACCCTGCTTCTGATTCCCAATCACAGAGCTCAGTTTCTGTAAATCTTCCAGAGAAAGAAATTCTTCCATCTCTTCAACCAACTGAAGTGTCGAAGGAACTTTCAACGGTAATGCCTGTTAGTGCTGTCCAGCAAGAGGTTCCTGTTGAAAAGAAGACTAAAAGCGCATCTCCCACGTCCAGTTCTCTCAGCAGACTTTCTTCGGATGGTGCAAATGCTGATAAGACGATAAAGCATGGATCGGGTGAAGATAAGAAGATACTTCCACGACCCCGTCCTCGTATGAAAACTTCTCGTTCATCTGGGTCTAGTAAGCGAGACAAAGGAGGTAATCTTCCTGGTGTTAGCAAAGCACAGATTATACCAGTCAATAAGTTGCAACAGCAGCCAATCAAATCTAAAGGATCAGAGGAAGTTTCTCCCAGCGGGCGTATTGAAACATGTATGGTACTAGTTTTGGTCGTGAATTGTGAAGATACCATCACCATTCAGTCATATTCGCTAATACACCACCAATTTTGCAGTTGAAGGGAAACTGAACGAGTTACTAGATGCTGTTGGAGGGATAAGCAAGCGGAGGGTAAGTTGCATAGCATTACTCCTTAATTATAGACCTTTTTCCACTTTAATTTGTTATGCTATAGGGTTAAGCATCATCTGGGATCATGCACTTTTAGTTGATTCTTTTTCACTTGAACCTACATCCTTGGATAATTTTCTACATTCTTAATATTTTCCCTTTATCCGGCAACAGCACAGTGCAATCTAAGTTGATTTTCCTTTTCCGAAATAAACAGGATTCAGCAAAAGGCTACTTGAAACTTCTGCTGCTCACTGCCGCTTCCCGAGGCAATGCCAATAATGAAGGAATCCAAAGGTCTTCAAGAATTTGACCTGCTAATCTTAGCTTCCATTGTAGATATATATAATCTGCATCTAATGACTGAATTCTGATGTTGTTTGTGTACCTAATGCAGCAATCGAGATCTTTCAATGATTCTTGATGCCCTTTTAAAGACAAAGTCACGAACTGTTTTAGTGGACGTGATCAACAAGAATGGTACCTGCGTCTGTCGTTTTTTTCTTCTTATGAATCTTTTATATCTTTGAAAGATGAAATAATCTCCAAACATATCCAGGTCTGCAAATGTTACATAATATCATGAAACAATATCGGAGGGATTTTAAAAAGACCCCAATACTTCGAAAACTTTTGAAGGTACGTTCCTTGTAACCTGCTGCTTTTGTTGATATATTTATTGGTCAGAACACACTTAGCATTGGTTGGTTAATGATAATTCTAACTAATGCGTTCTCGTAATTCTAGCTTGCTTACCAGTCAATATAACTGATTTTGCCTCAGGTATTAGAGTATCTTGCTACAAGGGAAATTCTTGCACTGGAGCATATAATCAGAAGACCCCCTTGTGCAGGGATGGAAAGGTTAGTAATTTTTAATCAAGGCTATGTCGCCGTTGGTACTTTACTTTTGACCGAATATTCATATTGGTTGAAAAAAAAGTATAGTAGCCATTGAAATTTGGAGTACAGTCTGTAGATTTACCTTTTTATCAATTTTTGTTTCAGTAGTCCATCATATCTCTTATATATATAAGTTTAGGCGGTTCTGTGATTAAATTATTGAATTTAACCGTCACCTGGTCTTCTTGAAATTGTGAAAGCCGGAAATAATGTTATATCTGTCTTCAACGCGCCTGCTTTTCCACCTCTTAAGACACCGTATGACATGAAACGTTTTTCTATGTGCAGCTTTAAGGACTCTATTCTAACACTCACTGAGCATGATGACAAACAGGTACCAGGCGTCCCATTTATGAAAATTGTGTTGAATCTTGGACTCTTGATTTGTTTTAAAATCCGAATTTTTGGACCTTGATCAGGTTGAGTACCTGGGGTTTAGCTTCTAATTTCCAATTGGTTAAATGTGTATGCGTACAGGTTCATCAAATTGCACGGAACTTCCGAGACAGATGGATCCCTAAGCCTTTTAGAAAACCTTGGCGCATCGACAGGGATGAGAGATCGGAGTCTAGAAGATCACCTATTAACAGCAGATTCAGAGCATCACAAGAACCTAGATATGATCATCATTCGCCAAGACCTGCAGAACCAAAAGCGTCTGTCATATCACCAACGGCTGCAACTCCTGAAACAGCCTCTGTATCTGAGGGTTGTTCAGAACCTAGTTCCAGTCTTCCCGAGACAAATGGACGTAAGCGCAAAAGCAGATGGGACCAGCCGTCTAATACAAAAGAACAAAGAACAGACGTAACTAATGGCAATCAGGATGTGCAAGACGATCTTCCACCTGGGTTTTCATCGCCATGCACGGATGCGCCTGATGCAGTTACCACCGCACAGCCGCAGCAAAAGTTCCTTTCTCGGTTACCAGTCTCCTATGGGATCCCGCTTAGCATCGTTCATCAATTCGGTTCACCTGGCAAAGAGGACCCGGCGAGCTGGTCTGTTGCTCCTGGGATGCCGTTCTATCCATTTCCACCTCTACCGCCTGTTTCTCATGGTGAGTTTTTCGCTAAGAGAAACGGTGCAGTCTGTTCCTCCTCCATGGGAAACCCGACTTGCTCCAGGGAGACCTTACCGGGTGCAACTGTGCCCAACAAGTCCTCTTGGAGCATCCCAAGTGTTGCTGGGACTGACTCAACCGCTCCAAACCGGAAGAGGGAGTTTTCGTCTGATATAGGAACAAGTTACTTTCGGCAACAGAAACAGAACGTTCCTCCATGGATGCGGAACAACGGGTGGGAAAAAACAGCAAACAGCCCTATACCTGGGAGTCTAACTTTAGAGAAGAAGCTCAACAATTAAGTATTCTTTAACTTTAGAGAAGTACAGTCCATGAAAGTTGAAAATGGAGACAATGCAGCTCTTGAGGAGAAAATTACAGTGATTGATTGGTTAATTCGGCTCATAGGAAAAAGTCCCCTTTAAGGGGAATCTTGTGCTTCTCTCTCCTTTCTAGTATATTCTAATTCTTTTGTTTATGACCAAAAGCAAAAAAAAATACTTCTTCTATAATTTCAAGTCACATTTCAATGTAAGAGCAGTCACATTCTTTATTCTCTTGTTCAAATAATTGATAAGTATACCCTGAAAGATCTGCATCACAAACTACTTAAACAAATATTCTTCTCTGTTTTTTCCCTGTGGTGATCAAAGGTAGCAGGGAAAAAAAAAACAATTTTCTCACCTTTACAAATTATAAAAAGTGAAAAAAAAGTAGAAAGAAAATCAAATCTTTTGACAACTCAATATTTTCTGAGCAAGCTTCTGACTCTAACAAACATCCAAGTTTTTACAAGTGTTGCATATTTTCTCCAGCCATTGAAGTACCTTCCAATAACCTTCTTGTAGCTTGGTCTCATTCTCACAACGACCCAATACCCAGCAAGATTCTTCCTGCTACTTATGTACTCCTCTTCTAAATCCAACAGCGATAACCGAGCTAGCACCGGCACTAGCATCACATCAGCCATACTAAACTCATTCCCTGCCACATACGTCGTCCCCTCTAGCTTCAGTTCAACCTCATCTAGAAGCCTAAGCAAATGGTCTTTGCTTCTCCTTAAGGCACCAGGGTCTTTTAGTTTGTCTTCTGTATCGTAAGCCTCCCTTAGTTTCCTATGGTAAGCACTAGCCAAGTCTGGAGACTCAGCCATCCGTGCAATCACAACCATCCTCAAGAACTTGGAAACATATAGTCGACGATTGTCCGGTATGTGAGCAAGAGTGAAAAGCTTTGAGTCCCATTCCCTGATCTTCCGCATCCATTCAAGAACTTCTCTACCAAAAGTAGCATCTTCTACACCAGAGGAAACCTCAGCTATTCTCTCTAAGTACTCTATGATCTCGATAGTGTCCAAAATGATGTGAGAACCGTTCTTGAAAACGGGAAGTTTCGCGTTGGGATTCATCCTGAAGAAGGAAGAGTCCATGTGCTTGCCTGTGATGGGATTCACATGGTACGATGTGTAATCAATGCCTTTCTCTTCCAAAGCTAGTCGCACTCTTTGGCTGTCCAGTGAGTAAGGATGGTGATATAACTGCATTGCTTCAGACCAATTCCCTTGAACTATAATTATTGTCCACAAAACTGCAACTTCAAGATAAGAAACCCATTCAAATCTACGGCTATATCATATTATGCAAACAGGCAGATTCCAAATACATTGGAGGTGGCGAGGTTAACATTTCAAGCAACTAAAAACTACTTAAAATCGACCAACAAAACATCAATTGATCAATATTTGTATCCAGCACCAAATCAACATTACATGAGAACTGTTGACCTCACAGGCCTGAAACTTGAGAAAAGAGGGATTCATATTTGTAACTTCAAAAGAGTTTTAAGCAATATATTGAAGGAATCGAATCAAACACATGAGTTTGAGTTGAGACCGCAAAGAACGTAGAAGAACAGCTTCAAGCAGAGACTGAAGCAAACAAAGACAAGACAGGACATAACAGGTACTTGGTGATTTTAACTTCTATAACCGAAAGAAAAGAAAAAGACTTTACCCAACAAAGCAGACCACCTTCGAGAGGAAAGACAGCAAGAACTGAATCAAAGTGGAGAAAAAAGAAAACCCTTCGTAGTTTCCCTTCTCGAATTGAGAATTCCTGTAAAGTTTTGTCCTTTTTTTCTTATGACGGGAGACAAAAAAACTATATACAGCTAAGATTTCCTCTGATTAAATTTTGGAAAGTGCGAGTATCTAGTTCTCCACTGCTTACGTTTTTGAAGTATAAAGCTTAGGTAGGCATTGATGTGTACTCGCTCTCAGATGTCGCCACGTGCCGTATATCTTCATGTCAACACTCCGTCAAAGTCAAAAGCGGTTTTTTAATAAATAACCAGAGTCCCTCAAGGGTATATCTGTCTTCTTCTTTCTTTTCTGCCAACCTTTTCATCCCTTTTTCTTTACATGCACCTAAATTATTGCTTCTATTATTGCATGGTCCAGATTTTCGTATATATATTGTTTCCATTATTTAGAAGGGATGAAATCTACAGTCCAAATTATTTACCTATGTACTTGTTGAAGCGTCTTAAATCAGTGGTTGTGTTCAACATTTCTACAACAGATTTGTACACTAGATATATGACATTCAGTTTCAATAAATTAATAACTTGTTGTAAATATTTTACCTAGTTCGTCTTTGATGGTATTGGTATACATATCAAATCATTCAAATAATGATGCAACACAACAACAAAACATATGAATAATAATATATTTAAAAAAAGCAAACCGCAAAGCATAGCTGGTATGTAAAAATGCATTTGGATGTTGCAATTTTGTTTTGGGTCTGATTACGAAATAATTTCTTCTCTTTGGGCCTAAAAGAGACTACCAAGAAAGAAAATATTTACATTCAGTAGTACAAAATTCTGAACACGGCCCAATTTCATTCATAATTTTAGGCCCACTTTGGCACAGCCGATGATTATAAAATACATCATCAAATTTTAATTGAATGATCACCTGGTTTGTTTGAGTAACATGGATATATAAATATCGAATCGACTATTACATAGAAAGACAAGAATGTGTATGGTTATATTAATCAAGTGCATGGGCCAAGGAAAACACCAACCTCTAAAATAGAAGGGACAATAAATATAAGCATCGAAATGGTGACACGTAACAGGCCAAAAATATTACAAATGTCCCATTCATCACAATCTATTGAATTTAAGAACTTTTATGTTGTAACCACGATTTTGTCCTCTTCTCTTCTCTCATATTTTCGCCCATTAAACAGATTTAATGCAGGCAGAGAAGCATCTTAGTTCATAGTAGGTCCAATAATCTAGTCATATACGAACAAAATAAAAATAAATTAATCGAGTTTTTCAAGACTTTCACCCACGAGTTAGAGAAACATCAACATCATGCATATGCATATTTCAGTTTTGTTCATATATCGTAGTCATTTGTGTTACTAGTTGTTTTGTTCAGTGAAACAGTTGAATACAACTTCATCAAGGTTTGTCGGATATAATTAGAATATTTGTTTTTACGACTGCTAAAAATAAGAGTTCCGGTCCTAAAAGTAAAAAAACATAAGGATGAAATATATTATTAGATTTGTCACCATTTTAAGGATAGTGATTCGTCGTAAACTAGCTCCGTTTCTCTCTCTCTTTTTCATCACTGCCACAAACCCAATCGAGTTTTTTATTTCATGGTTTGTGTCTGTAATATCATACTAAAAGTATATATATTACTCTCTCTGTTTCATAATAAATGTTATTTTGAGAAAATGTATCTATATTATAACTGGATGTATTAACCTCAAAACACATCAAAATACATCTAATTATAATTTAGATACATTTTCCCAAAATAATACTTATTATGAAACAGAAAGAGTAATATAAATTATATAATGTCCATTGTCATCACGTCTTAGTTTTATTAATGACCCATTAATACTACACGTGTTTTTACATTATGTCATCGAAAGGTGTCAATAAAAGGAAATAATCAATGAAAGATAGGGTGCACCAATTAAATATCAATTAACTTCTTAATAATGCTCACATTTAATTCTATTAAATTGGCCTAACTCTGAGATGTAACTCTCCTTCGTTTTAAATGACATATATTATATACGTGGTCATGGATTTTTTTGGGTATAATTATATATGGTCATGATTCACGCTTCTTTGAAAAATCAATTTGGTTTTTGGGAAATTTTAAAATATTCCAGCAACAGAAACTTAATTTTATAAATTAGGCAGATCACTATCAAATTATCTCCCATTGAAAGATTGTTCTTTGCTGAAACTTTTATATTCCCTCCATTTCAAAATAAGTATTTTTTAAAATTTTATTTTTGTTTTACAAAAAATGTTACTTTACATTTTCAATGTATAATTTTAAATAAATATTTAATTTTTTTTTATTGTTTTAATTAGAAAGAGAATGTTATTTTATGTATGAACAAAAATAAAACAAAATTTTCAATAAGTTTTTTAGTTTGTGTGAAAAATGCTAAAAAAACATTTATTGTAAAACAGAAAAATATTATAAAAAAATGTGAATTGTGGTAATCATTTAAAGGCTAACAACATCTTAAGTTTTCGGCTCCCAAAAATCATGCGAGTTATTGGGACACGTTCTTCGATTCCGTGTATTAACTACGAAATTACGAAATAAGTCGCAATTGGTTAATACAAAAAAAGAAAAACGAAAGAGAATGATTTTAGGTTTAGGAAATAATAAAAATGTAAGATCAAGTGGCGTTGTCGTGGCAGAAACAAAAGCCACCAGCTGAATAGTCTACGTTTCCTTATCTTCCGGTTAATGTTTTTAAATTTTAACATCTCAGTTTGTTGCCACTTTCATTTCTCATCATCAATTATGGCACTGAACCATTCAACATTATGGATTAATAACCAAATAATACCTTCATTTAATTTTATCCCATATACTTTTACCATCTATACAGTATATAATTAATAAACTAGCTTTTAAAAGTACATGTCCTTCATCACAAACTGAAAGATACTCCTATCTCTAGCAATAATAGTTTAATACTACTATACAATTTGTGATTCGTTTATACAATAATAGAGCAGGTGGGGTCCATGACTCATGAGGTAGAGGCTGACGCATGGCTTTCGGTTTTAGTTGGCGTGTCGTTTCTTGCTACTAAAACGGCAGGTATTCCGTTACTACTTTCCCTCCATCTTTTTCTCCACCATAATAACTAACTTCTTCTTCTTCGGCAATGATGGCACACGTAACCAATTTTTTTTTCTTTTTCTTCTAATATTCGGGCATGAGGAACGGCGTTAAGTGACGTTGCTAATACTTTAACGCCGTGTTATCTAATAACTACGTAATTAATGTTGTGTACGTTACCTGAGGCGCCGGTAAGCATGGGAGGATACGTCTTCGGTTATGTTGACGTCAGGGATATGTTTTAGACTGACACGTGTTGGTTATATGGGTTGTTGGAGAGATCACATGACATGGGCGGTTTTGTTATTCGGACCGGACATGTTAGAGCCACAAAACGGGCTATGGTTCCACCGACCCATTCTGCCATATATGAGCAAGTTTTTATTTCCTTATTTAGCTTATCCATCCTCTTATATTATTCTGTTTCTGTAGAAATGTTTTTTTTTTCTTTAATAAAGGTAACTGTAGAAATGTTTTGCATTCATTGTAACAGACTAACAGCCTATAACCATATACTGGACAAATGATACTAGTTTATTGGTGTGCATCTATGTTACATTTATGATTTTGTATGTGTGTAATGTACTAACTAAATGGTTTCTTAATTACGATGTGATTTTCTTTTTGTATTTTAAGATATTTTAAGTTAATGCCTTCAAATGTTAAGTGATAAATCAGTTTATGGTTGTTCATAATGAAATAACCAGGCAGAATGATAAATTTTTTTTATAACTTATCTATATATTGTTTTTGTAAAAAAATATATATACATATATATGTGGAAACGTGGAATTGCCTATTCTTTCGTTTTCATCTGACTAACGATAAATATAAGTGTTTGCTAAGAAAAAAAAGATAACTATAAATAAAGAAAAACAGCAGTAGTGATCCCACAAAATAGTTTCAAACATAATTGTATTCTAAGCCGTAATGTTTAAAGTATTATTTTCGCCATCTTTACCTTTCAGTTTGTTCCTTTATTTATTGTTGTTTAATTTTGCCAATTTATTTATCGTTTGATTATAGCAAGAAATGAGAAACATACGAAAACGTGAAATTACCTATTCTTTCGTTTTCGTATAAGGATTATTAATATAAGTCAAAACTTTCAACAGAAATCCCATAAATTTTTTTAACTTTAGTCGTGTGTTTTAGTACCGTTTTTCGCCAGGTTTATCTTCAGTTTTTTCGTTACTATTCTTATTACTTGCATGATTTTTAGTATATTTATTCATTTTAGTAGTCTAAAGGATAATATACAATTTATTCATATTAGTAGTATACAGTATAGTAATATACAATCAAAATTTTGTTGATTTGTTCGGCTTTTCATATGAAAATAGAGACATACATAAATTATTAAAATTACTAAGAACATACGTTGTTTCTGTCATTGTGATTGATTGTACTGTGAGACAATGTCAAAATTGGAAAACGACAGCAGATAATAATAATGATTTCTTAAAAAAGTTGAGTAAAATAATGTCAAGTACTTGTACTACTAGTAGGGTTGGAAAATCATTTTTAACATCATAAGAAAAAGGGCAAAATGAAATTCTAAGATGGCTGCTCTTCTCTTTCTTTCTGACGAGCATCAAAAGCAAAACCAAACCTGCGGTTAAAACTTAAGCCTCTGCAACCAGAGAGAGATAGAGATAGAGAGAGAGGATCTTGTCTTTGTTTGGGTATTTAAACCTTAACGATGTTCTTTTGTCTTTGGGAAGCACACGTCAGGCAAAAAGGGAACACTTGAAAATTGAGACAATCTCTCCTGTGAGACGAGATGATAGAAAACAGCGGAGAGAAACGGAGCTCCGTCGAGGAAGAAGGATGTGGCCGTACGATTCTTGTCGGCGTGAAGCTGGACGCGCCGAGCAGAGAGTTACTCACTTGGGCTTTGGTTAAAGTCGCTGAGCCTGGTGATACTGTGATCGCTCTTCACATTCTTGGAAATGGTACATTTTTGTTTTTTTTTTCTGGGTTTCTCTTACAAAAAGCTTTGATTTTTTATGTTTCTAATACTACAAATGTTTTCGACTTTTGGGTTTTGTGTAGAGATTGTCGATCGAGCAGGGAACTCTTCGCTTCTCTCTCTAGTGAAAACTTTCGACTCTGTTCTTGACGTTTATGAAGGTTTCTGCAATTTAAAACAGGTAAATCGAAAATCAAAGTGTGAAGCTTTTCAATTTTCGAAACTTCTTTTTTTGTTCCTTTGAAATGTAGAAATTTCGCTTTTTTATATAGGTGGATCTGAAGCTGAAGCTATGCCGTGGCTCCTCTGCTCGGAAGATCATAGTGAGAGAAGCGAACTCGTTTTCTGCAACGCAAGTTTTAGTTGGGATCTCGAAAAGTCACCACACGATTCGTTCATCAGCATCCGTAGCTAAGTACTTGGCGAAGAAACTATCAAATGATACCTCGGTTCTTGCTGTCAACAATGGTAAAATCGTGTTTGAGAGAGAAGGTTCTCCATCATCGACCATTAATCATTCTCAAGGTTTGAACTTTTTTGTCTCTCTTAAAAAATTTTCAGCAATGATTTGGTTTTTTCTGTTTAGTGGTTAAAAGTTGGTTTTTTGAGCTTTGTCATAGGAAAGGAAGATGTTCGGAGGAACACTTTGTTGAATGTGCTTCAGAGATCTGTTACATTGAGTAAGGCTACTAAAGTGGTTAACCATCCTGAGGAGGTCTCTAAGGAGGAGGAGAAGAATGATGATCGATCCTGTGGCCAGAATCTGCAGCAGGCCTTAGCGGCTGCTCGGTTTGAGAACTGCTCGGTTTGTGGTTCGGATTCTCTGTCTCCAAATGATAATACAACCACTCATGGAAAGTTATCTGGAGCTTCAGATTTCGATAGGAGTGAAGATGATGATGAGTGCCACAAAGAAATGGAGATTGTGCCTGTGAAAGGCGTAGAGGAACCAGGCGGTTCTGTAACTATGCTGGTTAGGAAACTGCCTGAATCTAGACCAGGCTGGCCTTTGCTTCGTCGTGCTGTTACTTCGTTAGGACAATCCGTTGCTACTCATAGGCCTTCGTCGAAACAGATTCCGGTTGTTCAATGGGCTATGAAGCTTCCTCCGAGGAACAGCAAGCAAATTGGTTATGATGATTCTTGTGAAGATGAATTGTCAAGCTCAAACGTCACCAAGAAGTCTTCTCCTGACAACAGTCCAAGAAAACTCCCTGAGGAATTAGTTGGACTGTACGAGAGATTCTCTTCGACTTGTCGGTTTTTCAAGTACAAGGAACTTGTTTCAGTGACATCAGATTTCTCCACTGGTTTGTTCTCCTGACATGTTGTTTTATAGTTCTTGAACATTTGTTCTTTAATCCTCCCTGCTATGTAACTAAGAAACTCGATCTGCTCTCAGATAATTTCATCGGGAAAGGAGGCAGCAGCCGTGTTTTCAGAGGTTGTTTGTCCAATGGGAGAGAGGTTGCTGTGAAGATTCTCAAGCAAACGGAAGATGTCTTGAATGATTTCGTTGCTGAGATCGAGATCATCACAACGCTACACCACAAGAACATCATAACCCTCTTAGGCTTTTGCTTTGAAGACAAGAACCTACTACTTGTGTACAATTATCTCTCAAGAGGAAGCCTTGAAGAGAACCTTCACGGTACTTATTAGACAAGCCCTTGCCTTTATTATAAGCAACTCTATTATGGTCATGGATCTAAACACATACTTGGTTGCAAAAACAGGAAACAGGAAAGATCCGTTTGCATTTAGCTGGAGCGAGAGATATAAAGTAGCTGTGGGAGTGGCCGAGGCCTTGGACTATCTGCATAACAGTGCTTCGCAACCTGTCATCCACAGAGATGTTAAGTCATCAAACATACTATTATCTGATGATTTTGAGCCACAGGTTAATTACAAGTTCATGTCGGTTTTTTTCATGTATATCACAATAGGAATATTCAAAAATACTAAAATGATTTGTAATCTTTTGCTCCCAGCTTTCTGATTTTGGGCTTGCGAGGTGGGCGTCTATATCTACCACTCACATAATCTGCTCGGATGTTGCTGGAACCTTTGGGTATGCAGGAACCTTTAATTCAAGCTGATGTTTCACAGAAGTTCTTGAAAATGTTCTTGTGCTAATCTTCTCTTTCTTGTTGCAGTTACTTGGCTCCAGAGTATTTCATGTATGGTAAGGTGAACGATAAGATAGATGTATATGCATTCGGTGTTGTTCTACTCGAGCTACTTTCTGGAAGAAAACCGATTAGCAGCGGATGTCCGAAAGGACAAGAGAGTCTTGTCATGTGGGTATGTGTTGTTGCTGCATAACCTTTTTAACTCATTGAAACCAACCTGTTATTCTCTGCTCTTGCTGAAACAAGTATGTGTATGTTATATGGTCACGTACAGGCCAAGCCAATTCTAGACGATGGAAAGTATTCTCAGTTACTAGACCCGAGTTTGCGAGATGAGAACAATGGTGACCAAATGAAGAGGATGGCGTTAGCTGCTACTCTTTGTATTCGACGTAGCCCTCACGCTAGACCAAAAATGAGCATTGTAAGTCATGGTTTTTTGTTCTTTAATCTATTCAAATCATAACAGCTCTATGCAGTTGTCTCAACGATTGTGGGAATGACGCAGGTCTTGAAGCTACTCAAAGGCGAAGAAGACACGCTCGAGTGGGCAATGCAACAAGTGAGTAGTTCATCAGATGAATCAGAGATGCTTAAGGATGAGGAATGTCAAAGATCAAACCTGCAGTCGCACCTTAAAGTAGCGCTTCTTGATGTTGAAGATGACTCTATCTCCATGGGAAGCATTGAGCAGGGCGTCTCTGTTGAGGATTATCTTAATGGCAGGACAAGCCGTTCTTCGAGCTTCGACTAAACGCTCTTTTTATTGAAACTATTGTGTCATTTGTGTGTGTGTATATATATATGGACGGGTGGTGGATTTGTGGGGTTCTTTTTTAGCTCTCATTCCTCTCCGGTTTAGGGTTGTAATTGTAGATTTCATTTCTTGGGCGGTGTGTTCAGCCATTTTTTTCATCTTCTTCCTTTTTTTTGGGAAAACTTCTTATAGTTGTGGTAATTAAACGAAAGAGAAAATGAAAACTTTTTTTGGCATTTCTTCAGTTTCTTAGTTTGCTTCAAAGCTTTTAGTGTGTGATACTACAAATTACTTAAGATATTACGAGTCACAAGGAATGATTAAGCTCAGTAGTTTGTCACATGATATCTTCATTGAACATGTATGATCTGAACTGAACAAGTATAAGCTCTCTCGCTGCATAACCGGTGCTTGTGACCAAAAATAATAATTCACCTTCTCATAGAAAATGCGGAATGTACAGGAGACTAAAGTACATGTCCTGAATAAGACAATTGATTAAGAAAATGTGGAAGTTAAAATCATATAAAGAGGGATAGATTGTAGAGTTTAAGGACAAAAAAGAAAGTTAAAATTATATAAAGAGAGATAAATTGCAGAGTTTAAAGACAAAAAGTCATACTTTAGAGCATTAAAAAATTGTCCAATTTGCCACCACATTTTTGTAAGAAAATAAAAATCACAGTCACATACAATAGAATATCAGTCAGCGAGGACTTGATTTCAGTATAGTCTTCCAAACAAAGCAAATGACAGTAAACTAAATTAGTTGCTGAAACATAGACTTCACAACTAACATATATCTAAACTTAACAAATTTTTAGATCATTAGCCTAGTGAATCATGAATGCTAATGATTAATTTTTTATTTGACTGATTTATCTACAAAACAAATAATAGATAAATGCAAGTTATACAAATTATAGGATTATCTAAAAATTTGAATACCAACATGTTGCAAATTGTATATGTGAAAAAGTAGTACAAAATATGTAACATTAACTTATTAACGATTTATTCTATCTCTTTCGGTGTGTTGTTCAGCGGCACAGTTGGCCCTTTAAAGGGTTCCAAACCAAATCATAGCAGGTCCAGGGCTGCTTCTTTGAATTTTATTTTGCTTTAATTTAGGTAGTTGATGCTAGTTCCAAGGGGAATTTGGGGCGATTTATTAACCATTCGTATACTCCAAATTGCAAAATAGAAAAGGTAGTTGTTATGAACCGCTTGCAATTGTTGATATTGTTGAAGTGGTTTGTGAAGGGAGAATATTGTCACATTAAATATTATTTCATTTCATTCGTCAAAGTTCAACTTAGATTGTCACATTTTAAATATTAAAGCACTTTTCCTACTTTTCACCCAATAGTCTCAAATGTCTTTAAATGCATTATTGTAATTTTACTACAAATAATGAAACTTCTCTTTTCAAATAAGGACAAAATAATTATTACATCTTGACTCTTGGAAACACTCGAGAAAGATAACTACTTATAAAATTCAAATCGGTTTCACTGCTTCATTTAGAATGGTTAAGATGGCCAAATTGGTAAGGGCCAAATCTGAATATTAGGGTGAAAATGGTAAGAAAAAAAAAACTTAATTTTCGTATCGACTATTAATAAAATAAAAGAACAAGAAAAGAATATACACGTCTTCTTAAAAAAAAAAAAACATAGATTGTCACATTAAAGATATCACAATAACATGATAGGTATCCAATACAAAGTGATCATTGTAGAGTCTTGAGTTTCACCTAAGATGTACCTAAAAGGGCTTGTGCGGTGCGGCCTTCCTCGATGCACTCAATATCTTCGCATTCTCTCTTCACACGTTTTTCATACAGCCAGGGTTTAAACGCACCGTCCAGAACTATGTTCTGCAAAAGAAGCAAACCATAAAAGACATTCTTTTGCTTAGATTTATTAAACACTAATGCATTCAAAGGTTTTTATGGTAACCACGAGAGTTTCATTAGAAGTAATGCACACACAGGACGACTTGAAACTGATAACTGTACCTCGAAATAAAAGAAAAACCCGCGCAATAGGTTCAGGGCTCTAGGATCATCCTTCCCATAACGACAAAGACGAAACTTCTTGTAGAAATCTGCAGAAGAATCATGAGTATGATATAAAAGAAAGTATGAAGATGATATAAAAGAAAGTATCATGAGTTAAAATACATCATTACTAGCAATAGTCAGAATATTATAATGATAGCAGATCCCAACACGTGTGAATATTCAATCAAAGATGTATGATATGCATAAACGTGAGAATGCCTTTAACCAACAAGCTTTCTAACGCCTTTTCAACAAGTTTTCCTCTAGAACGTTAACGTTCGATGAAGGATTCTCAAGCTAGCGGGTTTTATCAAGAGAAGATAGTTCAGCAAGCCGCACGCAAATCATTAGGCTTCCACAAGAACACATTCAACAAGCTGTTTCAGTTCGATTACCTGGATACTGGTCGAGATATGAAGGTGTCGACTGGTTATCAACATTATATTCAATCTCTCTTCCATCTCGTAATTGCCTAGACCGAGTTAACTGTTTCTTGACTGATGCCTCATGACAGCGTTGCAAGAACTCATCTTTATCAAAGGGCTTTCTCAGAACTTCCAACAGCTTCTTGCTAAATGAAGAGTTGAATACAATCTCAGGCTCAGTACCGTCTTCAAGGTCCTTGGAAAGCATCACGACAAAAGGAAAAATGTCAATAAATCAAAATTAGAAAGAATCAGAAAAGACAGAATTTTAAAGACAAGTGAGTTTAAGGTACACATACTATCACTTTGCCGTCTTTGTTTGCCTGGAATGGGGAATTGCCTCCATCAGAAAATGGATAATTGCTGACTGCAATAATATCAGGATCGGACAAAGACACTAACTCTTTCTCAGGCTTCGCTTTTCGATCCGGTTCAAAGATAACCATCGAATTTCTCAGACACGCTAAGAAATAGCCATAGCTTTTATCTAGTGATGACCTGCTCTCTTCATTCTCCTTCTTGTGAGCTTTGAAACTGTTAGGTAAGTTGTCTTTGACATGACTTGTAGACTTTGATTTAACATTGTTCTTGGTCATAGGGATCTTCTTTTCCTGCGGAGCCTCTCCTTCCTTTCGTTTGGTTTCTTTGGCGTTTACCACTGGGATAGTCTTTGAAGTCAGGTTGTGATCTACTCTCCCGTTTTCAGTCTTCAGTCTCTTTGAAGCTCTGAAAGTCGTCTGAGAATTTTCCTTTCTCCTTGCAATACCCTCCTCCTTCTCCTTCTTGGAGGCTTTAAAATTGTTCTTGGTCACAGAACGCTTCATTCCTTGTCGAGCATCCTCTTTCTTTCGTCGGGTTTCTTTGGTGTTAACCATTGGGATAGTCTTCTCAATCTTCAGTCTCTTTGAAGCTCTCAACATCGTCTGAGACTTTGCGTTTCTCCTTGCACTGCTCTCCTCATTCTCCAACTTGCAGGCTTTGAAAATGTTCTTGGTCACAGACCTCTTCCTTCCACGCCGACCATCTTCTTTCTTTTCTTGAGTGTCTTTGACCTTTTTTGTAGGCTTTTCTAATTTGATAGTATTCTTGGTCAGACCAGTCTTCCTTCCCCGACGACCATCTTCTTTCTTTTGTTTGGTGTCTTTGACCTTTTTTGCAGGCTTTTCTAATTTGATAGTGTTCTTGGTCAGACCAATCTTCCTTCCACGACGACCATCTTCTTTCTTTTGTTTGGTGTCTTTGACCTTTTTTGTAGGCTCTTCTAATTTGATAGTGGTCTTGGTCAGACCAACCTTCCTTCCCGTTCGAGCATCTTCTTTCTTTTGTCTGGTGTCTTTGGCATTGCTTTTAGGCTTTTCTAATCTGATAGTGTTCTTGGTCAGAGCAGCCTTCCTTCCCTGTCGAGTTTCTTTGACATTACTCGTAGGCTTTTCTAATCTGATAGTATTCTTGGTCAGACCAGTCTTCCTTCCCTGTCGAGCATCCCTTTTCTTGAAGACAGACCTCGAAATCAACTTATAATCCGCTTCACCATTCTTACTCTTTAACTTCTTTGCAACACTGGAAACCAAAGGAGACCCTGCTCTAATCTTCTCAACTTTTACTGCTCCGCTTTTACTCCTACCCGTAGCTTCATTAGCAGCGTTGTGCGTAAGACGCATCGGAGAAGTGTTCCCCTCAAGCAAATATGGTTGCTTCACCCAACAGCTTGCGAAATACTTTTTATAATCCGGATCATATTCCAAGTCATCAGCACAAACAATCTGCATACTTGTTTCGTCTCTTTCAGCTGAAGCATTAAGTGGCTTGCATGATGCATCCACTCCACCGCAAAGAGCCAGAATCCTACCGCCAACTTCGTCTGTATCTGAGTCTGACTCAATCTCAATTACTTCCTTCTTCACAGTTATCACCGTACCGCCCTTAGAGCTATTCGGTTTCCTCATCCTGACAACAACAACAACACATAAAATTGTTCAGAGTCGTCGAATCAACATAAGAGAACTTGAAATCGTGACAGATTTGACCATGTAAAAACTGAGTTCATCGACATCCAACGCCCAATTTCTTAACCTAATACAGCATTGACCATACCGGAAGTGGAAAGAGCATGAAAAAGTGCAAAGATTTAGTAATTCTAGCAAAGCTATAACACAAATGCAGGTCGAAATTTCACCACAAACCTCAGTGTGATTCTCTTCCTCCAACGTCACCGAAGCAATAGTCGTCGATTTTTCTACCGTAGACAGCTGAAACAAAGAGCCCAGGAAAATTAATTCTAAGAAACCCCAGAAAAATGGTAACTTTATGGAAGCAAACTTTGGTCTCTCAGCAAAATTAAGAAGCTTTTTGTGTAACGAACATGGATGATGCTTGAAATTGAACAAATGGTGGAAAGAGAAGTCAGCCCATAAGCCCTAGACGTAAAACCTAATAGAGAACCGGAGAGACTAAACGGAGGAAAAGTCCGTGACTTAGAACTGTTTCTAAGCAAAAGCGGCAAAATTTAGCTTACTTCACTCACGAATCAACGATTTGTATGAGGATTTGGTTTCATTCGTCCTTGCGGGATTCCTCAGTCACTGTAAGATGGTAGTAAACTGTATAAATTGTATGATTCCAAAAACCAGAGGCCGTCCCGTTCCGTTACCTTATCTTCACAAAAACTGTACCTCAGTCACTACGCGCTATTTTTCCGTTAAAAATTAAAGATTTTAATTTATATAAGGAAGGATTTTATAGATGGGCCGAAATGAAAGGCTTTTTAAATCGAAAACAAGGGCCCAGTAGAGATAATTCACACTTCCAAATCATAAAACAAGGCTCAATAAGGCTTTTTAATTTTTAATTTTTTTTTGTCGTAAGGCTTTTTAATTTTAACAGTCTCTTAACACCTCTTTCGATTTATGGAAACAAAATCATAAACAATTTACACTTTTGTTAGATACTCCACTCACATACTATAGTCTTTTATTTTATTTTATTCCTCATAATTTACGTTACGATTCTATGTACTTTTCTTTACCACCAGTGAAAGCACGTGAGCAAGTGGTTTATAACTTTTATATTACTCTCTCTCTTTCTCTCTCTTTCTCTCTCTCTCAAGTCAGCAAGTCAAAAGAAAACCTAACTGAAAATTGTAGTTTATAATTTAGATCCTCAAGTCTCTCTCAACCATTACATTAAATGTGACTAGTGATTGTTTTCTTTTTATGTAAAAGGGAAAATGTGAGTGATTCTTTAACTATAAGACCCAATCAGATTCGAGTATAATTTAAGAAAAATATATTGTTTTGTTATTAAAATACAGACTAGGTTCTGAGTGTCTTGACCAAAATCTGTAGTTTTCCATTTGAGGAATATAAAAATATAGAGACCATCGGGCTATTTAAATTAGATAAAAGTGAAGTTCTATTTCAGGTTGTAATTAGGTTTATTATAATACTAGTTATATTTTTTGCTGAATCTGTAAACATTCTATATCTTTCTTCATTTGTTTTCGTTGTCTTCATGCGAGTCGTCTAGTTTCGTCCCTTCACTCACTCTCCCATCAATTTCCTCACCACCTCATCCACGTGTCTCAACCTCCACCTTTCTCCGTCTCTCCACCGTCGCCGGCGTTTGATCATCAAATTCCTCGCCGCTTTAACTGTCACCTCTCTAGCCACTAATCTCTGTTTTTGCTCGATCTGTCGTGAAATTGCTCTGCTTTGTCGCGATCATCAGATCGCCGGTGTGAACCACCGTGGTTACACCATGAAACTCTCCGGCGTTGGTTTAGACGTACTGAAGACGCCGAGATTGGTCAAATTCATCGCCTTTGCGCTTTTCTCGATCTCGACCATCTTTCTCTTCAACCACTTCTCAGATTCCTTCTCTTACCCATCTCTTCGTTTTCCCGTCACCTCCTCCAACGTAACCGAAGCTGTTCAGACCAATCTAACAACCTCCGTGGCGGTGGCGCCATCTCCACCACCGCGTCCGCATCTCAAGATATCGCCTCCACCGCTTCCACCGACGGTGGTGCGTACGGGAATCGTCGACGAGAATGGCGCGATGTCGGATTCGTTCGAAATCGGCGGGTTCGATCCGGATTCCGTCGATGAGCTTAAAGCAGCCACCGGAAACTCTTCGTCGGAAAGGGAAAAGGAAGCAACAGGAGATGATGATTCGAAAGTGGGATTTCGGATTGAAAAATTCAAACTTTGTGACAGAAGGATGACAGATTACATCCCTTGCTTGGACAATGTGGAAGAGATCAAGAGATTGAACAGTAGCGATCGAGGAGAAAATTACGAGAGACATTGCCCTAAGGAGAGCTTGGATTGCTTGATTCCGCCTCCAGATGGCTACAAGAAACCAATCCCATGGCCACAAAGCAGAGACAAGGTGAGATATTGTGATCAAGTTCCTTCCTTTACTTCCGCCATAGCTTGTCTAAGCCAACTGTTTGAGTTTCAGTGCAAAGTTACTAACTTTATCGACTGATGCATTGTCTTGTGGCAGGTATGGTTCAATAATGTGCCTCATACACGCTTAGTGGAAGATAAAGGAGGTCAAAATTGGATTAGAATAGAGAAAGACAAGTTTGTGTTCCCAGGAGGTGGAACTCAATTCATCCATGGAGCTGATCAGTACTTAGATCAGATCTCTCAGGTTTGTTTGTTGTTGTTTTTTTTCTCAATCCCCCCAGCCTTTTCTAGTTGTTCTCGTTATTGGCTCATGTTGATCTTATATTCTCTTAAGATTGTAACTTGCAGATGATTCCTGGCATTGCATTTGGAACACGCACCCGTGTCGCCTTGGATATTGGCTGCGGTGTGGCGAGCTTTGGTGCCTTTTTGATGCAGCGTAACACGACAACCTTGTCGGTTGCACCAAAAGATGTCCACGAGAATCAGATCCAGTTTGCATTGGAGCGCGGTGTGCCTGCAATGGTGGCTGTCTTTGCCACACGGAGGTTGATGTATCCAAGCCAGTCTTTTGAGATGATCCATTGTTCCAGATGCAGAATTAACTGGACCCGCGATGGTTAATTACTCAGTTTTTCTTGCTTCTCCTGTGATGTGTTTTTGAGCTTTGCCGTATTATGTGACTAAAGCTTTATATTGGCATGGATTACGCAGATGGGATACTTCTTCTTGAAGTTAATAGAATGCTCAGAGCAGGAGGGTACTTTGTTTGGGCTGCACAACCAGTTTATAAACATGAGGATAACTTGCAAGAGCAATGGAAAGGTCCGTATATTTAGTTGACAAAACAATATGTCTGTTATGGAGTCTTAACTGAAAGATGATTGTTGTTTCTACTCTTAAATTCATCTTCTTGCAGAAATGGTCGACCTTACGAACCGAATCTGTTGGGAGCTTATCAAGAAAGAGGGATATGTCGCTGTGTGGAGGAAGCCTCTAAACAACAGCTGCTATATCAGCCGTGCAGCTGGAGCAAAACCTCCTTTGTGCAGAACTGATGATGATCCTGATGATGTTTGGTACATGAACATTTCTAATAGCATTGGGCCTTCTTGCATTGAAAATCTATGATAGAACTACCAAACTTTCCAGCTTTTCAAACTGAAACTTTCGAAAAGTCTGAACTTTGTGGTAATGGTTTTCGTGTTCCAGGTATGTGGATATGAAGCCGTGCATCACCCGATTACCTGAAAATGGCTACGGGGCTAATGTGTCCACATGGCCTGCACGTCTTCATAATCCGCCAGAGAGGCTACAGAGCATTCAAATGGATGCCTATATATCCCGGAATGAAATTATGAAGGCAGAGTCAAGGTTTTGGTTTGAAGTAGTAGAGAGTTACGTGAGGGTCTTTCGATGGAAGGAGTTCAAGCTGAGGAATGTTCTGGACATGAAAGCTGGTTTTGGAGGGTAACCATCAATCACACGTTTTCTGTTTTCTGTAGTATCGAAAGTTTGTTTGTTTGATCTAGCATATCTTTGATCTTTTGATAGGTTTGCAGCAGCATTAAACGATCTCGGGCTTGACTGTTGGGTTATGAATGTTGTTCCCGTAAGTGGATTCAACACCTTGCCAGTTATCTACGACCGTGGGCTTGTAGGGACTATGCACGACTGGTACAGACTGATATATATAAATCTACTCGTTTGCTTTAACTCCCACATACATAACTTGCACAAGATCACATATACAAGCTTTTTGCATTTGCTTTCTCTAGGTGTGAGCCATTTGACACCTACCCAAGAACATACGACTTAATACATGCTGGATTTCTCTTCTCTGTTGAGAAGAAGAGGTAACAACAAAAATGATTTGAAAACTTTTCTTTTGGTGCTGAATTCAGATATGAAGTGTGAGAGACTTTGATTGGAGTATTGAGTTGGGTTTACATGTAGGTGCAACATAACAAACATTATGGTGGAGATGGACCGGATGTTGAGACCTGGAGGACGGGTTTACATAAGGGATTCACTGTCTTTGATGGACCAGCTTCAACAAGTGGCTAAAGCCATCGGTTGGACACCTGGCGTTCATGACACCGGGGAAGGACCCCACGCAAGCGTTAGGATTCTTATCTGCGATAAACGGATGTGAGACACAGAAAGATTAAGAGGTTCTTAATCGTATGATAAGTCTGCTCAGTAGTAGTAGTAGTATTGACTATTGACTATTGATTGATGATTGTATGCTGTTTAATTTGTTTTGTTGATTTGATTGTTGTAGAATGAAACCTGTTAATACGTTTTGAGCCATTTTTATAAAACACACACACACACAAACTGAGAAGCAAGAGATTTAGTTTCTCAGGCAAAGAAGAAACAGAGAATTGTCTTTGCTTTGTCAAGCAATCCTATTTATTGATGAAACCAAAACTTTTAGTTCTTCAGAATTGATTTCTTAAGAAGTGATCAGGTCTCTAAGACCAAAAATTAACCAATTTTGTTTTTCGGAATTTGAGATCAAAAAGATAAGCGAAAGTCCAACATCGTCACTGTGTCTTACTCTCACAAACTATAGAATGTGAGAAACTAAAATGTCTTCCCCTTAAATACTCATGACTTTCTTTCTTGCTTGCTCTGTAAACTGTAACTCAGGAGGCCTTTGTCTTGGTGTCCTTCAGTTACAGCCGTTGGATTTCCAAACTGAGAGATCTGACGGTGGAGACTACGTAATTAATCTTATAGACTTTTACTGAAGCCGCAGGGAACAATATCCGTCGCGGTTCTGTTACTTCCACGTGTCGGTTTATCGTCACTGATTACCGGTTTTGACCGGTGTCAGATCCAAGTTGAAATTCAATTAGAGACACCGGTTCAGTGACGCGGAGGTTTAAAAATGATTCAAAGATAAGAGAAGCCGGGATTTGCAGAGGCACCGGCGAGTCTGACTTTCCGAGAGACCGCGAAATCAACCCCTCTCTCAAATTTCTAGGGTTTTCTCCTCCGTCGTATCTGGACGCAGATTTCTCCACTCTGGTGCGGTTCTTACTCTTCTTTGCTTGTCGTCTATTGCTCGCTTTTCGCTTGAATTTTTCGAATTTGGCTATTTTTTCGCTTCGTTCCGTCTCCTAATCTTTAGATAAAGCTCCATTGAAGGTTCTGTGTCTAGTAAATTCGTCGTTTATGATATATTTTTCTGGGAAATTGCTGGTAGAGAACAATCTTTATTGATTTTTTTTTGTTGGCAATGAGGAGGAATCATACATGTTTCCCTTACATCTCGATGGTTTCTTTGGGATGCCAAATCGAAGGCATTTTAGAAAATGATGATAAAATTGAATACTTTTTCAAATGAGAATTCTTCTGCGTCTGTGTAAACTATAAAGGATTCGAGCGTCTTTTTTCTGTGCTCTTTACTAGGATGGAAGGATGAAACCCTAGATCCAGAGTTTGAGGATCAGAACAATCGTTTCTTCTGTGCGTTTAAGATGTTAGTGGACGAGGCTACAAGCAATGGTGAAGGTACAGAGAGTAATCAGCCAAATTTTTTAGTGAAATTTGATACACTCAATAGTTGCGGTGGAGGAGGTGGTGCTATGGCTGATTCTGCCAATGCAAGTTCCAGAGATAACAAGAGCTTACAAATTTACAAACGGAGAAAACTTGGAAGATCGGTTTCTGGGAATAAATGTAAAGAAGATGAGAGAGTTTCTACGGAAGGTGTTAGCCACTCAGGAAGCCGGGTACTTTCCCTGAATTCTCTCAATTACGATGCAACTGATTGTGATTGATTTGAAATGCTTTGGTGTATGTAGTTTTCAGCACTCTGCAACTTCCACAGACCTCAATTGTTATGCGGTTCGTAGATTTGGTTTGATCTTTAAATAGGAGCCTGGCAAAGGAACACATATTAGAATCTATGTCAGTTTAGTGATAGTTGATAGGCAAATATTGGCCTCAGTTATGCAGTGTGTGACGCTAAAAATAAGGTTCATTCCTTTTTTTTATCTTTGTGTGGCTATTCAAGTAACGAATTTGCGGTTATGTAACTATTTCTTCTTGTTGTTTTCAACACGACATGGGCGCATTGTGTATGATATAGCTAGTTTCAGGAAATCTTCGCATATCATAGAAGTCCCCATTAATGCCGGCTCTTAACACTGTGCTTGTTAAGAAATCTGAGAAGTGTCTACTGCATTGTGATTTGTGCATTCAATCCTGAAATTGGTCTCATCATATTTGTGTTGTCAACTTCTGTGGCCATGATTTTCTATGTAATATACGCTCTTAAAACATGTTAGCTCTGGATTAATGTTTTTCATTAAATTTCTTTTGCACAGGAGTCTGTCGCTTGTGAATTAAACAATCAAAGGTTCAGCATAGGAACTCGTCTTACTGGTGAACTCCTTGAGATTTCCAATCCAAATCCATCAATCGAACCCAAGTATGAGACTGCAACAGCCGGTTGCCAGAGTGTTCTGTCTCAAGTGTTAGCTTCAAAGGAGTTTGCATCCCTAAGTAAGTTGCTTTCTGAAAATTTTCAAGGGGTCAAGATTGAAGACCTTACGTGCAGAACTCTGATAGACACCAGGATGAAAGAGGGTGCTTATGAAGGTTCACCTGTGCTGTTTTCAACGGATCTCCTAGAGGTAATTAATGGAAACTCTGCGTAGTCTGGAGATAACTATGCATGATAACAGATTATCGTGTCCCTTTTATCCGTATCATTGTGAAAAATATATTCTGATGTCATTGTTTGGAGCTGTACTTAAACTCTCAACTTGAAGGAATGTGGTTGTGTTTTCCTGAAGAGTATATGCGTTAGATCGAAACAAGACATAGAACTAAACCTAGTTGCTGATTTCAGGTCTGGCAGAAAATACAGGATGTTAGTAATGATATGGCTGTTCTTGCTAATAGTCTCCTAGAGATTTCAAGGGCCTCCTGTACCGAACAGGTGAGGGTCAGGCATTAATTGTTTTCTTCAAGTTATAACTTTATCCATAAATCTCCTAACATCTCTTATTTTTCTTTTTCTCAAAATCTGGAAGTTGAGACAGTTCTACGCTGAGGAATCAAAGCCTTATCCGAATCTAGAGATCATCAGTAACGACAGTGCTTATGACATGTGCAAGCTGTGTGGAGAGAAGGCAGCGGTGAGAGACTGTTTAGCATGTGATCATTGCGAAGATGTGTACCATGTCTCATGTGCACATCCTGGTGGGAAAGGGATGTCGACGAATAGTTGGTACTGTCAACACTGCTCAGCTAATGGAATCGGGTCACCTCACGAGAGTTGCGTAGTGTGTGAAAGAATGAAAACCGAAAGTAAGATGAAGACAGATAACGGATGTGTTGAAACGAGTACAGAATGTAGAGAAGATTCGAACGAATCTGAAGAGAATTCAAGCTGTAACGTGAATCATGGAGGTGACCACGTAGAGATGAAGAGAGACTCCGAAATCTGTAGGACATGTGGAACGAAAGTGGAGAATGGCGGCGGCGGAAAGTTCATAACATGTGATCACCCTTTTTGCCCACACAAGTATTACCACATCAGGTGTCTGACTTCAAGGCAAATAAAACTACACGGTGCTCGTTGGTATTGCTCGTCGTGCCTATGCAGAAATTGTCTAACCGACAAGGATGATGATAAGATTGTGCTGTGTGATGGGTGTGATGATGCGTATCACATCTATTGCATGAGCCCTCCATGTGCGTCGATTCCAGATGGAGAATGGTTCTGCAAAACTTGTAAAGCTGCAATTCAGAAAGTCCGCAAAGTGAGGAAGGCTTTTGAGAAGAAGATGGAGACGTTGCAGAAACAAAAAGGAAGTAAAACTGGGAACCTCGAGAGCAAACGGCCAAGTAAAGGCAATAGAGAATTGGATAAATGCGTAGGAGGAGTCGACATGCTTCTTAACGCAGCTGACACTCTGAAAGATCAAGAACAGATGACATTCCAATCTATCAAATGAAAAGGATTGGACCAGACAGACGTATACAGCTTCTTGTCTCGAGATATTTTTTTTTTGATTTGTTCATCTTCCTAACTTTCAGACTTTAATATTGATTCTTCTCTAGAAATTTGAAGAGTTTGCTGTAACATTGCAAAGCCAGACAGGATTCTGAAGTTGACCTTTCTACCACTGAATTCTTTAAATCTACAGTGCCTTGTGATCTGCTGATTTTGCACTCTGCTCTACATACAACAAACTAATTCTTGATCATTAGATCTTTTTTAAAAAAAAATGTAATCCAAATTACAATATCGTAGGAGTAAAACTGAAAGAAAACTTGCATTTTCATTCACTTTATGTTTTTACCTTATAGTGTGCATAAAAGTAAGCTATTTTACGGTCAACCAAATTCTTAAACTAAATCGATAATGTATTAAATTAAAACTGAAACAAGACTTCAACATATGATTGAACACCCCTTTATTCACAAATAGATAACCAAAAGTAAGTACAAACACTTTTAATCAGCTGAATCCAGTTGAGAACCACTTGGGGGCAGATAGATCATGATCATGTTCATGTACTAAATTTAAGTGGAGGGATGAGGCTAGAATTTTCACATGCTCTAGTGTCTAGTCTTCAATTCGAGAATACTATCAATCATAACATTTAAAAATATTTTATTACTGTTATTTTATATATGTATGTATAATATATTAGGTGTAGCAATAAATATTGTGACAAGTCCTAGAAATTGTATATGGCTTCACCATACTCTACGGGCAACTGTTCATTTTGGAATTAACGACACAGTCAGATTATCACATAAATAACACAATGGTTGTTGGAAAAGAACTATAATAACACAAGTGTCGTTGTCGTTATGCAACAAAGGCACAAAGCTAACCTCTCATGATTATAATAATGGCAATGAAATAGACTCTCAAGTCACCAAGAAGAAAAGGGATATATCATCGCAATAGTGTTGGAATATAAAATTAGAAAGAAAAGTTTTGGGACATTTCGCCATCTTTTCTGATATTCAATTAGATCACATTCATTTCATGATCTCTCTCAACTTTCTTATCATTTCCTCTTTTTAATTAGTCCAACATTGTTGTCATGGATGTTTACTTTTTCCTTACATCTTTTCAAGTTCAACAGATGTTTTGCATGAAAATTGTACTTTCTTGGTATGCCGTAGTATCCAAAGTGATTTCTGTTTATTACTTGTAGTTTACGAAATCTCAAGGTGATACATTCCTTTCGACGTGGAACAGTTCATACTACGGATATTACTTGTAATAGATGGACGTGGAAGTTAAGGTACATTACTTGAAGTTTTAGTTTTAACCTCCAAATATAATATTGCAACATAATGATTTCTGTTTCACCTATTTTAACTATTTGTAGTTTTAGATCCATTATATCCAAAAAAATTATTATTTGGATCCAGATCTACCAATACTTATAGAGATATTCGAGTTTTGATCTGGATGGATTAGCTGCAAATAATTAAAACAATAATAATTATTAAAAATGTAAACCAAAGTATATAAATTTTAGTTTTTGTAATGTATATATATTTCTATTTAAAAAATTAGATCTGCCCATCCATACTAACCACATCCTAATAATATATACTGTATATATATTTCACTAATGCCTTATAAAAAAGTGCGTTACCAGAAAAACGAAGCACACATTTAGTCAACTATGGAACTTTTACTCCCACATCCTTCAAACTCATCTCCTCTCACTGTTCTCGGATTCCTAGAACGTGCCGCCACCGTTTACGGCGATTCTCCTTCCCTCCTCCACACAACCACTGCCCATACTTGGTCTGAAACCCACTCTCGATGTCTCCGCATCGCTTCGTCTCTCTCTTCCTCCTCCCTCGGAATCAACCGTGGCCAAGTCGTGTCCGTTATAGGTCCCAACGTCCCTTCCGTCTACGAGCTTCAGTTCGCGGTTCCAATGTCCGGTGCAGTCCTCAACAACATCAACCCGCGTTTAGACGCTCATGCACTCTCTGTTCTTCTCCGTCACAGTGAATCCAAGCTCGTTTTCGTCGACCATCACTCGAGATCTCTAGTCCTCGAAGCTGTTTCGTTCTTGCCCAAGAATGAGAAACCTCGTCTCGTCCTCCTCCACGATGATGCCGACACATCGTTGTCTTCATCCGCTGATGTGGACTTTCTCGACACGTACGAAGGTCTTATTGAGAGAGGAGACCAGAGGTTCAAGTGGGTCCGTCCCGAAAGCGAGTGGGCCCCAATGGTGCTTAATTATACCTCCGGAACTACGTCGTCTCCCAAGGGAGTGGTGCTTAGCCACAGAGCGGTTTTCATGAGCACGGTTAACTCTTTGCTCTACTGGTCTATGCCTAACCGTCCGGTCTACCTATGGACCCTACCGATGTTCCACGCCAACGGTTGGGGATACACGTGGGGAACAGCCGCTGTGGGGGCCACAAACATCTGCGTCCGAAGAGTCGACGCGCCCACTGTTTTCGAGCTGATCGACAAGCATCACGTGACTCACATGTGCGCCGCGCCTACGGTTCTCACCATGTTGACCAATCACCCAGCCCGGAAACAGCTTCAACGGCCGGTCCAGGTTATGACAGCCGGAGCTCCTCCGCCGGCAACAGTCATTTCCAGCGCCGAGAGCCTCGGTTTTGATGTGGACCACGGTTACGGTCTGACAGAAACTGGTGGTCTGGTTGTCACATGCGCGTGGAAGACCGAGTGGGATCGTCTGGGATCAAACGAGAGAGCAAAACTGAAATCAAGGCAAGGTATTAGAACCGCGGTATTCGCGGAAGCCGAGGTGAGAGACCCGATAACCGGGAAGAGCGTGAAGCACGACGGAGTAACCGTGGGAGAGATTGTCTTCAGAGGCGGTTCCGTCATGCTGGGTTACTACAAAGACCCGGAAGCAACAGCGGCGAGTATGAGAGAAGACGGATGGTTCTACACCGGAGACATTGGTGTGATGCACCCGGACGGTTACTTGGAAGTCAAGGACAGATCAAAGGATGTGATCATATGCGGAGGAGAGAACATCAGCAGCACGGAAGTCGAGACGGTTCTGTACACAAACCCGGCGGTTAAGGAAGCAGCCGTGGTGGCTAAGCCGGACAAGTTGTGGGGAGAGACGCCGTGTGCGTTTGTGAGCTTGAAGAATCATGATGATGGACTTGTCACTGAGAGAGATATAAGGGAGTTTTGTAAGACGAAGCTACCAAAGTATATGGTTCCAAGAAATGTGGTTTTCCAGGAGGAGCTTCCAAAGACTTCTACTGGGAAGATTCAGAAGTATCTTCTAAGACAAATGGCCAAGTCTTTGCCTTGATGAAGAACAATCTTGATTTGTCGTTATATTATTTACACCGTACGCTACGAAGTTCTTCTCTCAACCTAACTACAAGTCTCTGCTTCATTAGCTTGGCTCTGTTTTCTTGTCGCTGACCACGAAACGTTTAGTGTCAGTGTCCTGTCCTGATGCCTGAAGTTGTTCTCTCTTCTTTATTAGTTGTTTTGCAGCTTGTAAATCGTCTTTCGCCTCTCTGTAATCCGACTGTGGAATGGTTATAATAACACGTCCTTAAGATCTCTATGGGACTAAAGAAGTGAATAATTTTAACATAATATTCGATTTTGAGGAACTCACATTGATCGATAATGCACTTTCAAAACTCCTGATAGCACTGTCCGGCTCGCCAAAATTTAGTTGTGCTCTTCCAAGAGTAGTCCAAGCCTACAAAAACTAGGCGAAATTAGACAAGAGTTTAACCTTACATTTAAAGGGATATGATCCTCTAACAAAGCTTTCAACATCCATATTTCTATACAGAACCAGTAGAAGTGGCATATGTAGATCCACTTGCCCGGGAAGGTAGTTTAGTTACAAGTAGTTTTCAGCTTTAGCGAATTTCTTACTTATAAAGGAAACATTGTATGATATAGACTATAGAGTCTAAATACCTCAGGCCACGATGGGTCAATCTCAGTAGCTCCTGTGAAGAATGAAAAAGCATAGGCATTGTTATGAGGGTTCTTGGCGAATAATCATCAAACCTTATATTGTACATAAACAGAAGTGACGATAAATAGAGGCTTGGAGCATTACGTGTTGCAGCCTTGAGTGCTTTCCATGCATCACCAAGCTCAAGTAACACTTGCGCTTTTTGTTCATGCAGGACTGCATTTTCAGGCACAAGATTAAGTGCAGCTTCCCATTTCCCTAGAGCCTCCTCGTATTTTCCTTCCTTCAATAGCAAGTTCACAGTGAGAAAACGAATCAAGTGTCAGATTTTTGCACAGAAGTAGCTCCATAAACAAAAAGGAATGTCCTTTCAAGAAATAAAACTTTGACAAATTCACTTTCATGAATTTGAAGTATCCAAATTTGAACGTTTTAATATACGAGGTTACCTCAGCGAGCTTGTCTCCTTGTCCTCTAAAGGACTCTGCGAGATTCTTCGCTTCGGGATCCAATTTCCCATCATTTCCCGAGTGACTACCTCCGTCCTCCGACGACTTCAATTGATCGGAAGCTTCATTTTCGCGAAATGGGTGCTGAGATTGGGTCTCTGGAGCCTCCGTCTCGAAAGGAAGATCCGAGAAGTTGGATAAAGCTAGGCGAGATCGTTTCTTAGGGTTCTTGTTCCACGTTAGCTTCATCTTATTCGTATTCGTCACACAGCCTCACTCTGTTCTTCGTTCGGATCGCCCCGATGAAACACAATTCTAAGGTACCATTACAGCTAAATCCCGATGGGCCGGTAGAAAACTGATTTAAGTCCAATTTATTTATTGGGTCTTACCGAGCCACACCTATAAAAATCAGGCCGGATATCAGCCCAGTTAAGGAGAAAAATAACAGGCTCGGTTATCGGATTTTACAGGTTTAATTTAAGATTGGGTATTCCGGTTTATGGTTTTCTCCGTTCATATCCGATTAATTCCAGTTCGGTTTACATAAATTTTGGTTCGATTTCGGTTCCACACTTCGACTTGATAAAAGTAGAACGTCAAAAAGCTAGAGCTTTCGAGAAATCAGCAAATACACAAAATGAGAACTTCTAGGGATTATACGATTTAAATCATGACAAATTTTTATTTTCTTTTTATGTGTAAGAATCTGTCATTACGAGATACAGATCTAATAACTTGTCGATAAAAGTTGTGTAAAGAGTAGAGGAAGAAACTAGTTAGTAGCATCTGTTGTTGTTTACCTGTGTGTAATCCAGCAGATTAGCGTCGTCTTCTCATAAAATCTACAGCTTCTTTGGTTAAGATGGTGACGAAGATGAGACTTTCAAAAATAAAATAAAAAGGCATCTTCAGACAGAATTGTTGCAGCTGGATCCTGCACAGCACCACCATTTACGTTCTTCACCTTCGCATTCGAGTCCACAATCCCGAGACTCTAGACTGGTGATGACGCTTTGTGCTTCCTAAACCGCTGTCGCTCACGCTCCCTCCTTCATGGAGGCTTTCATCAACCTCTGAGAACTCTTTCGTCCATGGATTCAGTGGGATCACATACGAATCATCCTTCGTCGTTTTCTTCTGCTGCTCAAACCTTTTCACGTTTTCGGATATCTGATGGAATGTTCTGTTTATTTTCGCTATTCCTCTTTCCACCGGTTCCACCACGTGCGATACCGTGAACCTCATGTCATCCACAATCTATAAAGCCAAAAGACAAAATGAAACATGTGGTCATGAGCAACGACAATAACCCAAAAACCTGTTTTGAGCATTAGATTGATTTCGTTATAGAAGAAACCAGCTTACGATTTCACCACTCCCCATCACCACATCACGCACACTCTGTGGGAAATTCAACCGTTTCTCCATCTCATCATGTCTACCATATCGCATTCTAGTTGTTCGTTCACTGTCTTTAACCTCTTCAGGGTCAGGAGGTGTATCTAAGGAGGCATAATCTGACATTACTGCTACATTACGGACACATCTTTCTCCACGCTTGTAAGGCGCTGCTGGAAACACATATAGATGAACCACAGCAGCAATACCCATCTGTAAAAAAAACATTAACATTTTCTAAGTTGATAAACTCACACCAATCCAACTGTGGATGCTTAAAGGTATAGGTTGGTTTTATAAAAAAAATTACCTCAATACAGATGATGTAATCTTGTATTCGCGTTTTCAGTTCCTTGGCCAAAGATCCTTTGAAAAGTCCCATCGAGAAGAGGAATGCAACAATAATGCCTTGCCACCAGGTGAGGAACACAATGGACTTAAACGTTAGGAACTTGGCCAGTGGTTTAATGGGTGCTAACTTATCTTTGATGACACCATAGAACTGTACAAGGCAATACAATGCCCATGTTTGACTGAAATTGAGCACTACAGCCAGGTATGGATATCTGAAATGAAACAAATATTCATAACAATATCAGATGCTTTTGTTAAAGACCTCGTTAGGATAAGATACAGCAAAGAACAAACATATGTTAACAAAGCCAGGGGAAACAATAGATTACCCATAATTCCATGCAAACTTCCCTTCTCCATAGACCCCAAAGGCTTCAAGGATCATTGCTAGCAGAGCACAAATCATTTTCAGTATCATCTGCAGCAGAACATTTTGTGTCATTTGAAGCACATAAATCCATCTCAAAACCATAGTTCAGATAATATTTATGAGAAACACATACATATTGAACGATGCCAATTTTCACAGCGTGATAAAACTCAGGACCAAGATTCCAATCTCTTAGGAAGCAGTTCATCGGAAATGGGTGCTCTACAACTCCATAAGAACATGTGCCTTCAAGAAGAGGAGTGCTCTGGGTGATAATTGTCTGCTGTTCCATGAATTCAATTGTCCGTTCTTCTCCATCTGCGGATACAGAGATAACAAAGAGTTGCAAATTATTAACTGGTAATTAATCAAGAGCCAACAGATTCCAAAGATATTTTCAAAAGTGAATAGAGCATCTGAGCCTTCAACAATCAACGACATCCTATAATGGTTTTTGTTTCTTCTTATCATGTAGAATCACACATATATAGGATCCCAAGTTAGATGGTATTCACCATATATCCAAATAACAAATCCAGCTCAATCACCTACTACGTAACGGTCATAATTACTTTAAAAATCGAACCACTCCATAACATGACGACATGCATGTGAATGTAAAACTAATCCTTTCTGGTGAATTTCATATTCATGAACTCGGCAGGCAGGGATACAGAGTTGGATGGTAATATCAAGCGTTACCTAGGCAAGCTATCAAATATCTCTCAAAGCAGTAGAGCGCAAAAGCTTCATAACAATCCCGAATCACCTCGCAGTTGAAAGCTGCTTCTGAGTTCACCAAAGACAAAAACTGCACGAAAATCATAAAGAACCCATAATTAGGAAACAAAACAAAAAAAATCTGTATGTGAATCTCTAAGGAAGATGCACTATAAATACAGAATTAACATATATATATATATATATATATATAGTAACTTATCAATCCTACCGATTCCAGGGCATAAACAGGGACCATCAGAATAAGCCCAATAAGAAATTTCTGTTCCTGCAACAAATGAAAGGAAGCGTTTATGCCTTTTCCTAATATCAATGTCCCAACTTTTATCAGTGAAAAGTTATACAGATGAATCAATACATGAAAGACTGAGTTTTTATAAAGTGATGACAAACCTCAGGCTGATTATAAGAAGCCAAGTGCTCAAAGATAAGATACATGGGGAGGACGATGGCAACAACAACGAACACACTGGCGCTTAGAATTGGCCAGCTGAATGATGTAGCGGAATCAACACCGAGATTAGGAATCCACATTAACCTGAATCTACTTGATGACTCTCCCATGGAAATAATAAAGAAGAGAGAGCAGAGGATTCCCCTCCACTCCATTTAGAAACACAGCCAAAAAAGGACGAATCGATATCTTCACATCAAGAAAGAGGAAACTTTCCCAAAAAAACTGTTCCACGGCTCATAGATACCAAAAAACGAAAACGCCACTGATCCTTTAGCAGTGGTGACCCTTGTGAATTTCAGAGAGAAAGTTGATACCAGACCCAACAAAAACTGCATTACGAAGAAAAAAAAGAACTATTAGATTATGCTATGATCAAGATTAAAGCTAAATTACAACGATAAGAATTCCTTGATCTCGATCGTCTTAGATGAATTATAAGAAGAAAACAAAAAAATCAAAGCAAAAATATGACCCATCAAACAAACGATTTCGCAAAACCCTAAATCACCTACCGTCAAATAAAGACAATTGCACAAGATGATACAAAGAGAAATTGCTATAAAATCCGCGAATCAATTTCGTATCCAGAAGAAAACCCAGAGTCCCAGTGCCTTCGAACTTGCTCGTATCAATGAAGAGAAAAAGAAAAAAAAGAAGCGAAATCCAACAACAACAACAAAAAAAAAAAAAAAAAAAAAAAATCAAGCCAGAGATATTATTTTTTTCTCTCTCTCTCTCTCTCTGTCTCGAGTTTTGGGTCTTTTAATTCTGCTTTTCCGCGTGGAAGAGAAAGAGCCTAAAAAGGGGAAAACTCTGCGTTTTGTGCATTGGCGGTTGTGACAAGCTAAACCCTTTCTAAAACGTGTTACTGTTTTCTTTTTCCTCGTTAATTCAAAATAATATTTACAATGTGTTATTTAAACTATAGTTTTTCAAATTATTTAAACTATAGTTTCACTACATTTTTCTTAGATTTAAAATATTTTATATCGGATGTACTACTATATACTTCTTTTTGACATAATCGGATCTATTTATGTGTAACACTGAATAATTTATGAAAGGAAATATTACTCTATTTGACATCATATATACAGTATTATTAATTTCTTTTAGATGGTTATACTGATTGATAATCACGAAATATATAGCCGATTGACCAAGCACTAATTAAGAAAGATGAAGTCAAATATCTATCCTTCAAGAAAGGGATAAGGAAAGAGATATGTGCTAATATATCCAACCTTTTTTTACTTGTATAAAATTTTTATCTCTAAAGCTTAATCACTACACTCGATTAGAAGAACTAGAAAGAGATTGATCACACAAGATTGCTTGGAAATATCAAGGTTTAAGACGATGGCCGGTGGAGCTCTAGCCGCCGATGAAGGAGCTCTAAAGAGAGCTCATCTCTACGAGCACCGAATCACTGGTTACTTCATCTTCGCTTGCATCGTTGGATCCATGGGAGGATCTCTCTTCGGCTATGATCTCGGTGTCTCTGGTTAGATCTCTCTCTAGATCTCCACTATTATTTCTCACTTTTTTCCATCTGAGTAACTTATCTGATATCAATCAAAAACCCTAATTTCGAAACCCTCAATTCTCAAAAGAATATATAGATTGTGTCTCTGTCTCTCTGATATTTCTCAGATTCCTTCGATCCAAGTGTTTGTTCGAAATTCTGTGTCCTCTCGGTCAGCATCAGTTTTGTTAAATGCCCACTTGCTTAAGTTAAGCTTCAAACATAGTTTCTTGTACCTCAAGGAACATTATGAAAGAAACGTTGCTCATTTTCCTGTTTTTCTTCTTTGTTAAAATGCAGGTGGTGTTACATCGATGGACGATTTCTTGATAGAGTTCTTCCCGAAGATCTACAGGAGAAAACAAATGCATCTGAACGAAACAGACTACTGCAAATACGACAATCAAATCCTCACACTCTTCACCTCCTCTCTCTATTTCGCCGGTTTAATCTCAACTTTCGGAGCTTCTTACGTCACCAGAATCTACGGCAGGAGAGGAAGCATCCTCGTCGGTTCCATCAGCTTCTTCCTCGGAGGAGTCGTCAACGCCGCCGCCAAAAACATCTTCATGTTAATCATTGGTCGAATATTCCTCGGCGTAGGCATTGGATTCGGAAACCAGGCAAATCACAAACACACATAAACTCTATATACTCCAAACCGGATTATGCACCTTTACTGTTAACAGGATCGGTTTAATATTTCTGCGTTTGCGTTTATAGGCGGTTCCTTTATACCTCTCCGAGATGGCTCCTGCGAAGATTCGAGGAACCGTGAATCAGCTTTTCCAGCTAACAACTTGCATCGGGATTTTAGTGGCTAATTTGATAAACTACAAAACAGAGCAAATCCATCCATGGGGGTGGAGGCTCTCTCTCGGCCTCGCCGTGGTGCCAGCTACACTCATGTTCCTCGGCGGACTCGCCTTGCCTGAGACACCCAACAGTCTCGTCGAACAAGGGAAGCTCGAGGAGGCTAAAGCCGTGCTGATCAAAGTACGTGGCACGAACAACATCGAAGCTGAGTTTCAGGACCTTGTTGAAGCTAGCGAAGCCGCTAGAGCCGTGAAGAACCCGTTTCGGAATCTTCTTGCTCGGAGGAATAGGCCGCAGTTAGTGATTGGAGCGATTGGGCTTCCTGCGTTTCAGCAGCTAACCGGTATGAATTCGATTTTGTTTTACGCTCCGGTTATGTTTCAGAGCTTAGGGTTTGGTGGGTCCGCGTCGCTTATCTCGTCCACGATCACAAACGCTGCGCTAGTTGTCGCGGCGATCATGTCTATGTATTCGGCTGATAAATTCGGAAGAAGGTTTCTTCTTCTTGAAGCTAGCGTCGAGATGTTCTGTTACATGGTAACTCCTCTGTTTTTTTTTTAATATACTATAACTCCGTGCGACACAAGCTAGGGCTTGTATCTTGCCACACAATTAACTCTCGGGAAAGCACTAAAACCCAAAAATGTTCATTTTTCTCGCAGGTTATAGTAGGAGTAACACTAGCCGTGAAGTTTGGGGAAGGCAAAGAGTTGCCGAAATCGCTCGGTTTGGTTCTTGTGGTCCTTATATGTTTGTTTGTATTGGCGTACGGACGGTCATGGGGACCAATGGGATGGTTAGTTCCAAGCGAGATTTTCCCTTTAGAGACTCGATCGGCGGGTCAGAGCGTTGTGGTGTGCGTAAATCTTTTCTTCACGGCGCTTATTGCGCAGTGCTTCCTCGTATCACTGTGCCATCTTAAGTACGGAATATTCCTTTTATTCGCCGGACTTATATTCGGAATGGGAAGTTTCGTTTACTTTTTGTTGCCGGAGACCAAGCAGGTTCCGATTGAAGAGGTTTATCTTCTGTGGAGACAGCATTGGCTTTGGAAGAAATACGTCTAAGATTATGATGAAAAATGAATTAACATTTTTTTGAGGAATGTTTTGGATCTTTAGGACCTTTTGTTTGTTTTTGCTTCTTCTTGAATGGCATACTATTTGTTTTGTTTTTAGGTTTGTTGCGTGATACTATTGTCAAGTCATCATGCTATCAAAACCAACGCGACAACTAAACTTAAAGAAGTTAAAAGTGGTGAGATATGTTAACTTGCGTTATATATATAGATTATAGAGTTAGTTATATTGTAGTCAATAATGCATTAACATCTCCAGCATTAGAAGATCATTGGTACAATAGTGTTAAAAAAATATATTGTTCTTTGGTTTATATATGTATAAGCATAACTATATTATCATATACTATTGTAGCCAATGCATCAACATCTCCGGCATTAATTCACTAGTACAACAGTTTTAGAAAGATAATTATTTAAAAATTGGTATCATTTGTGCCCAAGAAAAAAGAATCTTAGTACCATCAAAAGTACAAAATTAGTTATGGTTATGTGTTTATGGCGTACAGATTCTATATATTCCAAGTAGTTATGTGAGAATATGATATGCGCCAAAAGAATATGCATAATTGTGGCGCGAACATTGATTATACAATTGTAAAAAGTCTCCATGAATTTGAATTTCTTTAAGCATATTCGTGATGTTGAGACTGAGGGTTCGACCCAGTATAATTTCCAGAATATGTTTTTTTTGTAATCAAAAGATATATATATATATATATATATATATATATATATTCACTCCTAAAATTAACAAGTCTAATCCGAACAATGCAGTACTGTTTTCACTAAATCAAGAAATTAACGTTTACAAATCAATCAGTGTCTATGTCTATGTATATGTATAACAATTTCCCAATAATTTGGGTTTTTTTAGTCGAACTCCTTGCCAATATTATAATATATCCGGACTACAAAATCTTGTGAGTCTTGTATAATAGACATTTACATGTGTATGTACGACCTTTAAAACATTTGAAGAAATTTATCTAAAAAAAAACATTTGGAGAAATTTGAATAGATCAGCATTCGTTATATACTTATAAGTTATAACTTCACAAATAAATAAGCACCTCATTTAGTCAGTAGTTGAGTGAATTAAATATACAATCAGTGTGCAAACACGAATGTTATTTATGAAGGTACACAATATATAGTGTAGAGGGTTGTGTAGTGGTTATTGGTTAGGTGTGTGCGTGTGCCGATCATATAATTATAGCAACCGTGACAAGCGAAAAAGGACAGGGAGATTATGTACTGAATTGTTGAAAACTGTGTGGTCAAATTTGCGAAAGTTGGTAAATTTAGGGGTCCAAATGGGCCCCATTTATTTCAAGCCCACAGTTAACCAACCTCTTATTCTTGTAGGCTCAAAATGGTCCCAGCCCATTCATTGTTCTCAACTAACACAAATCACAAAGTTTTCTCGAATCAATTAATTGGAGTACTGCTTGTTCATTAACCAATATCACAAAGTTTTCTAGAATAATCTAAACTGATTTTATAATATACTGCTATTACATTTGTTGTTGCCTGCTCCTGACCACGACGCTGTTATGAATTAAGTTATGTTGCTACTAGCTAGATCAATACAGGTCAATGTTTTTCTCCGGTAAAATCTGTGTAATTGTGTGATTAATAAAATTGTTTTTTAATAGCATTGATAAGATGATATAATTGAATACTGAAGGCACTATTTAATTACTCGTGACCATTATTTGCTGACGATATTAGCTAGGCCACACGTAATGATGCAGCTATATATGCATGTTTATATATTTAGAATTAGGCATGGAAGATATTATACTTCCATGAAACTTATGCAAACAAAACCATGAAAAATTAATAGATTTAGAACATAAAGAGAACGGAGAGATCGATTAATAGCATGACATATATGATAGCGATAC